TATACTCACACTTTGATAAATTATTCCCAAACACTGTTAATTAGATCAGAAACTTGGACAAAGTGTTTCCTTTTGTTAACCACATCGCTTTTACCTTATCATCCCAGTGTCTCTAATGTTTTAGCTCAAGACTCATCCAATTTCCAAAATAGTATTTATATATATGTAATATATAAGTTTATAAAATCATCATTCAGTATAATTTTCACCTTCTTTATTTCTCTTTTTCTTATCATTTGACAACTTGAAAAATTATTCTTTATATTATTCGATGGAGAAAAAATACGCTATACTCTTATTTGAAAAATGTATTAAGACATATGTTCCTCAAAAGAAAAAAAAAATTTACACAAAAATACAATTGCAATGATACTGAGGAGGAGATATACTTTCTTTCTAACACAGTAACTTTTTTTTTTTCTCGAGGGTCAGAAAATTTATTGGAAAGATAAAACCTTGCCCTCGGGCCTTGAGATTTCGTATCTAACGCTATTTTTCATCAAATTTTCAGTACCATCGATTCAATCGAAATCTTTTTTCTTCAAAATCAACCCTTCGACTATTATACTGATGACTTTTATTGTTATTTATAAATTTTATCTTGAATGACGTAAATGGAGTATAAATATGTAATAATGGTTAATAATTATTTTTTTATTAACCGAGTAGGTAACCGATTACCTATTATCAAATTTACTTGAATCAAATAATTTTTATTTAATTCAAATAAATTGTATTTGAGTGTTTGACTGAAATAATTAAAAATAAAAATTGACACAAATAAAAATTATTTCATTCAAGTAAATATTTATTTGACAAAAGCATGTAATTGATTATTTGAATTAAATAAATTTTAGTTGTATAATAATCATAATAGGAAATATTTACATTAAAAAAAAAATCTATTTAAAATTTAAATACTTATTTTTGTATATTATACTGTAAATATACTTATACCTACTTAACTTTTAATTAGCTTTTTGTTAGAAAAATAATATCTAGATAATAATTCCCTGTGTGAATTTTGAGGGAAAAAAAAAGTTGAATTACACTTTTTATGATGAGCTTTTTACAGTTTTAGAAAATAAACAAGTCCATAGAATTTGTTCATTGGAGGTGTTAAAGGTCGCATTGCTTTGTCAGGTTCGTATATGGAAAATTCAATATTTCTCAACGGGAGTGAGATGTTCAGTCTCGATCCACTTTCATTCCCAATACAGAAGTTTCCATTTCCCACCTTTTCCATATATGAAACAGCCAAACTCAATATTCCCACCACTCTATTGTATTTTCTGCAAAAAGTTGAATAAAAATAATGTAGGAGGACACAAAAAAAATAATAGAACGCATATTTTTGCATTTATATTGTGAATTATAGTCACATGCAATTATCCTTCCAACTCGATCATCTTTATATTATACCAAATAGCTACACAGCCATGAAAAATTATTAAATCCTTTTAACTCTTGAGCCTATCTTTTTTCTTATTGTTTCAAATAAATTCTATTCTATTTAATAAAAGTATTATTTTTGACGAATAAAAGTTTTATTTTTGAAGAAATAAATAATTTATATGGAGAAATATTTTTTTATTTAACTCGATGTAAATCAAATGATTTATTTTGTTCATATATGGCATTTTTCTCAGAGCTTAGCTTTTTGTATTTCAGGGCTTAGTACTCGATAATAAATTTTAAAAAAGTAGCAAAAAGTAGCTTTAAGACTAAAAAAAGTAGTAAAAAATATAGCTACCAAAAAAATTGAATTTTATGCATCAATTTTTTTGTAATTTCTAAATTAAATCACATTCAAAAATAGAATAATTTTTTTTTTAATAAATATTTATTTTTCCACAGGAAAAAAAAAGAATTAAAATATTTTAAATAATTTCAATGTAAAGCCTTTTTGAAATTTAACTATTTCTTAAAAAAATTACTACTGTAATTTTTCCAAAATTCAATAATTTTTTTGTTGAAATTTTTAAATAAAATCATTCAAATCTTTAATCATTTTAATTTCAAAATGAAAATTTAAATATTATTACAGTTTCACAACGATGAAAATTTCCAAAGATTTTTTTCAATTAAAAAATCTTTTAAAAGATTATTTCTAAAAATTCACACTGTAACGCTTCTGATATTCAATTATTATCTAAAATTTTAATTGAAATTCAATTTTAAATCAATTCTTTTAAAAAGTTCTACACGAGAATTCAAATTATTTAAATACAAAAATAAATATTTTATTGTATAATTGAATATTTCTTAAAATTGAACATTTATAAAGGACTTTTTATCAATTTTTGAAAATAATTGAATTCTTTCGAAGAATTTTAATAAAATTTTCTAAAATAATTGTATTTTTCGAAGAATTCAATTAAAATTGTATTAAAAATTTATTGAAATTGAATTAAATTAAGTTAATTAAATAATTGTAATCCTGTGAAAATTTTATTTATTTCTGAAAATAATAAATAAAAATAATAAAAATGAATAAAATTTGTAAAAATACATTCAATTGCTTAGAAGAAACTTTAAGTTCGTACGAAAAATTATTATTCAAATTATGCTGAAAATTATAATTGAATTCTTCTAAAGAGTTTATGACAAATTTTAAAAATAAGTGGATTCTACAATTAACATATTTTGTTAATGTTTTTAAACATAATTAAATTCTATCAAGAGACATTATTCAAATTGTATTGAAAATAATTTCATTTTTCAGAAGAATTTTATAAATTATGAAAATAATTGAATTCTTGCAACGAATTTATAACATTTTTTTTTTAATAATTCAATTCTTTTAAGAAACTTTATTGAAATATCAGATATTGAAAATAGAATTTCGACAAAATTTTAAAAATAATTAAATAATAATTAAATTTAATTCACCAAATTTTTAAAACTAATTAAATTTTTATAAAGAATTTTATTAAAATTATATGAAAATAATTAAATTGTTACTAAGAATTTCATTAAAATTTTAGAAAATAATTAAATTCCATCAAGAAATTTTATTCAAATTGTATTAAAAATAATTCAATTTTTCCAAAGAATTATATATGTTCCGAAAACAATTGACTTCTTTCAACGAATTTTATTCAAAATTTTTTTGAATAATTCAATTCTTTTGTGAAACTTTATTGAAATACTAGACATTAAAAATAATGGAATTTCGACAATTTTTTGAAATTAATTAAGTTTCTATGAAGAATTTTATTAAAATTATATGAAAATAATTGAATTGTTACGAAGAATTTCATTAAAATTTTTGAAAATAATTGAATTTTTTTAATTTTATGAAAATTGTGTTTCAAAAAAATTGATTTCCTGTGAAAATTTGATTATTTATGAATATAATTAATTGTTTGAAAAAAAATTTTATAAAGGTTTTTTTTAATCAATTGAATTATTTTATTAAATTTTTTATTAAAATAATAGACATTGAAAATAATTGAATTTTGAAAATAATTGAATCGTTTATAAAAAATTGTATTTAAATTTTTTGAATTGTTTGTAAGAATTTTATTAAAATTTTTGAGAATAATTTTTTTTATTCCAATTAATTAGCGAATTTAAATTAGTGCAAATTCTCAAACATAGAAAAAAGTAGCTTTTAGTGTCAGAAATTTAAAAAAAAAGTATCCAAACAGTAGCAAATGGTAAAAAAAGTAGTAAATAATATTTCTTAGCCGATGAATACGAAGCCTGATATATTTGCATGCGGTGGGAAAATTATTTTATTTTTATATTATGTTTAAAAAAATTCCAACGAAAAGCGAGTTGTATTTAAATATAATATTGTAGTTTTCTACAATATGCAGAATAATAATAATAATAATAATAATAATAATAATAATAATAATAATAATAATAATAATAATAATAATAATAATAATAATAATAATAATAATAATATAATTTCTCACGCAGTTAGAAATTTAGACAGCTCTCACATGTACAGCGTCAAATATTTCATTGCGTCCATTTCATTGTGATTCGTTAAATGAAGAGGCAGGCAAATAATCTACGAGATGGTTTAACAATCCAGAATAGAGGATTATTTCGTTTTAAGATATTTGTTCGTACCTAACAATTCTGAAATTTTTGATTTTACATTCTCGTTTCATTCTATTAAAAGGTGTAGGTATAAAATAAACTTGATGTTGATATAATTTTCTCCTCATTTTGTTTCATAAATTAACTACATTTCCCCCTGCCTCCAATTATTTTCTCTCCGCTGTATAATACGTCAAACACAATAGAAAACCCCGCGGTTGATATTATAATTAACTTTCGTAAATATTTTAGAGATCGTTTGAAACTTTAAGGACTTTAAGACGATAGTCTTTGTAAAGTTTTGCGCTAATTTTTTTTTTTAATTAATTATTCATTTATTTATTATTAAAGAGAAAAAGAATATGAAATTTTATTCCGGGTTCAATCGGAATCAATTTTTTTTTTATTTTCTTCTTTCTCTCTATATTCTCTTTAGATAAACATTGGTTTTTTACCTCCGTCAAATATTTTGACATTCCTCTTATAGCACTGTCAGTTAACGAAAGAAATCTAGAAATAATATTTTTCAATTTTCTCGCACTTGTTTTTAAAAAAAAATATATCAAATAATGTCTTTTGATCATATCAAATATACTCTTATTTCTTTCAACTGAAATTCTTTCTTTCTTCACTTTACTTTAATGATAGAAATGAAAAGGAACACGTATATTAAGGATCTTGATGAAAAAAAAAACATTTTCAGTGTATGAGAAATACTTTACCTCAGTTAAAACACTCTTTTTGCGCGAATTCAACATGATGTGAAGCAAAAAAAAAAAATGGAAAAAAAACCTTGGAGATAACTAAAAAAAAAGATGAAAAAATAGATACATGAAAAAAAGGGAGAAAGAAAATCCCAGCGTTTATGAGAACTTGTTTGAATTACGTCTTTTTAACACGCACAAATGATAGAATTTAAAAAGATTTATATTTTTTTTTAGGACCGAAGACTGTTTTTAGTGCCGTGGATTTGTACAACATTTGTGAGCAGTGTTGTCGACGTCTCTCATTTTATATACGTCACATTTTGCAGAAGGGTATGTTATTTTATTCAAAAAGGAACAATATTTACATTTTGGTTAAAATCTAATTAACATCTCGAAAATAACTTAAAGTGCATTTAAAAAAAACGAAAAAAAAACCCATTTTTAGGTAGACTTCTATTATTTTAATTACATTTTTACAATCATTTTTGTTTATTTATTTTCTTTCTTTAATTTATTTATTTATTTAAATTACAGACGTAGGACTCACAAGACGCTATTCTCTACCTGCGAACGCCAAGGTCTCCGCTAGGTGGCAGTTCAGTTCCTTCTTGGAATTTCTCTTGCCATCTAGTGGTGACCTTGGCGTTCTCAAGTGGAGAAATTAAACCCCATTTTATTTCTCAACAAAATTGTTTTCAATTAAAAATATTTTATTTTAATAATAATTTAATTTTTCTCTTAGTAAAAACTTTCATCAAATTTTTAATTATAAATTTTTAATTATTATATTTAAATATATTAATTAATTAATTTGAATTTGTAAATGAAATATGAAAAAAAATTAAATATGCGAAGTTACAGGTGAATCAAAGTATATTTTGAAATATGCTAATCAACAAACGAACGTTTACATTGAGTGTAAAGTTTTAGATTAAATTTGTTGGAAAATTTGATATATAAAATATATTTTGATACACTTTGTGCACAACTATTTATAATGACATCAGTTTTTAGCATGTGAATAAGTTTGATTTTATTTTTAATTAAAAATTTTACTACAACTATTATTAGCATTCGTCAAAAAGAAAAACTTGTGCAATTTTGCATTTAATCATTTTTAAAAGTTTTTCGCTTTAAAAAAAAAAAGAAAGAAAGAGAAGAAGAATTTTACATTAAATCAACGCAAGTGTATATTTTCCTCCGTCTGACCGAATCGATATAAATTCTACTGAAAATTTATAGATAGTGTAATAAATAGATCACTCCACTTGAAAGTGAGGTAAAAAGTTTTTATAAAAATAGTTGGAATCGTTTCTCTCTTCTCATGCTTGCTCTCTTTTTTCACACTTTATTATGCTTACTTTTTCTCTATATTTAATTTTATTTTATATGGAATAAATTAGAAGAATTAAAATTATGATATACATAAAATTTTGTTTTTTTTTCCACCAAAAAGGAAAAATTTATTCGCTATTAAAGTGGGAATGAGGGAAAATTAAAATAGAGAATTTTATTTGTAGATAATTATTATTCCTATTAAATTAGGTAAATTATGTACTTTTATGTATTTTTATTTTTACTCTTGTGTTTTTTTTTTTTTTTCATTTTTTCTCTTTTCATTTAAAAAAATGTATATTTCATGCTGGTTTTCAATATAATTAGACGCATTCAGTATTTTCATTTGAAATATTCAATTCCAACAGAATTTTTTTAAAGCTTGTGAAAAAATTACAGAATTTAAAAGGGGAGAAAAATGAAATTTTTAATACGAGAGTAAAATTCAAACCGCTAATTAAGAGAAGGTAAACTTATTTATTTTTCCCTCAAGTCTATTTAAAACTGTTTAATTTTCTTCAAAGGAATAAATTCTTTTGCAAAAGAAAAAAATAAAAGAAAATTATAACTCTTTCTATATATGTGAATTAGTTTTAAAAATATTCTCTTTACTTCTGAAAAAATGTATTTTTCCATTTAGAAACATATTCTTTTTTTTTCAAATCTAAATCAGATTTTTGCATTATTTAAATTATATTATGCAAAGTTTAAATTTTATACTTTTATGAAGAAAAAAAAGAGGAAAAAAACAAAGGTATTGTTTTGAGTCTTACAAACTTCTCTCGTCATCTGAATGTATAAAAAAAAAAGTTGCACACGTATTTGAAAAACAATTTTCAACACACTTTTTCAAAAGAAAGTTTCTCCTATAAAATTTTAATAAGATAAAAAGAAATGTGTCTTTGAAACAGACAAAGTTGCTGGAGATGAAATCGAAATCTATGTTTAAGAATTCTTGTATTTACAATAAGAATGGAATTTTTTTCAGAATCATATAATCATATATTAAATTTTTTTTAATTTATTAAATAAAATTTTTTAATATTATTATAATTATATTTATTAGGTTTTTTTTATTTTTATTTTTATTCTTATTTTTATCTTCATTTTTATTGAAATTAAAAATTTTTATTGAATCAAAACTTTATTTTTAAATACCAACTTCAATGTTTGCATACTTTCAGATTTAAAGTTTTATAAAATCCGCTTATTAACTAATTAATTAATTTTTATTATTATTTATTACTTCCATAAATAATAAAATTCTTCGCAGGATTTCAATTGTTTTCAATATAATTTTAATCAAATTTCTCGGAAGAGTTCAATTATTTTCAATACCAGTTTTAATTACATTCCTCGAAAGAATTTAATTATTTTCGAAAATTGTAGGAACATTCTATGTAAAAAAGTTATTTCAGAATATATTTTTTATTCATTATTTTATTTATATTTGTTTATACTTATTTATACTTATTTATATTTATTTATATTAATTTATTTACATTATTTCATACTTTATAATAAATTTATATATTAATACTAATTGTTTTAAAATAGTTTATAATTAATTATTACTTTTTTTAATTTTCATAATAATTTTGTAATGAAAAAAAATAAAATTTTTTATATTTCTAGTTTCTACCATTTTGTACATTTTTCGACTTTTTTTTTTTTTTAATTGTAAAAAATGTAACATATAAAGGTTAGTCAATAATGATAAAAAAGAAATAAATTGAAACATGCATTCTAGTTTGAGAGATGATGTTACCTGGTTGGGTATATTTGCCTTTATTTTCACGGTTCCAGGAACACACTTTTTTTATATACCTTTTGTCAACTTTTAGTGAAAAAAAGCAAATTCGTTTTCACTTTTAGTGGATATTTTTCATTGCAAAAAGGTCGAATAAAATGCACTTTACTAAAAGGAACCAAACGATCGATCAAAGCCTTTTCATATACATTTACGAATACAGGGACAAAAAAAAGAAAAAACACGTTTGTTTCAGCCCCCATTTGAACCGGCTGTGGCCATGGTTCTCACACTCGCCTTTTTCCTTTTGTGCCTCAACGTAAGTATTTTAATTTTTGATTTTCAAAAACACGCATTTTTTTTAGTTATGTTTTTGGATCTTAAAAACGTGACAGCAAAAATTAATTTAAATCAATTTTTTTGAGATTTTATACTACAATATCATAAACATAATTAATAATTATTAAATATAAAACCAAAAAGAAAAAATAATTTAACAAAAAAATGCAGATTTGAATAATTCCAATTTATTTGACATCAGGTGTTGAAAAGCAAAATTCTTTTATTCCAGTTGTACTCTCTCCTTTGTGTTATTTCACAATTTCAAGAATACTCTGAAGGACGTGGGAGGGCAATGGACGACAGCGAGTATGGGGTTAGTAAAATAAAAGCAAAAAAAAAAATCTCAAATGTTCGCAGTTAGCAACACTCACCATAAAGAGGGTGATTATTGTCTTCCCTAACAGTGCGCGAGATTCTTTCATTGAATATAAGAAAACTCTCTAGAATTATCTATTTTCTTCTTCTTATTATTATTATTATTATTATTATACTCTCCTAATGTTGACAATGAAAAGAGAAAAAGAAAAAATCTCAAATGAAAGCGCTCTTAAAAAAACAGTTTTCAATTTAAATTAATTGAAACTGTGCGAAACTTTTTCAAAATGTCTCTAATATAAATACGTAGAAAGAAAATTTAAAGTGCAAACTGCTTTCTTTATCTTTTCTTTCTGTAAAATTTAATTACGAGATATTAAAAAGCTTTTCGCGGGTTAAATCTACATCGAAAAAGATTAAAGTAATCTATTTTTGGATTAATTTTTAAAATTAATCAAACTTAATTTCTAAAACTAAAGATCTTGAGATTCAATATGGAGACGCTACTCTCCACCTGCGAACGTCAAGGTCACCGCTAGATGGCAGTTTACTTCTTGGAATTTCTCCTGCCAACTGGTGGTGACCTTGGCGTTCTCAGGTGGAGAAATTAAACCACCATTTTATCCCTCAACAAATTTTTTTTCAATTAAAAAATGTTATAATGAGCGAATAATTTCATTTTTCTTTCAATAAAAACTTTAATCAAATTTTTAATTTATTATTAAAATAGAAAAAAATATTTTAGTAAAATTTCTCTTTCTGTAGAACAGTAGAATTTAAGTAAAAGTGTCCAGAGAACAGTTTTTTTCGAATTCATAACAGAAAAAAGCTTTTTATTCAATAAAAAAAATATATTTAAATATATTTAAATACGATGGTGTAAACAGAAATTAATTGCGAACATATATTAGTATTTTATTAGTTAGTATTTTTTTAGTATTTTTCAGTATTTTTTCAGTATTTTTTATTAGTATAAATTTATTTGTCGTAAGGTTCCCGCAATACGCTACACAGTTCAGCCAACAACAACAGCGACTTCATGTTTGAGTTCTCGAAGATTAACAACAAACAATGATACTAAAGTAACTGCCATTGCAACGCCAACTCAAAGTCCCACTGCTTTGGCGACAACTCTAACATCCGAAAAGAGTCCTAGTTCGGGAAGACAAACAAGAAAGCATGTTCAATTTCCAGATACGGCAGCGACGGACGATGAAGAAAAATTAGGTAATTTTTTCTCATCATTGATGCGATTTTTCTTCTCCACGCAAGTAAATTTTTTCCATATATTTATCTAACTTGACAGAATCTATTATTTATATCTAAATTGAACTGTGCAAAAGTAAGCGTCTCTCTGAGATATTTCGAAAGAAAATACTGCAAAAAAATAAGCGTCTATGAAATATTTCAAAAGAAAATACTGCGGGATAGTTATAAAAAGAAGACATTTATCTTTTTGTTGTTTACTCAGAAGGAAATTTTATTAAATTTCTTACAATAATTTTTTTTTCAAATTTTATTGTTTATTTTATTTATTTATTTTAATTACAAGCGTCAGACTCATGTGATGCTATTCTCCACCTGCGAACGCCAAGGTTACCACTAGATGGCAGTTCAGTTTCTTCTTGGAATTTCTCCTGACACCTGGTGGTGACCTTGGCGTTCTCAGGTGGAGAAATTTTACCACCATTTTATCTCTCAACAAATTTTTTTCTATTCAACAATTTTATTCTGAGAATAATTATTAATTCAGTCAGTCACTTTTAATTTTGAATTAGTAAATTTTGCTAATAAATATTAATTTCTACTAATTCATGAGTAAAATTTACTAATTCAAAAGCAAAAAATCAGTCACTAATTCAAATTTAGAGAGTATAAAAAATAATCAAAACTACTCAAAAAAATAATAATATTTTAGTAAAAATTAGTAAATATTCTTGACTTGAATTAGTTTCTAAATTTATACTAATTAAAATTTAGAAGTTAATTAAATATTATTTTCAAATAAAAATCCAGTTTAAATTGAAATTTAATTTATTGAATTTTTATTTATTTTTTTTAACACTGGAAATTCGAACTAATAATTTTTACATAGAATTTTCATGCGCTTGAAATTTTTTTTAATTTCTGATGACTTTTAAAAACTGTATTATTAATTTTTATTAATATATTAATTACTATTTATTATTAATAGAGAATTACTATTATACTTATTATCTATTAATTTATTTCTAATTTATCTCATTTTTATAAGACAGTTTTATTTTACCTTTTGCAAATTATATTTATAGGACAATTTTAATATAGATGTACAGATAATAATTGAAGTCGATAATAATTGATTAATTGTAATTAAAATCTGATGATGATTAGTAATTACATTAATTAATTTGTACTTTAATGGACTTCTCAATCAATTTAATTGAAAATTAATTGGAATATAATCCGACACGATTTAAACTATTTAGTGAACCTTGCATACATATAGAATTATATATCATGATTTATTAAAATTTTATATTTCTTATTTTTCTGTATTTTATTTTTTATATTTCTTTATTATTTTTCTGTTTTTTTACATTTTTAATTTTTTTGTTTTTTGTATTTTTTGTATTTTTTTGTTTTTTATTATTTCAGTATTTTTTGGAACATTTTCTGTTGCATTTTTTTGTTAACAATAAAAGAAATTTCTAAAGTCATATAATTGAATTAATAAAGATCTTAAAATTGTTTGTTAGGCCTAATGGCTTGCGCCATTAGGCCTAACAAACAATTTTAAGATCTTTATTATTTTTTTTTAATTTTTAATAATTAATCATTACTTTTTTGCTAATAATAATAAAATTTTGCATAATAATTTCTAATATAAAATAAAGACGCATGTAAAAATTCAGATATGACGCAAGCATGCTATAGGAAATATCAAAAAAAAAAGAAAAGAAAAAAACTTTTCACATAAAAGTCATATGTATAACTTTTATCCCAAGGGCTGGGAAATACGTCGATGTTATCCTAAAAGTAATAATTGTATCGAGCAGAAAAAAAACGATGAACCACACAACTGAAGCGTGAAATATTTTTATTTTTCTTTTTAGATATCCTACCAACGAAAAATAATTCCGACAGAAAAATCGATAAAATTGGATTGGATCACTTAAATTACAATTCGTCGGACATTTGTAATTTACAAATTAAAACATCCGAAAGAATTCCATTTTCCTTAAAAACAAATGAATAACATAAATAATAATTTCGTTTCAATAATAATAAATAATTTTGACTCCAAATTAATATTTATGATGAAAGTGCTCAGTTTTAAACACGGAAAATCACCTCTTGTGATAAATTTTTACAAAAACAATCATTAAAAGAAAAAAATTAAATCCCATATGTGAGATTTAATTATATATAGATAAATTGCGCGAATGCACAAAAAAATGATGAAAATTTTTAAATTTTTGTCATCTTGAATTAAGCACACACACACGTATATATGTATAAATAAATATACCTATAAAGTTAAAGAAAATATTCTTCAAAAAAAAAATATGTGTATAAAAAAATAAGTATTAATGAATGCTGTGCAATAGTCATATAAAAATGATGAATGTTATTTAAGACTAAAATGTGATTGTATTTATATGAAAATATTTTAAAATAAATGTCTATTATTTCTGTTATTGTGTCTGAATTTATATTTTCATTTTCAGCGACTTTTAATTGTAAAATGTACAGGTAATAAATAATTTTAACGCTTTTTAAATGTTCTCGCAGAAATTGTAAATAAATAATATATGACTATTTGGGTAATAAGATAATTTTTATTGCAAATTTATTATTATTACCAACATTTATTAATTTTTTATTTATTTATTCAAAGAAAACTAAGCCCAAGTCTATTTACGAAATAAATATTTACTTGAATCAAATAAATATTTCTTTGTATCAAATAATTTTTATATAATAGTAATAATAACAAATTAAATTGTTATTTAAATTAATTAATATTATTTGAATAATTTTATTAATAAATTAATATTATAATTTATTGTTAAAAATTTTATAATACAAATAATTCCAGTTTTTGCAGCAACTGACATTTAATTGTGTAAAATAAAAATTAGCTGATTGAAGTAAATATTTGTATGATAATAGGAAAGTAATCGTTTATTTAAATTTATTTTATTTATTATTTGAATAATACTTTAATGATCGTTATTTGAAATAATTGCGAATTAAAAAAGAAACCAATAAAAATAAAAGCAATGCACTTTTGTTTTAATTATTGTTAATGATTGTAGAGACGGAGAAATAAAAAAAAATTCAATATATGATAAAATTCACTGAAATAATTAATCTTTCTTTTTTTTGGAGAGAGAGAAAACTGGCATGTGTCAGCGAAAATAACATCCGTCAATTTCATCATTAATTAAAATTAATTCATTCAAATTGTATACACGATGAGAATAAAACATTTCGATGCGTAAGAAAATTAAATCATTTATATTAGTTCATTATATTTAAACGAAATCAAATGGGATTTTGTAACCTGTATAGAATACGTTTAAGTATATTATTGGATTTTTTCACCCCCACATTATCTTCTATAATAATCCCATTAAAAGATTTTTATAGTCTAAGAATTATTATTATCCTCCTGTAAGAACTACTTTAGTCGTAAAAATAAAATTTAACTTTAGTTTACAATTTTAACATTATATACTAGCATAGCTATAATTTTTAACTTTTTAGTAATAATTACAATTTTTAACTTTTTAGTAAAAATTATAATTTTTACTCTACTTTTATGCAAAAGTATTTTACATTTTGTTTGTTTTTAGTTTTCAACTTTACTGGGAAAATATTTTAATTAATCGATATTAATGCTTTCCGAACGGATTATTTTTGTATTATGAATATTGATATCAGATATGGAATACATTTTTAAATTCAAGCTGAGAATTTTTGTTCTTTCCATTTATTATCGAAGTATATAATTTTATAATGTTAATTATTATTGTTAAAAAATTTTTTTAAATAATATAAGTTTTATTATTTTATTATTATTCTTTATTGACTAATAATAAATAAGTAAAAGTATTACAATTATTACTAATTGATGGTAATTATTCATTAATATTAATTAGTAATATTATATTATTATAATATTAAAAAAATATTTATAATAAAAAAAGAATAAAAAAATTTATATTAAAAAATACTAATATTAAAAATATAATATATTTATTTAATTAATTTTCAATACAAAACAATGTTTTGAACAATTTTTAGATCGTAAAAAAATGCGACAGAAATAAGGAAACTAGTTTTTACGCAAAATTGAGTTATATTTTTTCAGTGAAAAAATTAAAAATGCTTATTTTCGAAAAGCTTAATGTATGTAATCATTTATCAATGAATAATAATTATACAATAATTACTGTAATTATACTTATTTGAATATTTACATATTCTGAAAGAACAAAAAATATCGATATTTAAATTGAAGTATATTTTTAAACATTCGTACTTTAAATATTGACATTATTTTTAAAACTGACAGCATTATTCTTTTATTATTTCGATCCGCAAAGTTATATAAAAAAATTTTCAACTGAAAAATTCTCTTCTGTGTCAAAATTGAACCTCATATAATTATTAATTAATAATTAAATTATATGTATAAATTTCATTACTTAAATAATTTATAATATTGATAATATTTTTTTTAATAATTATAATAATTAATTAATTATAATATAATTATTAGGTAGTTAATCATATAATTATTATTATTATTAAAAATACAACAGTATATAATTTTAATTTCAATGAGTAATCGTATTCATCTGAATCTCCTCCAAAGTTTTACGCTTCGTTTCCGGCAGATATAAATAAATAAAAATAACATTACACACATTCACAGCCCCAAGCGTCCAAAATGCAGTATAAATATTCACATGATTTATAAAAAAGGCAAATATTTCCAAAGCAATAAATGCCGAGAAGAAAGTCAAACACATACTGATACCCGAATAAATGGCTTTAAATTTCATGGGAAAAATTTCACTGACAACCACGTATGGTATCGCTGTTGCACCAATCGATGTACTGGCAATTATTAATAAAATACCAAACATTGGTAGCCAACTTAGAGCGCGAGTATTGTAACCCGATTGTTGAAAATAGAAAAATATTCCCACTAAACAAGTGAAAATTATAACTCCCGTCGATGATAGAATTAGTAGGAGTTTCCTTCCAATACGATCGACCAATGTGAAGAAAATTAAGGAAATTATTAATAATATTCCCGATAATATCATACTGGCGTATTTTCCGTCTAAAACTTTTCCCTCTATTGAATTAAACAGCATTTCTGAATTGTTCAGGATTAATACTTCTCCACATGTAACTGTTATTAACATCACTCCCACACCAAGGATCAGTGTTTTCGTATCTTCTGGAAAAAAAATTTATTAATTTAGTTCTATTTATAGTGTATTTTATTTTGTATTTATTTATTTTTGAATTTATTAATTTCAGTTTATTAATAGTGCAGATGTTCGTCCATGTAGCCTAGATGGTAAGTAAAGTGCCTACAGACTTCGCACTCGATAATACATTTTAAAAAAAAGTAGCAAAAAGTAGGTTTCAAACTAAAAAAAAGCAGTAAAAAAGTAGCTATTGAAAAATTACACTTGACGACCCAAAAAACTCGTTTTAGACACTTTACAAAATTGAAAAAAATTCCATTTCATATTTTTTATTTTACACACTTTTTCCTAAATTTCATCAAAAATATTTGCTTCTTTTTTCTCCTCTTAGTAAATTAAATTTAGTAAATTAAATTCTTGCAACGAATTTTATTATTCATGAAAGAATTTAAATATTTATAAAAATAGTTTAATTCTTGACATATGAATTTTATAAAATTTTTTAAATAATTGATTTCTTTCGACTAATTTAATTAAAATTCTAATTTAAATTATTGAATTCTGTTTGGAAATTTTATGAAAATACATAGTAGATATTGAAAATCATTGAATTTGCAAAAAGTTTTTAAAAATAATTAAACTTTACAAAGAATTCTATTAAAATTTTTAAAAATAATTGAATGTCTGTGTGGATTTTTATTAAACTTTTTTTGAAAATAATTGAATTCCTAAAAAGCATTTTATAAATTATGAAAATAATTGAATTCTTGTGATAAATACCTATTGTTATTTATGAAAATAATTGAATTTTTCAAATAATTTTATTAAAATGCCTTAAAATAATTGAATTTTCGGGAATAATTTTGTTATTTATCTACATAATTGAATTCTTTCGAAGAATTATTTATGTAAACAATTCAATTCTTGGAGAGACTTTTATTAAAATGTAAAAGAATAATTGAATTATAATTTCCAAAAAATTTAATTAAAATTGTATTTAAAATAATTGATTTTTTCGAACAATTTTATTAAAATATTTGAAAATAATTGAATTCTTGTAAAAAATTCTAATATTTTTGCAAATAATTGAACTCTTTCAAAAAATTTTAAAAATACATTTTTTTAAATAAATTATTGTTTTGAGGAATTGAATTTAAATTTTTAAGAATAATTACATTTTTTGAGCAATTTCTGTAAAGTTGTATTAAAAATAATTGAAATCGATGAATTTTATTATTTATGAAAATATCAAAATAATTGAATTTTATTAAAATTTTCAAAAATAATTGAATTCCTGAGAAGAGTTTTATTATTTATAAAAATAATTGAATTATTGTGAAAAATTATATTAAAATATTTGAAAAGAATTGAATTTCTGTGAAAAATTTTGTTATTTTTGAGAATAATTGAATTCTTGTGATGAATATTGTTATTTATTATGTAAATAATTTAATTCTTGGTAAGAATTTTATTAAATTGTAAAAGAATAATAATTGAATTATTTCTAAAAAAATTTAATTATAATTCAATTTAAAATAATTGATTTCTTTCGAACAATTTTATTAAAATATTTGAAAATAATTGAATTCATGTAAAAAATTCTAATATTTTTGCAAATAATTGAATTCTTCCGAAGAATTTTAAAAAAATATTTTTTTAAATATTTAATTTTTTCAAGGAATTGAAATTAAGTTTTTAAGAATAATTATATTTTTTGAGCAATTTCTGAAAAATTGTATTAAAAGTAATTGAAATCCTACGATGAATTTTATTATTTATAAAAATAATTGTATTCTTGAGAATAATTTTATTATTATAATTGAATTTTTGGGAAAAATTTTGTTATTTTTGAAAATAATTGAATTCTTCATAAGAATTTTATAAACATTGTTTTAAATAATTAATTTTTTCGAAATATAATAAATATTATGGAAATTTTATTTTAAATAATTGAATTCTTGTGAAAAACTTTATTTGTGGAAATAAATGAATTTTTCGATTAATTAATTAATGAAAATAGTATTAAAAATAATTGAAATTCTTGGATGAGTTTTATTATTTTTGAAAATAATTAAATTCTTGTTTATAATTTTATTAAAAATGTTTTTAAATAATTGAATTTCCATGAAAAATGTTTAGTAAAAGTAATTGAATTATTGTGAAGAATTGTATAAAAATTTTATTAAATAATTGATTTGTTTAAAATTCTTTTGAAAATGCTATTCTAAATTAATTGGATTCTTGTGGAAATTTTATTATTTATGAAAATAATTGAATTTTGGATGAATTTTATATTAATTTTTTTCTAAATAATTGAATTCTTTTGCTAAATTTTATGAAAATACTAGATATTGAAAATAATTGAATTTCGAATAATTTTTTTTGCCCTAGCGCAATAATGGGCACTTTATTTACCAGCTGTGCAATAATGGACAACAATTTGATAATAAATAAATAATAATATATTAATGTGTAAAAAATATAATAATAATAATAATTATTATTTTATTTAATTGAAGCAAAAAACAAAAATTAATATCATTACTTACTATGGCAGGAAAAAATCTCTCGAATCCTCCAATTTTGCTCGGTGCCAGCGGTACGTTTAATTGATTCAAATTCTTCGGAAATGGAATTATTACGTAAAAAATTCAACGTCTCTCGAGCAGAAGCTTCGTTTTTGCATTTTATCAAATAATAAGGCGTTTCAGGAAACCAAATGAAAAAGAAAAAGTGAAATAAAGATATTGCTATTGCTATTTCAGCGAATTGACGTACATCGATAAACGGTCCAATTCCATAGGCGAAAATAATTGCAATGTACATTAGTATTATTGCACAAGATTCAACAGTGCCTCTGATTGAAGCTGGAGAAATTTCTGCTAGATACATGGGAACGGTGGTTGCGGATAATCCATTTGATACTCCACCCACAATTCGTGCTACGTATAATGTCTATTATAATTTTTTTTTTTTTGCCATTATGAAAAAGAGAGTAAAAAAAGGGGGAATATAGAAACAATGAATAGAAAAAAACGAGTGAGTATTGTATTAAATTCAAGGAAATTATTTACATATTGTTTATCTGCTATTTCAATTATTATTGTTACTGTTTATTTACCATTTCAATTATTTTTACTATTTATTGACTATTTCAATTATTGTTAATACTATTTATTGATCACTTCAATTATTTTTACTATTTATTGACTATTTCAATTATTATTAAAAGTATTTTTTTTCTGGTTCAATTATTGCTGAACAAAAAGTGGATTGAAAAAATTATGCATTTACCGTCGCCGATTTTGCGAATAATATAATTATCCAACCAATTGTCGTTGGAACAATGGAAAGAACAATTGTCCCCTTCCGTCCAATTAGATCGGCAAGAAATATTGAGAAAATGCAACCAATTGCATTTCCAGCTTTTAACAATGAAACGGCAAGTGAAGCCTCATCTTTCGTTAATTTTATCGGAGAATCGTCCTTCAGTAATTTTGACATTGTTGGCGATGCCCAACCAACGTAGGTCCCTAATGAAAACATTCCCATGCTGGCTAAAAAAATTTATGTAACTTATATTATTTATTTAAATAAATTAAAAATTTTTAATTAAAATAGAAATTAATTTGGAAAATTAACAAACCTCCGAAAGCAGCCGCTACGAATCTAACTTTAAGCATACTTTGTTGTTCAACGACTAAATTACTTTTAACTTCCACTATCTATGAATATACCGGTTACCTAACAGTTTCCTACTATCGTACTTGGGAATATCTTACACTCGAAGCAAATTTAAAGTTAATTTGTACTCATTAAGTCAATTCTTCAATGTTTTTTATATATATATTTTCAATGTTTTTTTCTTTTATTATTACAATTGTAAATTAATTCTTATTTCTGAATATTCAAAAAATCAATAATGTAACACTCAAAACTTAATATTACAAATATTATAAATTTTCAACTTTACTTTCCCCATAGCATTTACTCTGCAGCAATATTATAAACGTTACTATTTTTGAAAGTAATTTACTAATGGGACTTATTTCGTTAAAAAAAAGCCACTAATGGAACTACATATTATTAATAATAATAAATTAATAATTTATTAAAGAATTGAATGTTTTTTAAAATTGAACTCTCATAAAGAATTTTATCAACAAATTTTTAAATAGGTAATTAAATTATAATTGACGAATTTCAATCAAATTTTTAAGAATAATTTCATTTTTCGAGAAATTAGATTAAAATTGTATTCAAAAAAAAATTTAATCGCTGTAAAAAATTTGATTGAATTGAGAAAAGTTTTTGAAAATAATTGAAATTTTACCAAGAATTTTATTTAAATTTTTTAAAATAATTGAATTTTGGAGAAGAATTTTATTATTTATAAAGATAATTAAAATTGCGACCAGAATTTAAAAATTTTTTTGAACATAAATATTGAATTTCTGCGAAGAATTTTATTATTTTTGAAAATAATTTAATTCTTATTGAGACGAATTTTCATATTTTTTTTTAAATAATTGAATTCTTTTGTGAAATTTTATTGAAATATTAGATATTGAAAATAATTAAATTTTGATAAATTTTTTAAATTAATTAAATTTCTACGAAGAGTTTTATTAAAATTTGTATTAAAAATAATTAAAATTCTGCAATGAGTTTTATTATTTATAAAAATAATTGAATCTCTGCAAAAAATTTGATTAAAGTAAGAAAAGTTTTTGTAAATAATTGAAATTTTACGAAGAATTTTATTAAAATTTTTGAAAATAATTGAATTTTGGAGAACAATTATATTATTTATAAAGATAATTGAAATTTTAAAGAGAATTTTCTTATTTATAAAGATAATTAAAATTGGGACCAGAATTTAAAAATTTTTTTGAACATAATTGAATTTCTGCAAAGAATTTTATTACTTTTGAAAATAATTTAATTCTTATTGAGACGAATTTTAATATTTTTTTTTTAAAATAAAATTGAATTCTTTTGTGAAATATTATTGAAATATTAGATATTGAAAACAATTAAATTCTAATAAATTATTGAAATTAATTAAATTTCTACGAAAAATTTTATTAAAAATAATTGAAATTCTGCAATGAGTTTTATTATTTATGAAAATAATTGAATCTCTCCAAAAAATTCGATTAAATTAAGAAAAATTTTTGAAAATAATTGGATTTTGGAGAAAATTTTATTATTTATAAAGATAATTGAAATTTTGAAGAGAATTTTTTTAAACTTTTGACCATAATTGAATTTCTGCGAAGAATTTTATTATTTTTGATAATAATTGAATTCTTATTGAGACGAATTTTAATATTTCTTTTTGAATAATTGAATTCTTTTGTGAAATTTTATTGAAATAGTAGATATTGAAATTAATTAAATTTCTACGAAGAATTTTATTAAAATTTGTATTAAAAATAATTGAAATTCTGCGATGAGTTTTATTATTTATGAAAATAACTGAATCTCTGTAAAAAAATTTGATTATTTATGAAAATAATTGAATTATTGCGAGGAAATTTATAAAGAATTTTTAAATAATAGAATTCCTGGGGAAATTTTTATTATTTAATTAATCAATTAAAAATTGAAAATTTACAAAATTTACAAATACAACCTTTTAAAGTTTATCTATTCATGAAAATTGTAAACGCAACTCTTTTAAAATTGAATTAATTTTGAAATATTTAAGAGAAACTAGATTTCAAGAATAAGCACAATAACTTTAGAAAACAATAATTTTTCAGGATTCGGATCAAAATTTCCTGACTTTTCCAGATTTTTTCAAGGTTTATAAAATGCCCTGACATTTCTAGGTTTTTCAGGTTTCCAATAGTTGCGTGTCAACCCTGATAATAAATAAAATATTTTTTCTAATAATAAATTTAATTTTTCTGTAGTTCCTTCTGTATACACTGCAGACTTTTCCCATTAGTCTCAGGAACATAGAAAAAAATAAAAACCCCACCAACAATTGAACACAAAGTATACAACCAAAATGCCGATTGAATACCAACAAAATCATTCAATATCTGATAGGTTTTTATAACAAGAATTGAAAGAATATTAACAAACACAATACAAATTGTACTCGAGAATGCTTTTACATTTGTTGAAAAAAGTTCGCCAATCATGGCAAATGGCAGGCCAGATAAGCCAAGGGAATAAAAGATTATGTAGAATGTTATGCCCAGTGCTGCTATCCAACCAAATCCAGTACTTATTTCTGTAATTTGTAGATAAATTAAATGAAAATAGATGGCAACAATTCCAGTGGAAATTGCGCAGCCTATTGTGGACAATAAAAGTAATGGTCGACGTCCAATGCGATCTGTTATCATTCCAGAAAATATTGTCACAATTATTTGAATAGTTCCTAACATCATTGTGAGATATTTCCCCTCTAAGCCACTATTAGCTTCGTCATAAATTTTTTCAGCATATGCAGTTACGGCCTGACTGCCAGACATTTGTTGAATCAACAGTAAACCCAGGCAAGCTATCAGTGCTCTGTAAGCATTTTTTTTTATTTTTAGAAAAAAAAATTTATTTATTTATTTAATAATATATAATATAATAATTTAATAATTAATTAATTATAATATATAATAATATTTAATTCCCTCTCAATTTCAATTATTAAAAATGTTTACTAATTCGAATTAGTGACTAATTTTTTTTAATTCTTTCGAAGAATTATTATTTATGTAAATAATTGAATTCTTGGGAAGAATTTTATTAAAATGTAAAAGAATAATTGAATTATTTCAAAAAAATTTAATTAAAATAGTTGAAAATAATTGAATTCCTGTGAAAAATTTTAATATTTTTGTAAATAATTGAGTTCTTCTAAAAAATTAAAAAAAACATTTTTTTAAATAATTGATTTTTTTGAGAAATTGAAATTAAATTTTTATTAAGAATAATTACATTTTTTGAGCAATTCCTATAAAATTGTATTAAAAATAATTGAAATCCTGCGATGAATTTTATTAAAATTTTCAAGAATAATTGAATTCCTGAGAAAAATTTTATTATTTATAAAGATAATTGAATTATTGCGAAAAATTTTATTAAAATATTTAAAAAGAATTGAATTTCATTGAAAAATTTTGTTATTTTTAAGAATAATTGAATTCTTGTGATGAATATTGTTATTTATTATAGTAATTGAATTTTGCAAAGAATTTCATTAAAATGACTCAAAAGTAATAAAATAATTGAATTTTCGAGAATAATTTTGTTATTTATCGACATAATTGAATTCTTTCGAAGAATTATTTATGTAAATAATTTAATTCTTGGGAAGAATTTTATTAAATTGTAAAAGAATAATTGAATTATTTCAAAAAAATTTAATTATAATTCAATTTAAAATAATTGATTTCTTTCAAACAATTTTATTGAAATATTTAAAAATAATTGAATTCCTGTGAAAAATTCTTATATTTTTGCAAATAATTGAATTCTTTCAAAAAACTGAAAAAAAACACATTTTTTTAAATAAGTGATTTTTTGAGGAATTGAAATTAAATTTTTAAGAATAATTACATTTTTTGAGCAATTCCTGTGAAATTGTATTAGAAATAATGGAAATCCTTTGATGAATTTTATTATTTATGAAAGTAATTGAATTTTTATTAAAATTTTCAAAAATAATTGAATTCCTGAGAAAAATTTTACTATTTATAAGAATAATTGAATTATTGTTAGAGATTTTATTAAAATATTTAAAAGGAATTGAATTTCTGTGGAAAATTTTGTTATTTTTAAAAATAATTGAATTCTTCATAAGAATTTTATAAACATTGTTTTAAATAATTAAGTTTTTCGAAATATAATAAATATTATGGAAATTTTATTTTAAATAATTGAATTCTTGTGAAAAACATTATTTATGAAAATAATTGAATTTTTCGATTAATTAATTATGAAAATAGTATTAAAAATAATTAAAATTCTTCGATGAGATTTAATATTTTAAAAAATTAAATAATTTATTATTATTTGTACTAAATTATTATTATTTAAAATTTACTAACTCATTATTATTTTAAAAATATTATAATAAAAATAATAATATGAATTATTTTATTACATACAACTATTGTTACATTATATTATTATGAATATTATTAAAAAATATAATTCATTATTATTTATTAATTTATTTATTCTAAATGTGTAATATTTTTGTAAAAAATTTTTGTTAGTTAATTTTATCAATAAATTAGTAGAAATTCAGAAGCAAAAAATCAGCAAATTTAGAGAGTTAAATATTACATTTCTTTGTTTTCAAATAGAAAATCAATGTCAAAAAATTTCCACTCTTTTTCCTATATAATAAAAATATATAAATTTCGTCATCAATTTTTTTTTTTTAATTTATTTTAATTAGTAGGAAAAAACGCGGTTTTGTAATTTTAATTCTATTATTTTATATGCTCGAAGCGTTCCTTTTTAAAAATGCGAATAAAATTTATTAAATGAAATATAAAAAGTAAATTTTTCTTTATAAGATAAAAAAAGAACAGTAATATATATATAGTAAACGGAAACAAGCGATAAAATTATTCTTCTATTCATTTGTACAGTCTAACTCGAGCAAAAATAAAGTTATAAAAATAAGTTTGAAGAATTTACTGCGTTATGCATTCATTGAAAATATCCTGGAACTTATTGTATGAATATTAAATTATTATATAATAGAAATAATATAAACTCGCATATAACTACTTTGTTTTTAATGTCGATATTTTTTAATGATTATTTTAAATATTTTTAAATATTTTAATTTATTATTAATTATTAAATTATTAAATTATAATTAAAATAATTAAAAATAATTGAAATCCTGCGATGAATTTTATTAAAATTTTCAAGAATAATTGAATTCCTGAGAAAAATTTTATTATTTATAAAGATAATTGAATTATTGCGAAAAATTTTATTAAAATATTTAAAAAGAATTGAATTTCATTGAAAAATTTTGTTATTTTTAAGAATAATTGAATTCTTGTGATGAATATTGTTATTTATTATAGTAATTGAATTTTGCAAAGAATTTCATTAAAATGACTCAAAAGTAATAAAATAATTGAATTTTCGAGAATAATTTTGTTATTTATCGACATAATTGAATTCTTTCGAAGAATTATTTATGTAAATAATTTAATTCTTGGGAAGAATTTTATTAAATTGTAAAAGAATAATTGAATTATTTCAAAAAAATTTAATTATAATTCAATTTAAAATAATTGATTTCTTTCAAACAATTTTATTGAAATATTTAAAAATAATTGAATTCCTGTGAAAAATTCTTATATTTTTGCAAATAATTGAATTCTTTCAAAAAACTGAAAAAAACACATTTTTTTAAATAAGTGATTTTTTGAGGAATTGAAATTAAATTTTTAAGAATAATTACATTTTTTGAGCAATTCCTGTGAAATTGTATTAGAAATAATGGAAATCCTTTGATGAATTTTATTATTTATGAAAGTAATTGAATTTTTATTAAAATTTTCAAAAATAATTGAATTCCTGAGAAAAATTTTACTATTTATAAGAATAATTGAATTATTGTTAGAGATTTTATTAAAATATTTAAAAGGAATTGAATTTCTGTGGAAAATTTTGTTATTTTTAAAAATAATTGAATTCTTCATAAGAATTTTATAAACATTGTTTTAAATAATTAAGTTTTTCGAAATATAATAAATATTATGGAAATTTTATTTTAAATAATTGAATTCTTGTGAAAAACATTATTTATGAAAATAATTGAATTTTTCGATTAATTAATTATGAAAATAGTATTAAAAATAATTAAAATTCTTCGATGAGATTTAATATTTTAAAAAATTAAATAATTTATTATTATTTGTACTAAATTATTATTATTTAAAATTTACTAACTCATTATTATTTTAAAAATATTATAATAAAAATAATAATATGAATTATTTTATTACATACAACTATTGTTACATTATATTATTATGAATATTATTAAAAAATATAATTCATTATTATTTATTAATTTATTTATTCTAAATGTGTAATATTTTTGTAAAAAATTTTTGTTAGTTAATTTTATCAATAAATTAGTAGAAATTCAGAAGCAAAAAATCAGCAAATTTAGAGAGTTAAATATTACATTTCTTTGTTTTCAAATAGAAAATCAATGTCAAAAAATTTCCACTCTTTTTCCTATATAATAAAAATATATAAATTTCGTCATCAATTTTTTTTTTTTAATTTATTTTAATTAGTAGGAAAAAACGCGGTTTTGTAATTTTAATTCTATTATTTTATATGCTCGAAGCGTTCCTTTTTAAAAATGCGAATAAAATTTATTAAATGAAATATAAAAAGTAAATTTTTCTTTATAAGATAAAAAAAGAACAGTAATATATATATAGTAAACGGAAACAAGCGATAAAATTATTCTTCTATTCATTTGTACAGTCTAACTCGAGCAAAAATAAAGTTATAAAAATAAGTTTGAAGAATTTACTGCGTTATGCATTCATTGAAAATATCCTGGAACTTATTGTATGAATATTAAATTATTATATAATAGAAATAATATAAACTCGCATATAACTACTTTGTTTTTAATGTCGATATTTTTTAATGATTATTTTAAATATTTTTAAATATTTTAATTTATTATTAATTATTAAATTATTAAATTATAATTATTTAATATTTTTAAATATTTTTTAAAAAATTAACATTTTCTTCAAGAAAATTTTATTTTCTAAAATTAAAAAACATTAACAGAGTTTTCTTGTAAAGTATCAAATTGAAACAAAAATGGGTTAAATTGATGAAGAAAATTTAGATTAATTTTTTATTTGATTCACATTTTTGGTAACAATTTTTCTAAGGATATCAAAATTGAGACAAAAAAGGAATCAAAAGTGTTGCAAAGCAACGTTTTGATTTGTTTTTTGTCTCAATTTGATATCCTTAGAAAACCTGTGAAATAAATTATTTTCAATATTTTTCTTGTAAAAATAGTGTGCCAACAAAATTTATTCTCTAAATCTGAATTAGTAAAAATTTTAAAGTAATTAAAACTAGGAAATTTCTAAAATAAAAAGGTAAAAAGAAAAAAAAATGGTAAAAAATTGTTTGTTTTACCTTCGATTTCCAGAGACGGAAAAAATAATTCTCATTCCATTTCCATTGATCTGATCGTCTTTAACTGATTGTTCGATAATTTTTATTTCCTCGACAATATCCTGATTAGCTGCTCTCAATTGTGTTAATGATTTTTCGGCCTCTTTCAATTTTCCTAAACGCATTAATTGATATGGAGTTTCTGGTAGCCAGACAAATGTAATTAGAAATAAAATTGGTATTGTCAATGAGATGAGAGCTAAATTTTTCACCGTCACAAATGGTCCAATACAATATTCTAAAAGCATTCCAAATTTCGCCGAGACTGTCAACATTGATCCTAATATTCCTCGCACATTTGGAGGTGAAATTTCTCCTAAATAAGCTGGGGTTGTGGAATACGATGTTCCAGATGCGATACCGCAAATTATTCTCGATATGTAAAGTTGCTGCGGAATATGAGAAACAGAAAAAATGAAAAGGGGAGGAAAAAAAATAGAAAGAAAGAAAGGAAAAAAAGGGGAAAAATAAAAAAGAAAGGAGGAAAAAAATAAAAAAAAGAAAAAAAGGTAAATTTTTAAATTGTACAGCTAAAAGTAAAATAACAAAGAAATTTATATTTGTAATTATATTGTTATATATTTTTTATGTATTTTCTATATTTTTTAAATATTTTTTTTATAAATTCTTTTTATATTATTATTTTGTTTTATAAATGTTTTATAAATTAATACTGTGAATATCTTTTCTGCTATCTGGGTATAATTATATATTCAAAGAAGTTTATTTTTTTTTTTAAATATGTCTTTAAAAAAATATTTTAATAATCTATATTAAAACAGAAATACGAATATATTAGATAATTTATAAAAATATATTTTTGTCGTTTACGTTTTTTATGTAATTAGTGTATAGATTTAAAATCTACTTCATTTCTTGTATTTTTTTGGTATTTTTTATTGTTTTTTTTTTGTTTTATTTATTTTTTTTTTATGGAAAAATTTTGCAATTCTGATATGAAAATCAATTTTGCCAATTAAAAAAAGGCAAATAAAATACTGACCCAAGGTGAAACAGCGAAAGCAATAATAATCCAACCAAAAATAGAAGGTAACACGGAGAAAATCATAGTTGCCTTTCGTCCGCATTTGTGTACCATGAATAAAGAAAGTACTGCGCCAAATGATGCTCCAACATTAAACAATGAAGCTACCCATGAAGCTTCATTAGAGCTTAATTTTATTGGAGAATCATTTTGTGTTAACAATGGTATCGACGGTGAGGACCATCCAAAAAATAGTCCTGCCGAAATCATACCCAAATTTGCTGCAAGCAAAGCAGAATTTATTTTTCAATTTTGTTTTAATTTCTATTTTTGGAAAATGTCAGTTTTCATTTAATTCTTCCTGCGTTTAAATTGAAAAAATATAACATTCATTTTAACATATAAAAACAATTATTAATTTTTAATTTAATTAATAATATGATTAATATAATTAATATAATATGATAATATTAATATTATTATATTTTTTTATTTATTTTTTATTAATTGAGGAGCAAATTTTCAAAAGCTGATAAATCGATTTTTTTAAAAATTGAGATAAACATAAATTTAATATTTTAAAGACCTCACAAATCGACCTGTCACTGTTAAATGTAAGGAAAAAGAATTTATTAACAACGAATTTCCAATTTAAAAACTTTTTGACATAACCAAGATCCATTTTTTAAAAAATTGAGATAAACATAAATTTAATATTTTAAAGACCTCACAAATCGACCTGTCACTATTAAATGTAAGAAAACAAATTTATTAACAACGAATTTCCAATTTAAAAACTTTTTTATATAACTAAGATGACTTATAATTTTTATGTTTTTTATTAGAAAAAATTACCAAAACCTTTAAATCACTTAATTATCATAATGTTTAATTAAAAACAGAACGTCTTAAATATAAAAACATTGTTATAAAAATAAATTAATACAAATTTTTTAATTTAAATTTTACTTGCTCCTCAATTATACTTCATTATTAATAATTATATAACAAAATATTTTGCATAACAAAGCAACATTTTTCGATTTTGATTTATTTTTTATTTTTATTAAATTACATTGTTGTAGGTATTTCATTTTGCCTTCGTAAATTGAAGTTTGAAATTAATTCTAACGTGAAAAAATAATTAAATTAATATTTAATTTAATGAATACTATTTTGTTATATAAGCTAATTATAAGCTAATTATTTATTAGCTAATTGTACTAAATTATTAATATTAAAAATTTATTAACTTATTATTTTCAAAATATTATATTAAAAATAATAATGAATTATTATATTATTTACAACTATTGTAACATTATATTATTATAAATATTATTAAGGGCATTTGAACAATTGTGACGTCACAGTTAGTGCAAAGCATGTATTTGAAAGCTGTGACGTCATAATGGTTCAAATACCCTTAAAAAATATAATTTATTATTATTTATTAATTTATTTATTCTAAATATGTAATATTTTTGTCACGAAATTTTTGTATGACGAAGCAAAATTTTTCTGTTTTATTTTATGTTCTATTTTTTACTTTGTAAAATTAAGTTTTTAATTCAGTAGATATTTAAATTTAATAATATTTAAATTAATAACAATAATAATTAATATTACTTAATATTCTTATTATTAAATTCAAAATAGTTAAATTTAATAATAATTACATTTTTTCTGTCTAAATTGAACAAATATAAATTTAATTAACATGATAATTATGCAAATGTCTTGTTGCGGGAAGAAGAAGAAGAAGAAGAAATTTAATTAACACAAAAAATAATTCTTAATTTAATTTAATTTAATTAATATTATTTTATTATTATTTGAAAAACATATTAAAAATAATAATTAATAATAATTAATATAATATTTTTAAATAATAAATATATTACGTTTAATAATATATAACTTTATTTATTATTAAAAAATATTAAAATTTAATACTATTTATTTATCTATTTATTAATTTATTTATTATAAATATGTAATATTCATATTATTAATTAACAATATAGATATATGTAATATAGATAATATGTAAATAATTTGTAATTAGAAATATATAATAAACATATTTAATTAAATTAAATTAATTTAAAAAGTTATTTAATTATTAATTATTAATTAATTAGATAATGAAATAAATTCTACATAATATGTATCGCTATATAATAATAATGATATTGACAATGATATTAATTTTTATTTACATAATAGAAATGATAATAATAATAATAATAATGTCAAAAAAAATGTTGAATACTCACCTGCAAGTGCTGCTAAGTACAACATAATTTTAGGAGAATTAACGTCTTACGGTAATTAAATATTGAATAATCTTCTCGAGTAGTATTTCATTTTGTGTACCTTTCATACACGGATGCAATGAAACAGAAGCTATGCCTATCTAAAGAATGCTTGGGGAAGAAAAAAAAATTCCATGTGAATTATCCTGATTCATGCAACCCGCCAAACACGCAAGTAATTTTTTGCCCACCTTTAGAGTGAATCGTACAGTAGTGTTCAATTCATTATTCTATATAAAAATAGTAAACAGTTATAATTATTCCCAAATAATTGATATTATTATTATAAATAAAATTCCTGAATATAATAGTCGAAAGATTCGAATATAGTGCAATTCGAATATAGTGTATTTTAATTTAATTTCATATTTCTACTAATTAGTTCATTTTATTACGAAAATGAATTAGAAAAGTGAAAAATTTAATTATTATCCATTAAGAATAATTGAATTTAAATAATTTTATTTCCAATATTGACTATTTTGAATCTTTTGAAAATTAGCGCCAAATTTCCAGTCTTCTACAAACCAAACCTAACCCTTTTGAATTACCCAACCTTCATTACTGTTCATTACTCAACCTAACCTCTAATTTTAGTGCATCACAAAAGCCAAGCTCAAGCATTGCAATTATCACTGACAACAAGTTTGTCAGTATATTTTTTTTGAAGTTTATGATTTATTAATTATAATTTAGTTATTATTTGAATATTATTATAACATAATGCGAATCGCAGTGGAAGGATGTGCTCATGGGGAATTGGAAACAATATATAAAACAATCATCGAAGCTGAGAAAGTTGACAAGAAAAAAATCGATCTTCTAATATGTTGTGGAGATTTTCAGTCGACTAGAAATTTGTGTGATTTAAAATGTATGGCTGTGCCTGATAAATATAAACAAATGTGCTCATTTTATAAGTAAGTTTATTACTATTTTCCGTTGTAATGTGTCTCTTTCGGAAATATTAATTTTCTGTTAAAAGTTTGTTTTGGAATGCGTGATCATTCCGAAACATGCTTTTAACAGAATATTTGGTAAAGGTAAACTGGATACAGTTTGTTAATTATATACTCTTTTTATTAATTCCATACATTATTAATTATACAGTTTGTTAATTATAATATTTATTTTATTAATTTATTAATTCTATATTTATTTGCATTATTTTATTTTATTAATTCTATACACTATTAAATGTCCTGTTTGTTAATTATATATGTTTTTAATTTTATACACTATTAATTGTATGCACTTTATTAATTGCCCTTGTACCTAATTTATATTCTCTTTGCAGGTATTACTCGGGAGAATTAGTTGCTCCAGTTTTAACAATTTTTATTGGAGGTAATCATGAAGCATCGAATTACCTTCAGGAACTTTCCTACGGAGGATGGGTGGCTCCTAATATTTATTACATGGGTTTGGCCAGTGTGGTAAAAGTTGGAAGCATAAGAATAGCTGGTCTGTCTGGAATTTATAAGGGTCAGGATTGGTTGAAAGGACATTTTGAGAAGCCACCTTATTCTGAACAAACACTACGTTCCGTCTATCACGTTCGTAATTTAGAAGTTTTCAGATTGAAACAGGTAATTCTACAATACATTTATTAATAATTTACCCTTTTTTATTTCAAGAATATTAATTCTGTAAATTTTCTTGGTTTTATAAATAATTCTGTACATTTTTTCGATTCTATAAATGAAGCGTTTTGTGCAGAAAAACCGCATAAGTCCATTTTTTTCGAAAATCACTTTTTTATTGAAAATTTATCTTTAAATGAAGCTTTTCAATCTGGTAAAATATTATATTAGTGACTAAACTCTAAACCCTTAAAAAAATAATTAAAATATCATTTTGTGCAGAAACAGCACAAGTCCATGATAAGTTTTATATTTATTTGTGATATTCTTGACGTATTTTAATATTTTATATTAAACAGTTTATATTATAAATAAAAACACTCATGGGAAGCAAAAAGTGACAGTGGTGACTGAATTATTTTAAAATTAGAAAATATTGAAAATTGGTTAAATTTATTCTTAAAACAATTTTATTATTTATAAAATGTTACTAAAAATTATCCAAATTTAATATTTTAAATAAATGTTATTAAATATTTCATAAAACTTTGATATTTCACTGGATTTAATAAATTTTCTGTTTTTCATTTCATTTTGTGCAGAAACAGCATAAGTCCAAATGTTAATTTATTTTTTAATTTTTTATATTAAGTAGATAATCAATTAATCATATTGGATTTTTTAACTTATAGGTTAGTAGAATATAATGCAAAAAGCCGAATTAAAAAAAATCTTAACATTTACGATAAAAACAGTTCTTATTGATTCCTGAACAATTTCGAATTATGGACTTATGCTGTTTCTGCACAAAACGCTACAAATTTTCTTGATTCTATGAATATTAATTCTTTACGTTTTTCTGATTCTATAAATAATTCTATAAATATTAATGCTACAAATTTTCTTGATTCTTTTTAAATATTAATTCTATAAATTATCTTAATTCTAAAGATTCTTTTTATTTTCTTGAATATGTAAATAATAATTCTATAAATTTTCTTAATTTTATAAATTTTCTCGTTTCTCTAAATACAGGCTTCGCGCTCCTCTACTAAAATCTAATATTTACTACTTTTTTACGATTTGATACTATTTAGTATACTTTTTTTAAATTTGTGACACTAAAAACTCTTTCTTTTTTTTTTAATTTGCACTACTTCAAATCCGCTAATAGCTGAAATAAAAAACTTATTCTCAACAATTTTAATAAGATTCTTAGAAATAAATCAAAAAATTTTTATAAAATTCTTTTAAACAATTTAATTATTTTTGAAATTTTTTATAAAATCTTTCGGAATTTAATTATTAAAAAAAAAAATAATTAATAAAATTCAACTCAAAAATTTCGTTGAAAAAATTCAATTATTTTCTAAAATTTTAATGGAATTTTCAAAAATAATAAAATTCATCGCAAGAATTCAATTATTTTTTATACAATTTTAATCAAATTATTTGAAATAATTTAATTATTCTTTTAAATTTTCATAAAATGATTCAAAAAAATTCAATTATTTTCAAAAATTTTATTAAAATCCTTCGCAAGAATTCAATTATTTTAATAATAAATTTAATATAATTTCTCAAACCAAATAAATTATTTAAAAAAATACATATAAAAATTCAACGCAATAATTTCGTTGAAAAAATTCAATTATTTTCTAAAATTTTAATTGACTTTTCATAAATAATAAAATTCATCGCAAGAATTCAATTATTTTTTATACAATTTAAATTAGTTTATATTTTCATCATAAAATGATTCAAAAAAATTTAATTATTTCCAACAGTTTTAATAAAATCCTTCTCAAGAATTCAATTATTTTTACAAAAAATAAAATTTTTCACAGGAATTCAATTATTTTAAAATAGATATTCAGTAAAATTCGTTGGAAAAATTCAATTATTTTTATAAATGAAATCCTTCGATGAAATTCAAATAGTTTTAATATCTACTAATTTTAAAAAAGTTTTTCAAAATAATTTAATTACAAACTTAAAAAAAAATTAATTAAATTCTTCTCAAAAATTTAATTAATATCATGAATAATAAAACTTCCACAGAAATTCAATTATTTTAAATATTACAATTTTTAAGCAAATTTTTCGAAATAGAAATCAATTATTTACAATATTTTCAAAAAATTCTTTGAATGAAATTGATTATTTTCTATAATTTTGATAACATTTGTTTAGAATGAATTTAATTATTTTTAATACAATTTTAATTAAATTAATTGAAACAATTAAATATAATTCTTTTAAATTTTTATAAAATGATTTTAAAAATTCAGTTATTTAAAAAAAATTAATGAAATTCGTTGAAAGAATTCAATTATTTTTCATACAATTTTAAATTAATTCCTTAAAAAATATTATTGTTTTCAAAAGTTTTATTAAAATTGGTTGAAAGAAATCCATTATTTTCAAAAAATTTTATAAAATTTTTTGTAAGTATTCAATATTAAGAAACAATCAATTATTCTATCAATTATTAATTTTTGTATTTAAATAATTAAATTCTTGTAAAACTTTCTAATAAGAATTGATTTAAAAATGAATTTCAGTTAAAATTGAAAAATATTTATTTAAATTTCTAATTAATTGGAAATTTTGTCAAATTTAATTGAAATAAATTTTATATTTTAAAAGAAAATTAATGTTTTTAGTTTTAAAAATTATTTTAAAATACCTATAATCGAATTTTTGATGAATTCTAACTAAAAGTTTGGAAATTAATTGTATATCATAAAAATGTCAGGGAAATACAGTGTTAATCAAATTTTTTTGATTTTTGTGAATGAAATAAAACGAGGTTTTTAGTCGTCAAATTTAATTTTTTGATAGCTACTTTTTTCAGTCTTAAAGCTAATTTTTTAAAATTAATTATTTAGTGCAAAGCCTATAAATATTATTTCTACAAATTTCCTCGATTCTGTAAATAAATTACTGTATTTTTTTCAGTTGTCTGATAAAATTGACATTTTTCTATCGCACGATTGGCCAAGAGGTGTAACAAAATTTGGAAACGAGAGGATGCTTCTTAAGAAGAAACCATTTTTCAGAAGTGACGTCGAAAGTGACAGTCTGGGTAGTCCGGCAAATACGGAACTCTTAAAAAAACACTATCCCACCTTTTGGTTTGCTGCTCATTTACACTGTAAATTTGCCGCATTAGTAAAAGAGGAGGAAGGTCCTAGATGTACGAAATTTTTAGCTTTAGACAAATGTCTTCCAAGAAGGAAGTTTCTACAAATTATAGACATTGAACACGACGAGAATATTCCTCTAACATTAACCTACGATTTGGAGTGGCTGACAATTTTATTTTTAACAAATCACTTGTTGAGCGTTAAGAATGTGATGAATATAATGCCAGGACATGAGGACAGTGTACGATGGATTTATACACCGACAGACGAGGAGAGGGATATTATTTTAGGAAAAATGAATAGTGATTTAAAAGTACCATTGAATTTTGTCAAAACAGAGGAGCCGTATAATCCCCAGACTTCGCCGATTCATTCCGAGAAGCCTCGTTTTCAAACTAATCCACAAACGACGGAATTTTGCAATAAATTGGGAATTGACGATCCTCTTGGTTTGCTGCAATTATTATTAGGAATCAAGGAAGATAAGAGAGATTCTAGTTTTTCGAATACGGATTTGGATTCTTCGTATGCTGTCGAGTTGGATACGTCTGCCTCAGAGACTTTTGATCAGACATTCGAGTCTTCGTCGTGTACTCTCGACGATGAGGAGAGTAGAAAATTGTCTATTTCTCAAGTTAATAATTCGCCATCTCAGGAGAGTTTGGATAACATATCACAACAGTCGCAACAATCAATTTCCGAAGAACCTAGTAAGTGTTTATTCTTTTGACAATATTTAATAGAATCGTATTTTTAGAATTATATTTTTTTCTCTTAAGACAAGGATATTTAGGATGCCGCTGAGGTTTTTCTAATCGTAAATTCTTCTGTTTACAGAAGAAGTAGCAGTTGCCCCAATCGAACCAAATTTAAAAAAATTCAAAAGGCGGAATCAATCAATTTATTGTTCTCAGGATTAATTTCAAAATTTGCAATGTGTACATAATACAATTGATTTTCAAGAAATTCTTGAAATATATTTACTCGATATTCGAAAATGATATTTTATATTGTTTTTATACAATAAATCTATATTGTATCATTTTTTACAATAATTAAGTAAATTTATGTTGGTTTTTTATAGTTTTTAATCCTGATACAAAACTTTTCATTTTTTTCAATTTCTGTCAATAATTAATTTTAAATAACTTAATTCTTGAAGAACTATCATAAAATCATTACTTATAACTTATTTAGCTAATGAATAATTTTATTTAAATATTTCAAAATTAATTTTAGTAATTCAAATTCTTCTGAAATTAGTTAAATTTTTCGAAAGAAATCAATTATTTCCAATACAATTCTAATTAAATTATTCGCAATAATTGAATTATTCTTTTAAATTTTTGTAAAATTCTTCAAAAAAATTCAATTATCTAAAATATTTCAATAAAATAGTTTAAAATAAATTTCTTTTTTTAAATTTTGATAAAATTTGTTTATAAGAATTAAATTATTTTGATAAATAATAGAATTCATGTCAAAAATTCAATTATTCTTTTAAATTTTCATAAAATGATTCAAAAAAATTCAATTATTTACAAAAATTTTAATAAAACCCTTCGCAAGAATTCAATTATTTTTACAAATAATAAAATTTTTCATAGAATTCAGTAATTTAAATAAAATTTAATAAAATTCGTTGCAAGATTAAATTATTTTCATAAATAAAAGAACTCATGGCAAGAATTCAATTATTCTTTTAAATATTCATAAAATGATTCAAAAAAATTTTATTATTTCCAAAAATATTAATAAAATTTTTTGCAAGAATTCAATTATTTTTATAAATAATAAAATTTTCAAGGAATTCTATTATTTTTAATAAATTTAATAAAATTCGTTGCAAGATTCAATTATTTTCATAAATAATAGAATTCACGGCAGAGTTAAATAATTATTCTTTTACATTTTCATAAAATGATTCAAAAATTCAAATATTTTCAAAAATATTAATAAAATTCTTTGCAAGAATTCAATTATTTTTAATAAATTTAATAAAATTCGTTGCAAGATTCAATTATTTTCGTAAATAATGGAATTCAATTATTCTTTTAAATTTTCATAAAATTCAATTGTTTCCAAAAATTTTAATAAAATCCTTTGCAAGAATTCAATTATTTTTGCAAATAACAAAATTTTTCATAGAATTCTATTATTTAAAAAAAGAGTTAATAAAATTCGTTGCAACAATTAAATAGTATGTAATTTTATAAAATTCTTTATAAGTATTTTGTTTTAAGAAATAATCAATTATTAATTTTTCTATTTAAATAATTGAATTCTTGAAGAAGTTTGTAATAAAAATTCAATTTATAAATGAATTTTAGTTAAAATTTTAGATTATAATTGAATATTAAACGAGTCTTATTATAAATTTTAAGAAAGAGTTAAATTTTTTAAAGATTTTACAGTAAAATTATTAAAAATATTAATTTATGTGGAAAAATAAATAAGTATTTAATTTATAATATTTATTGAACAAAAATTATTGTGGATAGTTTAATTTAGAAATTATGAAGAAAAATTAATCATTTGAAAAATTTTAATTAGGAAGTTTTAAATGTATTTAGAGTTTGGAAATTTCGCCAAATTTAAATAAAGTAAATTTTATTATTTAAGGAATTTTAAAGAATTGTATTAGTTTAATTAATTTACTTTCAAAAATTATTTTTAAATAATCGTTTTTTTAAAGAAATTTATATTAAAATTTAGAAAATAATTGAATTTTGCAAAATTTTAGAATTGAAATTATTAGCGGGAGAAGAAAAAAATCGCCAAATTTAATTTAAAAAAGAATTTTAGTCAAAAATTCTAGAAAATAATAATTGAATTTGAAAATCTTAATTCCTATGGAATAATAATAATGATTACAATTTATTTTATTATCGTTTTTTAAAGTGAATCATAATATTCTTGACATTCTTGAGGATCAGGGAAAAATTCAAAATTTTGTTGGGAAATCAGGGAAAAACAAAATTTAATTTTTTTGGCAACCCTGTTATGATCAGTCAGTATAATCGTCATTCGTCAGTATCGCAGTAATGGCGATAGACTGTGCAGGTGTATACGTTGTATACATAGAACACAATGAATTATTTTTATTAGGAATACAATAAATATTTTATTAGATTCAGAAAATATTAGTGTAGTTGTAAAAATGTTGAGCAAAGAAGGAAGAATTAGTTTATTTTCTTTTTTTATATCATTGATAATCTCCATTCTTCCGGAGGTACTTTTGAGGTTAGAATTTGATTACTATCAACAATTCATTGAAAATATTTGGATTCTACATGCACTTCAGTTTACTCTCTTGAACTTTTTGTTAATTCTCACTTTTCGAGGTTTTTCCTATCAAGTAAGTAATTTTTTTAACATTTCTATAAATTCATTAAATTCATTTTTTTCTCTTTGACAATTTTTGAGGTTAGTTGCCGTTCCCAAATAAAATGTTTCTAAATTTCATTTAGTTTATTTCTAGAATTGAGGGGACGGCTTCTAAAAGGGGATACGCGTGGATTCTCGCGTTTAAGTTTTGTCCACTTGGTCAATTTTTGAAAGTATTACAAATTGCAATTTGAATTACCGAAGTTTGTGGAAAATGGAAAGGCGCATCTTTTTTCTTTAAGAAATAAATTTATATCTTTTTTAGTTTATGAAATAATGAGAAAAAACTAAATTTTTGAAAACCAAAAAATTTAAATGTTTTACGTCTTTAACTCGTCCTGGCGTTTTTGATTTTTTATATTTTGTAATCAAACAAAAACGAACTTACAGATTAAGGTTTCCTGAAACCAACTATATTTTTAAAACTTCAAAATCTTAATTAATAAAAAGTTTATAAATTTTTTCGAAAGACATTGCAAAAAATGTTTTTTTTTCAACTTTCAACGCTTCGTTTATCTAGGAAATTTTAAGGTACGAAAAACTTTCAGTGAGAAAGTTTTTTATTACGATACGGACAAGTTTTCTCTAAAATTTTATTAAAATGATATGGATATTTACAAAGTTATTAATGTTTAAAGCGTATGGTGCGTCAGATTTCTTGCGCCTGGAACGCATTGAGTACCGAATTGTTCGTTTGCATGGAACATATTAAGACTATTTTAGTTTATTCATTTGTTTACTTAAAATAAATACAATTTTTATTAAAGTCACTGATAAATTTTTGCAATATTATTATTATTAAGAAGTAACCAATAATAATTAGCCAAAATCGTCTGGAAATAGTTAAAATTTACTGACATACAAATAATTAGTACACAGTTATTTTGACATAAATGTAATGTTAATTTAACTAATAAAAGTTTATTAAGAATAGTAAAAATATTATTATTTTAATTTTTGACTGGTTTTTTAATATCAAAGTAATTATTTTTAAATAATATTTAACTATGGATTATGACGATTCATCTAACTTTATATAACAGTAGCATCAGTTTATTTATTCTAACATGTATTGTACGTAAAGATATATGAAATTATTTTAAAAAAAATATTGCAGAATTATTCGCAAAATAAATTGTACAATAATTCCATATTGTATTTAATACTTGAAGTTAAAACAAATTTTATTTTATTTATATCTGTATTTTGGCAAACATTTTCATACAATAGATTTTTTTTTGTTATCATGTGCACTTTAAGGAAGTAACCCTTTTTTATATGCTATTTTTCCCAAAGTTGTCATTTGTTTTCACTCTACGGAAAAATATGGTGTCCAGATGAGTCGCGGTTGCCGCGACCGTTGACTGCAAAAAAAAGGGTTCGGTAAAACCCAATACAATTTTCCCAGGATTTCGAGATTTTTTTATCACAATTAAGGAAATCGATATCTTTCTCCAAACGGACAGGAGTTTTTTAATAATTATTTTAAAAACATTAAATGTAGTAAACGAGATCATTTTGACGAAGAGTAGAAACCTTGAACTAAATGGAACAAGAAACTTAAAAATAAGAAATATTATTTTAGTTGACTTTTGTACATATAACAAAATAAAATATTTAGGTTAAAAATAAATTTCAATAAATTTTATTATATATATTGACAAAATATTTTTAACGCGTTGCAAACGAACAATTTGGGACTCAATGCGTTTCAGGCGCGAGAAATCTGACGTACCATATGCTTTAAACATTAATAACTTTGTAAATATCCATATCATTTTAATAAAATTTTAGAGAAAACTTGTCCGTATCGTAATAAAAAACTTTCTCACTGAAAGTTTTTCGTACCTTGAAATTTCCTAGATAAACGAAGCGTTGAAAGTTGAAAAAAAACATTTTTTGCAATGTCTTTCGAAAAAATTAATAAACTTTTTATTAATTAAGATTTTGAAGTTTTAAAAATATAGTTGGTTTCAGGAAACCTTAATCTGTGAGTTTGTTTTTGTTTGATTACAAAATATGAAAAATCAAAAACACCAGCACGAGTTAAAGACGTAAAACATTTAAATTTTTTGGTTTTCAAAAATTTAGTTTTTTCTCATTATTTCATAAACTAAAAAAGATATAAATTTATTTCTTAAAGAAAAAAGATGCGCATTTTCATTGTGTATAAATTTATTTCATTGAATTTGAAAATTGAAAATGTTTTAAAATCACACTATTCGTCAATACTTATACGTGAGAATCCACGCGTATCCCCTTTTAGAAGCCGTCCCCTCAATTAAAATAGAATTTTCCAGACTTTATAAATAAGTAATATTAATAAATAATACAATAATAAATATTTACTAAATGTATTCTAAAAATTATAGGTCTCAGTGCGAGCATCATTGTTGGGATACATTTTTGGAGTTGGAATTCTAATTTTTGCCACAGCACCGCAGTCATGGCAAATATTTGGAATCTACACGTCCGTCCTTGCTTTCTTCCATTATTCTGAATTTATGACAATAGCCTGGACAAATCCAAATGCAATTTCAATCGACAGCTTTATTCTTAATCATAGTGTCGCTTATGGAGTGGCTGCATGCTCGAGTTGGTTGGAATTTTTCGTCGAACGTTATTATTTCCCAACAATGAAGGAGCCATCGTCAATTTCTTATTTTGGATTTATATTGTGCTTTTGTGGGGAAATTTTAAGAAAATTAGCCATATTTACTGCAAAACGAAATTTCAATCATATAGTTCAAACTGAAAAGAATGTCGATCACGAACTCATCACTCATGGTGTTTATGGATTATTCAGGCATCCCAGTTATGTCGGATGGTTTTATTGGTCCATTGGCACTCAGGTAAATTATTAAAATTATTCAAGTTTATTTTCATATATTTATTTACTTAACAAATATACGCAGGCCTCGGATATTATGAATTTTTTCGACTTTTATCGACTTATATTAAAAAATTACGACTTTTTCGACTTTTCTTCCAAATGTTGCAACAAAATACCACATTTTGATTAATTGAATTTAGAAATCAGTGAAGAATCAGGGAAATAAAAAATAAATTTTTTTGTGACAATAATGAATGAAATAAACGACTTTTTCGACTTTTTTTCTATTTTTAATCGACTAAAGCGACTTTTTTGGTGACTGACATATTACAATGAATAATAGAAGAGAGGAAGAACTGAAGGGAATAATTAAAAAAATATTTTCTTCCTTTTTCTTGCAGTTAATTCTCCAGAATCCATTTTGCTTCCTCGCGTATGTAGCGGCATCGTGGAAATTCTTTAACGAGCGAGTAAAAATTGAGGAAATTATGCTTCTCAATTTCTTCGGCGAAAAATACATAGAGTATCAAAATGATGTCGGTACCGGTTTACCCTTTATTTCCGGCTACAAAATCGACTTATAGAAATGTAAAAAAAGCGTGTTGGACTGATTAACTAATTTAATACGGGTAGAAAAACAAAAATACTAGTTAGTATTAAATTTATTAAATAGTTAAATTAATTAAATGAATAATTAATGAAATTAATAATTTATAAAATTAGTAATTTTAATACTTTATAAAATTAGTAATTAATAATTTATAAATTGTAAAATTTATCCTCGAGTCTAAAGAATTATATTTTTATTAACGCTTGTAAACTTTTTTTAAAATAATTATAACACGTTAATATTTTAATCTGCCATAAACGTAAAAATCAAATTATAATCATAAAATAAATCAAAACATAAATCATAATTTTATTTCTCTATTAGGATGTAAAAAAACATCTATTTTTAGCAAAATTATATTTATTGTCTCATTTTCTTTTCAATAATTATCATATAGCAAAACATACATACATTTATTAGACGATAATTGATAATTTTGTCACGCACAAACATTCCGGTTGATATTTAATTTTTAGACATTAAAAAATTGTTATTTTATCATTAATACTTTTATTAAAAGTTTTTACGTCCGTTTATCAATTATATACACGTCGTTTGTTTGATACATTTTGTATTATAATTACAATAACACAAAAAAAAATATTTTCAGAAATGTAGAAAACAATTTTTGACAATAATTTTAATTTTAAATGACGAATTTTAAATAATAAATGGAAAATAGAATGAAATTTTAAATACCATTTTTTAGAAATCAACGTTGTGAGATTAAAATGCGTTTCATTGATAAAACATAATGGCAGTGATACTCTAACATTAATATTCATTAAGTATAGATTAAAAAAACACCGTACTGTTAAAATATTGTTTTTTATGCAATAATAAAAAATTAACTACGTAACTATGAAAAAAATGCTTTTAATGACATGTTACTTATATATTATTTTATAATACTATTTTCTTTCAAAATTGAAAATAAATACTAAGTTAAATTTAATTAAAACAATTAAATTGAATAAAAATCGATAAAAATAATGTAACTGAATTAAAAACAATTTAATTTAATAAAGACAATTTAACTGAATTAAAAACAAGTCCAGACTCGTTTTATTGTATAAATCCTTCACAATAGGAGAGAAACAATAAAATTTTATCACCCCAGGTAATAATAAACCACATTAATTTTATTGTATAAATGAGATTTTATGATTAAATATTTATTAAGAATTTTTTCTCCTTAATTAATATTAAAAATTTCTTTTTCATTGACTGAATACAACGCAGTCTTACCATAGAGATCGAAATGGAAGCAGTAGTCAATAGGATAGGAAAAAAAAGGCGAACTTTGAATCTTTAATTTCAAGATGATAGAGAAAAAGGAAACAAGAAGTAAAGGGGTAAGTTAAAAAATATTCTTTCTATGCTGAGAAAACTGTTTTATTTAAATCCAGTTCTGAAAATTTTTTCTAACACCACGTGGTTGTACAAAATTTTTATTATTTCTAAAATTTTCTGGAAGAACAATTATTAATTTACAAGAAAAAAAAAATAATTATTTAAAATTAAATTTTTTCTCTCTTTCTTAAATTGCAGTAAAAAATTACTATTAATTTCATTCAAAATAATATTTTTCGATATTATTTGCCAATTTTTCAATAATTAAGAATTTAGGAAGCAATAAAATCCCTCATTATAACAAGAAAGTCAATGACCTTCATGACTGTGAGAATATTTGTTTTGAAATATTATTGTTTAAAAAAAAAATTTCACAAATAAAGAAATCAGTATAAAAATTTGTCATGTGAAATTTGAGTATATTTTTATTCAGTAATTTTTATTTCCTTATAAAAATAATTTAATATTAAATTATTTAAAATTTTGGAAATAAATAATTTTACAACTTTCAAATAATTAAGAATTCAAGAGAAAATTTGTTAGTCTTATATTGTAAACAAGGGTGACAACGACCTTCGCTATTGTTAATAGAGGTTGTTTACATTCTGTCCTTGTCTATCTTCAAACCGTAATAAAATTTCGAAAAGAAAATTGAGCCCTTTCCCCTTCCCTACCTGCCTTTCTGAATAAGTTTCTCCTTCTACCTTTGTAAGTTTGCGATATAGTCTCACAGTCATTGACCTGCCTTTGGTGGGTGAACTTGTTAGGAATAAAGTATTATTCTACCAATTAACTAAATTTTATTCAATTTTTCAAACAGTTTTGGCGGATTAAGTGCCTCAAGTAAAGAACCATCAATCGAAGAAGATGCAGAAGAATTTTCCAAAGTTGGTCCATTTAAGAAGCAAGAAATTTATGATGAATTTTCCGGTCGTTTTTCATAAATAAGTAAGTATCAAAAAACATGAATTTTTTTTTAAATATTGAAATTAAAATAATACCTTGTAGTTAAATTAAAGGTATAAGAATCAAAGTAATTGAAAATAAAATTTTTTATACTCGCCATAATTGTAGCTACAGACTATTTAAATTATTTTTTATAAAAAATAATAGGTACATAACGATTTTTTCTTAAAATTAATTTTTTTAAATTAAATTAATTAATTTGCACATTTTTTTATTATTTAATTATCACTAAATCATAAATTATTTTTTATATTTTGAAATATATTATTTTATTAATAAATTACATATTCGTACATTGGAAAGGTAATAATTGTTGTAATATGTTTATTTGTATTATTTATTTAATAATAATAGAAAAGAATTAAATTCTTAATGCTACAAATTTTGCTTTATATCTCAAACCGTTTTAAATTATTTATTAATAAATTAAATAAAATAAAAATAAATTAAAAATTATTTTATTATCAATAAACCGAAACAAAACTCTAAATATAGAGACTAATTTTAACAATTTATTTAATTTTTTCTTGTTCTACAAAATAAATTTATTTTGCAGAGAAATTTGTTTCTACTTTGTTTTCAACATTCACCGGCGATAAGTGCAGAAAAGAGAAACAACAAGACATCGAAGTGTAATTCAAGACTGCCTAGAAGACATTAGGAAAAAAATTCATTCCATTGTCATCAATGTATTAGGAAAAATTTTCACTTAAAACTACGAATATTTGTAAATTTTTTGTACTTAGCGTAGATTAATTCTGTAAAATTGTATCTAAATTAATTAGCTAGGGATTTTAAATTTAAAAAATGTAATTATATTAGCTAGGAGTTTAGCAAGATAAGTTATCATAAGTTTCAAGAAAGCAACAATTTCCATCCCACCAACAGATTATCAACATCCTGAGTCAACTTCATGGCAAGATTCTTCCATTAAACATGACAGGTTAGTCAAGCAAGTAACATATTTTAGTTCATTACAAATAACCCACAGAAAAATAATCTGCTAAAAACATTTGCACAGTTGAGAAAAAATTAAGAACTTTTTCTACCAGTTAAATATCTATTAAATTAAACTTTTACAAAAATAAAAATTAATTTTTCGACTTTACTGTCAACTACTGTACAAGAATATGGACAATAATTATTGTTCATATTTTTTTCATACTCAGGGACATTTGCAGAGTTGGAAAAAAAATTCAGAAATTTTTATACCTACTAAATATCAATTAAATTAAACTTTTCTAAAAATAAAAATTAATTTTTTTTAATAAATGTCAACTACTGTACATCAATGTGCACAATAATTATTGTTCAAATTTTTTTTATACTCAAGGACATTTGCAGAATTGGCAAAAAAATTGAGAACTTTTTCCACCCACAAAATCTCTATTAAATTAAACTTTCCTAAAAAAAATTAATAATTTTTCGACTTTAATGTCAACTACTGTACATCAATATGAACAATAATTATTGATTATATTTTTGTCATACTCAGGGACATTTGCAGAGTTGGCAAAAAAATTAAGAACTCTTTCTACCCACTAAATATCAATTAAATTAAACTTTTCTGAAAAAAAATTAATTTTTTTAAATTAATGTCAACTACTGTACATCAATATGGTCAATAATTATTGTTCATATTTTTTTTATACTCAGGGACATTTGCAGAGTTGGAAAAAAAAATTGAGAACTTTTTCTACCCACTAAATCTCTATTAAATGATACTTTTCTAAAAATAATAAATAATCTTTCGACTTTAATGTCAACTACTGTACATCAATATGGTAAATAACTTTTTTTCATATTTTCTTTATACTCAGGGACATTTGCGGAGTTGGCAAAAAAATTGAGAACTTTTTCTAGCCACAAAATCTCTATTAAATTATACTTTTCTAATAATAATAAATAATTTCTCGACTTTAATGTCAACTACTGTGCATCAATATGAACAATAATTATTGATTATATTTTTGTCATACTCAGGGACATTTGCAGAGTTGGCAAAAAAATTAAGAACTCTTTCTACCCACTAAATATCAATTAAATTAAACTTTTCTGAAAAAAAATTAATTTTTTTAAATTAATGTCAACTACTGTACATCAATATGGTCAATAATTATTGTTCAAATTTTTTTTATACTCAAGGACATTTGCAGAATTGGCAAAAAATTGAGAACTTTTTCCACCCACAAAATCTCTATTAAATTAAACTTTCCTAAAAAAAATTAATAATTTTTCGACTTTAATGTCAACTACTGTACATCAATATGAACAATAATTATTGATTATATTTTTGTCATACTCAGGGACATTTGCAGAGTTGGCAAAAAAATTAAGAACTCTTTCTACCCACTAAATATCAATTAAATTAAACTTTTCTGAAAAAAAATTAATTTTTTTAAATTAATGTCAACTACTGTACATCAATATGGTCAATAATTATTGTTCATATTTTTTTTTATACTCAGGGACATTTGCAGAGTTGGAAAAAAAAATTGAGAACTTTTTCTACCCACGAAATCTCTATTAAATTAAACTTTCCTAAAAAAAATTAATAATTTTTCGACTTTAATGTCAACTACTGTACATCAATATGAACAATAATTATTGTTTATATTTTTGTCATACTCAGGGACATTTGCAGAGTTGGCAAAAAAATTAGGAACTTTTTCTACCCACTAAATATCAATTAAATTAAACTTTTCTGAAAAAAAATTAATTTTTTTAAATTAATGTCAACTACTGTACATCAATATGGTCAATAATTATTGTTCATATTTTTTTTATACTCAGGGACATTTGCAGAGTTGAAAAAAAAAATTGAGAACTTTTTCTACCCACTAAATCTCTATTAAATGATACTTTTCTAAAAATAATAAATAATCTTTCGACTTTAATGTCAACTACTGTACATCAATATGGTAAATAACTTTTGTTCATATTTTCTTTATACTCAGGGACATTTGCGGAGTTGGCAAAAAAATTGAGAACTTTTTCTAGCCACAAAATCTCTATTAAATTATACTTTTCTAATAATAATAAATAATTTCTCGACTTTAATGTCAACTACTGTGCATCAATATAGACAATAATTTCTGTTCATATTTTTTTATACTCAGGGACATTTGCAGAGTTGGCAAAAAAATTGAGAACTTTTTCTACCCACTAAATTTCTATTAAATTAAACTTTTCTAAAAATAATAATGAATTTCTTTAAAATAATGTTAACTACTGTACATCAATATGGCCAATAATTAATGTTATAATTTTTTTTTATACTCTGGGACATTTGCAGAGTTGGAAAAAAAATTGAGATCTTTTTCTACCTACAAAATCTCTATTAAATTAAACTTTTTTAAAAATAAAAATTAATTTTTCGATTTTACTGTCAACTACTGTACATCAATATAGACAATAATTTCTGTTCATATTTTTTTTATACTGAGTGACATTTGCAGAGTTGGAAAAAAAATTAAGAACTTTTTGTACCCACTAAATTTCTATTAAATTAAACTTTTCTAAAAGTCAAAATTAATTTTTCGACTTTAATGTCAACTACTGTACATCAATATGGACAATGATTATTGTTTATATTTTTTTCCATACTCAGGGACATTTTCAGAGTTGGCAAAAAAATTAAGAGCTTTTTCTACTCACTAAGTCTCTATCAAACTAAACTTTTTTAAAAATCAAAAATAATTTTTCGACTTTAATGTCAACTACTGTACAATTGAAGAGTTGAAAAAAATTGAGAACATTTTAAACCCACTAAATATCTATTAAATTAAACTTTTTTAAAAATAAAAATTAATTCTTTTAAATTAATGTCAACTACTGTACATCAATATGGTCAATAATTATTGTTCATATTTTGTTCCATACTCACGGACATTTTTTATTAAACATTTTTATTAATTGAATGTTTTTTTTTAAAAAATACAAATTTTTCGTCATTAATATCAACTACTGTTCATTAATGTAAACAATAATTATTGTTTATAATTATGTTTAATTGTTGGATTACGTAATTCCCCTCCCCGTAAGGTTAGTGAAAATTTATAATTTTCAATTTCTTTAAAAAAATTAGAATTGTTTAAATAATTATTTATTGCTTGCAAAAATTAATAATAGTTTATAGTTGAAAAAAAGAATAAAAACATTGCATTGTAATAATTGATGAATTTAGAAAAGAAGTACCTAGAAATTAAAATAAGAATTGTATTTAGAATTTTTGTATTAATTTCTTTAAAGTAAAACATTGTATTTTATTTGGTGTTTTTTACTTTCATTAAATTTTGAGTGGAAAATTATTTAAAACTTTAATGATGTTAATTTCACTTATTATTCGATTTCTTTGTTTAATAGTTAGAATTAGAGGGGAATATTAATGCCTTCTTATAAAGAAGAATGTTAATGACCCTTGCCTTTGTTAGATAATTTGTTTGAAAATTGTTTTGTTTAAATAAAATTTAGATTTTAAATATATTAGAAAAAAATGAAAAATTGATTTACATAAATAGTTAAAAAATTATAGCATAATCATTAAATAAATGAAAATTTAATTTCTCTGTTGGTGTAAAAGGAAAACAATTTTTCTTTTTTAGCAAAATTATATTTATTGTCTCATTTTCTTTTCAATAATTATCATATAACAATACATACATACATACATATATATTTTTTCGATGATAATTGATAATTTTGTTACGCACAAACATTCCGGTTGATATTTAATTTTTAGACATTAAAAAATTGTTATTTTATCATTAATACTTTCATTAGAAGCTTTTACGTCCCTTTATCAATTATATACACGCCGTTCGTTTGATACATTTTTTTGCATTATAATTATGATAACACAGAAAGAAAATATTTTCAGAAACAATTCATATACTTGTAGAAAATAATTTTTTACAATAATTTTAATTTAAAATGACAAATTTAAAATGAATTAAAATTAAATTAAAAATTATATTTTCTAGAAATCAATACTGTGAGATTAAAATGCGTTTCATTGATTAAACATAATGGCAGTGATACTCTAACATTATTAAAATTCATTAAGTATAGATTAAAAACATACCCTACTTGTTAAAATATTGTTTTTTTATGCAATAATAAAAAATTAACTACGTAACTATGAAAAAATGCTATAAATGACATGTTACTTATATCCTATTTTATAATACTACTTTCAAGTTGTGCTCAAGTACTTAAAAATTTTTTTTTTGTTAATTTTCTATCATTAGAATCCTTTTCGATCTAATAATACGATATGATATGTTACAATAATTATCAGTTTTTTGTAACAATCACTTTTTACGAAAACTGCTAATTATTTGAAATTATTATTAATCGAAAATTGAAATATTGATTGCCAGAAAACTTGAAAAAAGTATGTACTATTGTAAATTGTTTATGATTATTCTTGGCGTTTTCATTATAATTATTTACAGCGTTCTCGTTCAGTCTGATTATCTATCGATGAGAACTTGTCGTATAAAGAATCTGTTGATTCTCAGGCACAAGCATTTTGTTTTAATCATAATTATTACACCGTTGCTTTTCTATTGGTGCAATTAAATGTGATTGCTCAAGTCACTGAAAAAGAGAAAGCACACAGTTTTTATTAGAATTAAAAATAAATACTAAATTAAATACAATTAAAACAATTTAATTAAATAAAAACAATTTAATTATATTAAAACATTTTAATTCAATAAAAACAATTTAATAAAAGGAAAATAATTTAATCAAATTAAAAACAATTAAATTAGTTAAGAGTAAATATCAATTTTCCAACTATCTGAAGACGTACCTCAAACGCTCAATTCCATGATTAGAAAAGCAAAAAATAATTTACAAATTTATTAGTTACAGGTAACTTTTGCTTTTATGTATTTTTTTTTTATAATAATTTTATATAAATATTATATCCGTAGTTAATGTTTTCCAAATTTTGTATATTTAATTTAGAAAACGACTTTCATATTGTTTTCAAAGTAAAAAAATAATGTACAATAGTCTAATGAGTGATAAATGTTGATGAGCATGGCTAAAATTTATTAAGGAATTAAAGAGTGATGTGAATGACAAAAGAAAGAGACACTCGACGCTACGAAAAGCAAGATTAGGTGTAGGTTTTGGATGTATTATATTTACAGGTGGTGGAGGTACAAATGCATCAAAAATATCGGTATCCGCGTCCGGAAATACGAGCGAAGATGGAATCCATCTTGCTCTAAGCAGCATGAAAAAAAAATTGTTTGAATACTAACTTAGATTTTGGTAAAGAAATTTTTTTGTTTATAGTATTTTTTCCGGGCTTCTACTATAATAAAGAAATTCTTACAATTAATTTTTTTTAAATATTTTAAAATAATTTTTGAACGATAATAGTTTTTCAATTTTGAAAAATTTCCAAACAATTAAAATTTAGTAAAATCTTTTGAAAATAATTGAATTTTTGACAAGTATAAATAAAAATGATCAAACTTTTCAAGAATTTTAATTATAAACAGAACCATGATTACTCAAAAATTTTAATAAGTCCAAAAAGTAAATTTTGAATCTTAAAAAATTATTACAAAACAATTTTAATAATTGGTTTTTTAAAAATATTCTAAAATTTTTCAAAAATAATTGTATTTCTCAAAAGAATTTTTGTATAATTTAAAAAAACTATTGAATTTTTTGTTAAATTTTAATTAAAAATTTTGAACATTATTGTTTTCTTCAAAATGTTAAAAATAATTCTAAAATATTATTATTTTTGGAAATATGTAATTGAAAATATTAAAAATATTGAATTTTAAAAAATTAGAAGCTAAATTTTATTTTTAAATTTACTTTTAAAGATTTTTCATTAAAATTTTTGATAATTCAAAATTATTTTAAAAATTTGCAATTAAAATTCTTCAAAAGTTGATTTTCAAAAATTGTAACAAAATACTTGAAATAAATGAATTATTTTCAATTAAATTTTACAAAATTTTAACTATTCAATAACAATTTTTGAAAGATTTGTTTATAGTTATTTTTTGCATTACAAAAATCAAAATAAGTTGCACTTTTTTAATTAAAAATTGTGGTATTTTGTTGCAATGTTTAGAAAGAAAAGTCGAAAAAGTCTCAATTTTGTTAATTTCCCTGATAACAAATTTTTTTCATGACATTTACCTGATTTAAAAGACAAAAAATTTTGTTTTAATGTGTCATGGAAATTTTATCATTTATCACCGGGAAATCATGGAATTTTATAAGTAGAATTTTGTAGAAACCCTATTTTTTATAATATTTTTTTGTTTATTATTACTTACTTTTTTATTAGTTATTATTAGTTCTTATTAGTTCTTATTACTTATTATTCCCAATTTTATTGAATAATTATTATTTATTTTATTACTCATTATATGTTCCTGCAGTTAGACTCGGCGCTCAAAGTCGAAAACTATTATTTGAAGCTATTAGGAAAAAAACTTTTTAGAAAAATTAATTCCCTTTTTTAATTCATTTTGGAAATAAAAAAATCATCAAGACAGTTTTTTTAACGAAACCTTGAAAAAATTTGTTTATTCTCTTCGGGAGGGAAAAAAAATATTTTCGACTTTCAGCGACCTCTCGTATTATTATTTGTTTAGTAATAATAGTAATAATAATAATAATAATATTTCTTATAACCTACTATCTTTTTTTTTTGTTAGCTCACCTCGTGCAAGGGGAAACGTTTTTTCCTCTAATCGCCTTTTCGCCGATATCGATTGCTCCCGAATCTTGAACTTCGAGAGTGTAAATACATCCGGAAAAGCCGTCTCGATATCTTCCGTATGTCATTGCAAAGTCTGGAACACCTCCCAAGTAAACATTGCCACGTGTGTTGAGAGTTTGCTGTAAACCATCGCTCACACCACTTTCGGTATGTTCGCCATTTAATTCAATACTTCCGTCACTTCCTTGCCTCTTTAGAATTATTCTATGCCTCTCACCATCATCTATTCTTTGAGCTGCAACTCGAATCACTGCTGGTCCGGATCCTAAATTGTATTGATATTCCACGTATCTGGAGAAAAATTACAATTAATGCCATTAATTTATTAATTTAACAATTAATATCATTTTCTCATGCAATTGAGGGTCCCAATCAAAGAAAATCAATTTTATGGAATATTTGAATTATTTTTTGATATAATTTGAAAATATCGGTGAGAAACCTCCTCTTAAAGAGACGAAAATTTTCTTCATTTGAACGTTCAAATTTTTGGCAAATCATTATTATAATGTCAATTAATAGAATAACAGAAAATCTCTGAGTATTGGGAATATTTAATTTTTCAATTAAGAGATGAGATATCAATTTAATTTTTCAATTACCCATCGACTACTGCTAAAGATATGTAGTCAGCTGGACGTAAATCATCAAACGTTTGACCATGCCACATAATCAAACCGTTCGATTTATTCGTCGAAATTTCGAAACCCAGAACTTCTCTTTCCTCTTCGTGTGTCATTATCGATTTATCAAGTTCTAACCATCCGTCGCCTTTAAACGCCACGTCGTAAGAAAATTCTGCGGCTATAAATTACAAATTTCCAATTACAAAAAATATTATAATTTATAAAAAAATTTAAAAATAATTGAATTCACTTCGAGAATTTTATCAATATTTTTTTCAATAATTAAATTCTTTCGAGAAAATGTCATTAAAATTGTATTGGAAATAATTTAATTCTTAGCAAGAATTTTCTTAAAATTCTTTGAAATAATTGAATTGTTTTAAAGAATTTATTTCAATATTCTTAAAAATAGTGGAGTTTTTTTTAATAATTTTTATTGAAAATTTCGAAAGTAATTGAATTTTGTTAAGAATTCAATTATTTTCAATTGTAATAAAATTCTTTGCAAAAAGTCAATTTATAAATAATAAAAATCTTCGTAAAAAAATTAAATTATTTTTATATAAATAATAAAAATCTTCTTAAAAAAATTAACTTATTTTTATATAAATAAAACATTCTTATCAGAATTTCACTAATTTTCAATACAATTTTTAATTGAATTTCTTCGAAAATTTCAATTATTTTTAAAAATCTTGTAAAACTTCTCCTTGAAAATTCACTTACTTTAAAAAATAATTGAATTTTTCACAAGATTTTACTTATTTAAAAAAACTTTTAATAAAATTCAATTTGAGAATTCAATTATTTTAAATACAATTTTATTGAATTCCAGGGAAAATTAAATTATTTTTAAATTCTTCGTAACAATTTAATTATATCAATAAATAGTAATTTTTTCTCAGGTATTCAATTATTTTAAATAAAATTTTCATAAAATTCTTCTTAAAAAATCACTTATTTTTTTTAATTTTTCAAAAATTCAATTATTTGCATAAATAATACATTTTTTCGCAGGGATTTAATTATTTCAATAAAATTCCATTCAAGAATTCAATTATTTTCAGAAATAATTAAATTTTCAATGTTCTGGAAATCATAGAATTCTTGTAAAGTATTTAAAAAAAATTGAATATGATTGAATTCGTTTCAAAAATTTTATCAACATTTTCGAATAATTGAATTCTTTTAAACAACTTTATTAGAGTTTTTGTAAATAATTACATTTTTTTTTTACCAATTTCATTAAATTTTGTAAAAATAATGTAATTTTTTAAAACAATACTCATAATTTTAATTGAAAATTTTGAAAATAATTGAAATTTACAAAGAGTTTTATTAAAAACTAGTGAGAACAATTGAATTGTTTACAAAAATTTTATTACAATTTTTAAAAATAATTAAACCTGTTAGAAAAATTTTGTTAAAATTGTATTGAAAAGAATTGAATTTTTTACAAATTATTTACAAAAATAATTGAATTCTTGACAAAAACTTTACAATTTAGAAAAATAATTCAATTCTTTCAAAGAATTTTATCTGAATTTTTGAAAATAATTGAATTTTTTGGAGGAATTTTATTAAAAGTTTTGAAAATAATTATTTTTTTAAAACAATTTCATCAAAATTGTTCAAAATAATTGAGTTTATTTTTAAATTCTTTAAAAATAGTCGATTTTAATTAATATTTTTAAAAATAATTGTATTCTTTCGAGAAATTTTATTAAAATTGTATTGAAAATAATTGAATTGCTCTAAAGAATTTTATTATTTATATGAGAATAATCAAATTCTTGCGACAAATTTGATTAACATTTTTGAATACTAATAATAAAAAATTTTTAATATTATGCACTTAATAAGTGAATTAAGTGAATTCTTTAAATTTTGAATCTGTAATCATTCAAAAAATGATGTTTATTCTTGAAAATATAAAGTTTTTTAATTTAAAAAATAATAATAAATGGAATACCGCGTTCAGCGGGTATCATTTGCTAGTTAAATAATAATTTAATTAAATACACTAAAAAAAATTTATTTTACACAAATAACCGATTACTTGTCTTTTCTTAAATAAATATTTACTTGAATCAAATAATTGATTAGGCTACAAAAGTACTAAAAAAAAGAGTTTTATTTAAGTCAATTAAGTTGTGTTTGAATAAATAATTTCAGTATTTCATTTGTGAACAAATATTTAATTGTCTTGTATTAAAAATTATTTGATACAAATAAATATTTATTTCTTTGAATCAAATAAATTTTTTTCCAGTGTAATGAAATAACTTATTGGAAAATTTGTTAAATGTGTCACGTACGTTTTTCGCAATTTTGTCCATTGTAACCGAGAAGACAATCGCATTTGTAGGTCCCTTGTAAATCAGTGCAAGTACCACCGTTTCTGCAGGGAACTAATAATTCGCATTGCTTTAAAACATTCTCGCAATTCCTTCCAACGTAACCGTATTCACATGTACAGGAATAATCTTGCATAATACTTTGACATAATCCATTAATACAGGGATTAGAAACACAGGGATTAAATACGGTACTCATTAAAGTAGACGATTGCGTCGTGTTAATATTCTGTTGTATCGTCTCATTTTGATGAACCGTAGAACAATCTTCAACATTCACAGAATCAATTGTCGACTTTAGCAAATCAATATTCATACCAGAAACCTCCAACTAGAAAAAAGAAATGTCAATTTGTAAAAAAGTATCAAAAAATATTAATTTGCAAATTTATTTTCATTTTTCAAAAAAAAAAAAAAAAGGAGTATCCAAATTGTAGCAAATCGTGAAAAAAAAGTTCCAAATGCAATGCGAAGTGTGCTTCTACTAGAGCAAAAATTACTTTCGTAAAACTTCCAAATTACCTCATTTATACAACCGTGGAAACTTTTATCAATTCCCAAGTCTCTATTGACGATAATTTTTCTTCTGTCAACTCCACCGATGTATAGCGGAGTATTCAAACTCATTGTTCGTGCTGCTCCGGGTGATCTTCCCTCAACAGGTTGTTCTCCATGAACCGAGAGAGAACCTTGCTTGTAATCTCTATTCACTGAAATATGAGTCCAAATCCCTGGTTGTACGATAATATTCGATCTGATAACTGCCATTCCTGAGCCGACATCAAAACGAAATTCAACGTGTTTATTTTTGACAATTATAGCCGCAAAATCGCCCAGTCCCTCTTCACTTTGCGAAACGTACATTAGAATTCCATCACTCTCATCCGATGGATTGAAATTCATCGCTAATTTTAATCTGAAATTCAATTCATTATTTTAGTAATATATTTCGGAGATTTATTTAATAGCAAGAGGCATATTATATATTTGCGCAAAAAATTTCATTTTATAAAAACAATGTTTTTTGTATTAAAGTATTATTTTTATGATCGTAAAGTTTTGAACGTAGAAATGATGAATGGAATTTATTTATTTTTCCTTCGAATTAAATTTTTATTACAATAATTTAGCGTCACTATAGAAAAAATTAATTTTGACTAATTATTATTGAATTATTATGCAATTATTTATTACTATCAAATATTACACGCGAAACATGATATTCAATTTATTATGAAAATTACCAAATTTCTTATTTTCAAATAAGAACATCAAATTTTGAATAATTTCAGATTCAAAATTTCTTATTTTCAAATATAAACTTCAAAAATTTGAAAAATTTCATATACAAAATTTCAAAAATTGACTTATTAAATAATAAATACCTAGTAACATTTTTCAAAAGAATTCAATTATTTTTATAAATAGTAAAATTCTTTGCAGAATTATATTCTAAAATTTTAATAAATTCTTCGAAACTATTTAATTCTTTATAAAATAAAATTCTTCACAAGAATTAAATTATTGTTATAAATAAAAAAATTCTTCTCAAGAATTAAATTATTGTTATAAATAAAAAAAATTCTTCTCAGAAATTCAATTATTTTCAATAAAATTTTAATAAAATTCAATATCACAAATTAATTATAATTATTGACAGCCACGAATATTTTAAAAAGTTGAAAAAAATTCTTTATTTAATTAAATTATTATCAAAATTTTCAATTAAAATTATTAAGGAATCTTCATTATTTTAAAAAAATTCCAAGAAATTCTTCGAAGAACTTTAATTAGAATTTTCAAAAATGTTAATAAAATTCTTCGCAAGAATTCAATTATTTTCATAAATAATAAAATTCTTCAAAGGAATTCAATTATTTTCAGAAAACTTAAAGAAATTCTTCAAGAGATTTAATTATTTATAAAAACTGTAATAAAATTATTTTAGAAAATTTCATTTTTTATCAATAATTTTAATTAAATTTCATAGTAAAATTATTAATTACAATTATTAACAAAATCAATTAGATTAAAAAAATTAAAGAAATTTTTTGAAATAATTCAATTATTTACGATATTTTAATCAAATTTTTTAAATGAATTAAATTACATAAAAAAATTGTATTAAAATTCTGAGAAGAATTTAATTATTTTCTAAAAATGTTCATACAATTCAATAATCAAATATTTAATTCCAATTATTAACAAACACGATTATTTTCAAAGCTTGAAAGAAATTCTTGACAAAATTCAATTATTTTCAAAATTTTTAATTGAAATTATTAAGAAATCTATTACATATTTTAAAAAAATTCTAAGAAATTCTTCGAAGAAATTAAATTAGAATTTTCAAAAATTTTAATAAAATTTTTCGCAAGAATTCAATTATTTTCATAAATAATAAAACTGTTCAAAGGAATTCAATTATTTTCATAAAACTTAAAGAAATTCTTCAAGAGAATTTAACTATTTACAAAAACTGTAATAAAATTATTTAAACAAATTTTATTTTCTGTCATTAGTTTTAATTAAATTTCATAGTAAAATTATTAATTACAATTATTAACAAAATCGAATAATTCAAAAAATTAAAGAAATTTTTTGAAATAATTTAATTATTTTCAATATTTTTATCAAATTCTTTAAATGAATTAAATTATTTAAAAAATTGTAATAGAATTCTAAGAAGAATTTAATTCATTTTTAAAAATGTTCATACAATTCAATAATCAAATGTTTAATTCCAATTATTAACAAACACTATTATTTTAAAAACTTAAAATTCTTCGTAAAATTTAATTATTTTCGAAATTTTCAAATAAAATTATTAAGGAAACTCCATTGTTTTAAAATAATTCCAAGAAATTCTTCGAAGAACTTTAATTAGAATTTTCAAAAATTTTAATAAAATTCTTCGCAAGAATTCAAATTTTTTCATAAAATTATTTGGAAGTATTCCATGATTTTTATAAATAATAAAATTCTTCGAAGGACTTCAATTATTTTCAAATTTTTTCATAAAATTCTTTGCAATAATTTCATGATTTTCAGTACTTTAATTTAAAATTTTTTTAAATTGAAAAAGAAAAACTATCAAAAAAGTTGAAAAATAAAAAAGCAAGCAACTAGTAAGTTGTTTGCTAGTAAATTTTTAATTTCCATAGCAATCAATAATTTATGAAAATATTTTTAATAAAAAGTATTTCGTTCATTTGAAAGTTCAGAACTTGTGGATCATTTTTTTCAGTATTATTGTTTTATAGTACGTGTTTTTTTTTTGTTATTTGCCCCAATACCATTAAAAATGTTCACCATTCAACCGTTTTTTAGAATTAAAAAAGCCTTTCACAAAAATACCTGAAAAATTATGTTAAATTTCCCCCGAATTTCGGAGTAATCCTTGCAAGCAACGTAAAATTCAATAACGAATAAAATGCTGAAAATAATTTTTGATGCAAAAAGCTGTAAAAAGTTAGAAATAAAGACTCACCTGATTTACGTGTCTTTATAAAGAAAAAGAACGGAAATACTTTCTAAACGCAATTGAACAAAAAAATAAAATAGCTACTTTTCAGAGAAAAAAAAATTCGTTTTGTAAAATATTTATTATATATTTATTTTATATATATATATTATATATAATTTAGGCTTTACAAGCCTATTGAGTATATCGATGTTCGATTCTATACAAAAAAAGATGTAAACGAATAATGTATAGTCTAAATGTAAGTACAAACGGTGGCATTTTTTCTTTTTGCAAATTGACATTATTGTTTATACACACAATTATTGTTTTTTTTAAAAAAAACAAGACCTTCTCATTTATGAATGAGAACGTTTAGTTTTTATTGTTTTTGTTTACTTTTATCTAAGCAATTGTATCTTTGTTAAATGCGACTGATTTGGCAGTGACATCACGTCTTATATTGTTAATAATATTAATAAATCTATTATCTTTGACGTGCTACGTGTATATATTGATTAAAAAGCTGTACAATAGAAAATAACTAATAATTAATAATTAATTGACTCAAGTCCTAAAATTATTATAGCACCGCGACGTTCGCTTTTGTGAATAACTAAGGCGAAATACATATTAAGCACACTATTAATCAGTGTAATATAATTATTTTTTATAGATATAAAAAAAAGTAATCTAAAGCTAGTGATAATTTTTTTTTGTCAATAAACTCATAAGGCCAATATATTTTTTTTTTCGAGAGCAAAATGTCTTATATAATAAAAAAAAAGAACTAGTAGATTTTTTGCGACTTAGAATGAGAGCGACATATAGTTATCTAGAAATTAATAATTGACTTTCAGTGCATTAATTTCGTGCTAAATTTTAATGTTTTGTGTAGTGCAAATTTTGTGGTAGTAGCCTGGATCTCAAGTGCGATCGTTTTTGTTTTGTCGTGTACTCATTGGCCCTGAAAATAATTGCAAAGATTAAGACCGTGCAAATTTTTTTTTATATTGTAGAAGAAGCTCTTTGGAAAATATTACGTGCACGGAAGAAAAAAATTATTTAGATCAAAATTAATTTTACTGGGTATACTTTTACTATACTACTAAGATTTCTAAATACTAATTAATAAATAGTTGAGTAAATTGTTTACAAAATATTTAGTTTTACTCTTTTATTTTTTAGATTATCGTTTATTAATTTGGAAAATTTAGTACTAATGATAAAAAGAGAAAGAAGAAAAACCCAAATGGTTATTAGGAAAAAAGACAAAAAAATAGGGAAATTTTTAAATTTAATTAATTGAAAAATAGAATTATAGATATGTGATAGATAAAGAAATTAACTAATAAACATAAAATTATAAATGTTTTTTATCCTTATTGAAGGGGAAAGAATTTGTCATAAAAAATTAATTTGTCGAGAATAGAAATATTGTTCAGATTAAGAGTTTTCTTACCTTCGGACAGCTTTTGGTGTGTGATATGCAAGATATGATCTAGTATCTCTGAATAATGGCTTATGAATATTAATTGTTCGCTCGCATCTCGATCCCGATTTTCCAGATGGACAGTAGCATACGAAACCGGGTTCTAAGTCGACGCATTTACCTTCCCCGCAAGCGCCTGTAATTATATTAATTTTTAGCCATTTTTTGCTTTCATAGAAGAAATTAAAAATAATTGATAAAATAAATAATATAAAAATATAAAAAATAATAAAAAAAAAATAAATAAGAGAAAGAATAAATCATAAAGAAATAAAAAACAAAAATGATAATAGTAGAAAAAATAGATGATAAAAAATAGAAAAAAGAAAAATACCAAACAACAGAAATAATGAATAACAAAAATAATAAATAATTTTAATATCTAACAAGCTCCAATTATTCTGAACGTCAAAATGAACGAAATATTTTTTCGATATATAAATATTTTCAAAAATTATTTTTTTCTATTAAAAATCTAAAATAAAAATAATGAACAGTTTAAAACTATAGAAATTGTTTTTTAACACGAAATAATAATATTATAGAACAATTTAAATTTGAAAAATTATTACATTACATATTTTTTGTCATGTTTTTATTTTTTTAAGATTTTACAATTGAAATTTAATGAAATTTCAATTGTAAAATCTTGAAAAAATAAAAACATGACAAAATATATAATAATGTTTTCCAATTTTTTAATATTTTTTTTCTAGAATTTAACAAAATTTTAATAAATTTCATTGAGATGCTAAATTTTTTAGAAACTTATATTATTAAAAAATGTAATAAATCTTTTTTAATATAAAATTTATTTCAATAAAATTTGACGAAATGTCCAATTTGTTTGAAAATTTTTCAATTAATTATTTTTGAGAATTGAATTTTCTCGTAGAAATTTTTTTTATTAATATTCTTTCAGAGATCTCAATTTTTCTGAATTTTTAAATTAAATTATTTATTGCTTGAAGTAATTTTGTCAAATTATTTAAAAATACTTATTGTTATTTATTTTTTCACAAGAGATAAAATTTTTTAAAATGATTATTTTCAAATAATGTAAAATTTAATTACTTCTAAAAATCAAAATTGTAATTTTTTCAAAATTCAATATTGTTTTTTAGAATATTTAATAAAAATTCTACTCTAAATCAATTATTTATGGTCATTTTTAGAAAGATTTTTGAAAATGTAAAATTATTTTTTTAAATTGTTTCCAATTCCCAATTTTTATCCTAACCTGGATAACAAGATTGCCCTATAGATTCACAGTGGACTCCACTGTATCCTGCACGACAAAGACATTTATAGCCATGCTTTACGGCAGCTTCTTGACAAACTCCACCGTTTCGACAAGCATTTTCAGCGCAAGTTTCACAACTCGTTATTCCAGTGCTTTCCGTTTGATCGCCCATCAAGTCAATATGACTCTCGCCAATCACTAATTTACTAATGCAACCGACAAATCCTTGTACTCCATTCGTGAAGGTTCGATACTTGACGTACTCGTTGATTGATTGATTTCGTGGTACACCACCGACGTAAAGTGGTTCCTTTAAGTCCAGTGTTTGTTTCCTACCCGATGCAAAAACAGTGTACGGTCCCTCTCCATCGACGAGCATATTTCCTTCCTTTCGGAGTCGTTGAATTTTAATCGTGTGCCAAGTACTAAGGGTGATTGATTTATTGGCTCGTATTTCCGCTGGTCCCGAACCGAGTTCGAATCTGAAATTTAAAATCAAAAGATAGAGGTAAAGGCAAAATTATGACGCGTCGCGAACAAAGGAACATAACAGGCTTTGCACTCACCTACTTAAACCTACTATTTACTACTTTTTTACTTTTTACGCTATTTGGGTATTTTTTCTAGATTTCAACCACTAAAAGCTATTATTAATTTCTGCTTTTTTTAGAATTTCCACTACTTTAAATTCGCTAATATTAGAAATCAAGAAACTATTCTCAAAAATTGTAATCAAATTCTTTAAAACGATTCAATTATTTTCAAAAAATATTCGAAATTCAATTATTTTCAATGTCTAGTATTTTCATAACATTTCTCAAAAGAATTCAATTATTTAAAAAAAAATTGATGAAAATTCATTCAAAATTTAATTATTTTCATAAATAATAAAATTTCCACAGGAATTCAATTAATTTAGAATAGCATTTTCAAAAACATTTCGAAAAAATCAGTTATTTAACAAAATTTTTATACAATTCTTCACAATAATTCAATTACTTTCACTAATAATAACATTTTTCATGGAAACTCAATTTTTTCAAAAATTTTTTGATAAAATTCTAAGCAAGAATTCAATTATTTTCATAAATAATAAAACTCATCGAAAAATTTAAATTATTTTTAATACTATTTTTATATTATTATTTTAAATTAATTAATCGAAAAATTCAATTATTTTCACAAATAAAGTTTCCCATACAAACTCAATTATTTAATATAAAATTTTCATGATATTTATTATATTTCGAAAAAATTAATTATTTAAAACAATGTTTATAAAATTCTTATAAAGAATTCAATTATTTTCAAAAATAACAAAAATTTTCACTGAAATTGAATTCGTTATTTCATTTTGAACATTTTAATAAAATTTTTCAAAATAATGCAATTATTTTCATAAATAATAACATTCTTCTCAGGAATTCAATTATTTTTAAAAATTTTAATAAAATTCTTAGCCACTATTCAATTATTTTTACATAAATAATAAAATTCATTGCAGGATTTCAATTATTTTTAATACAATTTTACAGAAATTGCTCCAAAAAAGTAATTATTCTTAAAAATTTAATTTCAATTGCTTGAGGAAATCAATTATTTAAAAAAATGTTTTTTTTTAAATCCTTTGGAAGAATTTAATTATTTACAAAAATATTAGAATTTTTCACAGGAATTTAATTATTTTCAAATATTTTAATAAAATTGTTCGAAAGCAATCAATTATTGTAAATACAATTGTTAAATTTTTTTGGAAATAATTCCATTATTCTTTTAAATTTTAATACAATTTTCCCAAGAATTCAATTATTTACATACATAATTCTTTGAAAGAATTCAATTATGTCGATAAATAATAAAATTATTCCCGAAAATTCAATTATTTTGAGGCATTTTAATAAAATTAACTGAAAAATTCAATTATTTTCATAAATAACAATATTCATCACAAGAATTCAATTATTTTCATAATTTATAAAATGCTTTTTAGGAATTCAATTATTTTCAAAAAAAGTTTAATAAAAAGCCATACAGACATTCAATTATTTTTTTAAATTTTAATAGAATTTTTGGTAAAATTTAATTATTTTTAAAAACTTTTTGCAAATTCAATGATTTTTAATATCTACTATTTTCATAAAATTTCCAAACAGAATTCAATTATTTAAAATTTTTTTTCTAAAATTCTTCGTAAGAATTTTATTCTTTTCATTAATTAATAAAAATTCCTCAGGAATTCAATTATTTACAAAAAAATGTTATGAAAAGCCACACAGTAGAGCTGTGCAAAATAATTCGAACCGAACTGTTCGAATTTTTTCGCCTAGTTCGAATGTCGAAAATTCGACATTCGAGTTAGCTTAGTTCGAATGTCGGTTTTTCGACATTCGAACTAGCCCAGTTCGGATGTCGAATATTCGACATTTCGGCGCCTCAAAACCGAACTAAACTCGGTTCGGTTCGAATTTTGCACAGCTCTACCACACAGACATTCAATTATTTAAAAAACTTTTTGTAGAAATTTTCGTACGAATTTAATTCTTTTCATGAATAAAATAAAAATTCCTCAGGAATTCAATTATTTAAATTAGAATTTTTATAAAATTCTTCGCAGGAAATTAAATTATTTTTATAAAATTAAAATTAAATTAAAAATTAAATTATTTTTATAAATATTTAAAAATTCTTTCGTGAATAATAAAATTCGTTGTAGGAATTCAATTTATTAGCAGGATAAGAAAGAAGTAAATATTTTTCATGAAAATTAGGAAAAAATCAGGAAAATAAAATATAGAATGGAATTTTTGTCAGTTTTGTAAAGTGTCAAAACGAGTTTTTTTGGTCGTCAACCTTAATTTTTCGATAGCTTCTTTTTTTATACTATTTTTTTTTAGTTTGAAAGATACTTTTTGCTACTTTTTTAAAATTAATTATCGAGTGCGAAGTCTGTAAGAAGCAAAACTTTGTAGGTTATGTGCTTCTTCCTTTTAGGTCCCTTTTTGCTGACGCGTTACAATCATAGTGATATAAATAGGACTCGAGTGTGTACACATTCGATTGGTACGAATCACATAGATGAAAGCGTCATGCCCATAGAAAGAGTTAGCTAGTGTATCTAACGTCCCCTTTTTCTTTTTCTTTCTAGAGACGCATGCGCAGAGAAATGCCAACAATCGCCGTCAGTAGCAACTGCGCTTGCGCCACTATTTTCTGCCAATGAGAGTGGAGCAAGCTCAGTTGCGCATTGTGACGCTCATGCTTTAAAAAACAAAGACAAAGAAGGGGACGTTACACTAGCTGTCTCTTTTTATCAACCTGATGCTCTTTCAGGCCTCTCGTATCCTCTATGAATTTGTTAGTCCTATATTGTAAACAAGGGTGATAACGTCCTTCGGTATTGTTAACCCTAAAAAAGTAATTTAATTCTCACGTTAGAACTGGATATCCGCCAACAATAGCCAGCGATAGGAAGTCACCACTTCCACGATTTGTTTCATCATTGTAAAGAATTAATCCATCGTAACTTTCAGTTTTGAACGAAACCTCGATGTTGAATCTCAATTGGACGTCGGTTAATGGGGCAAGAGCAATGTAACTTTGTGGAGCTTGATGGAAATATGGCACTACTCCAGTTACGACAAGAACATTTGGAACCTCAAGTGTCTCAAGACCGTTGTCCGCCACACAAATGTAAGTTCCAGCATTTTCTGCTTTGATATTCTCAATCCTCAATTTGTTCTGTTAAAGCAGAAATATTAGATTCATAAATAAAAATATTATCTTGAATATAGAATTTTATTAAGTACACTGCAAAAATTTAAAGCGTCCTGCTGTATTTAAAAAGAGACAGTAAGCATGGAAGCGATTTTTTTTCTTGGGAGCAGCATTAGCGGGGTTTTTATTTTTCTCAGTGTAATTAAAAAGAAAAAATTAGTAACAAAAACTTTTCTGTCAGTTAGACAGAATGTCTTTTTCAAGTTCTTACTTCGTGTGGATCAATATTCGATGGCATTTGTCCTTCAAGTTTCTTCCAATGGAATTTCACTGGGGTATCTAAATTGTGACTGCAGTTCATTTCAATATCTGATCCATACGGAGCTGACACAGTTTCAGTTGCTGGAGCATCGGCAGTACCACCTGGTTTAAATAAAAAAACATGGTTATCATCAAATTAAAATGGCTGTGACGCTCCACGGGAAGAGACCATGAGGTAAGACATTTTTAGGTTATATTTAGTCGCGCATGCGTTGGAAAATAAAGACAAAAGAGGGGACGTTATGTACTCTAGCTGTCTCTTTTTATCGACCTGATGCGTTTTCATGTCTCTCGCGTCCTTTATTCATTATTCATATAATTATATTATGTTTATGTCCATGCGATAAAACACGTTCAGACTCGTTTTATTGCATAGATATCCTTAACAATTGAAGAGAAAAGAATTATTAAAATTTTTTCAACCTAGGTAATAATAGGCAAATCACATTAATATTCTATTGTGTAATTAAGATTTTATTATTAAATATTTATTCAACATTTTTTCTCTTTAATTAAAATAAAAAATTTCTCTTTCAGTGACTGAATACAACACAGTCTGACGAGAGAGATCGAAATGGAACCAGTAGTCAATAGGATAGGAAGAAAAAAGGCGAACTTTGGATCTTTAATTTCAAGATGATAGAGAAAAAGGAAGCAAGAAGTAAAGGAGTAAGTTAAAAAATATTTTTTTATGCTAAAAAAACTGTTTTATTTAAATCCAGTCCTGAAAAATTTTTCAAACACCACGTGGTTGTAAAATTTTTTATTATTTCTAAATTTTCTGAAACAACAATTATTAATTTTATACAAGAAAAAAATAATTATTTAAAATTAAATTTGTTTTCTCTTTCTTAAATTCCAGTAAAAAATTACTATTAATTTCATTCAAAATAATAATTTTCAATATTATTTGCCAATTTTTCAATAATTGAGAATTTAGGAAGCAATAAAATCCCTCATTATAACAAGAAAGTCAATGACCTTCATGACTGTGAGAATATTTGTTTTAAAATATTATTGTTTAAAAAGAAAATTCACAAATAAAGGTTTTTCTTAAATTTGTAAAAATGAAAAAAGGGATATATTAAAAATACAGGGCTTGTAATAATTGCAAATAAAAAACCATAAATAAAAATTTTAAAAAATTGATAATTAATAAATAGAAATAGAAATAAGTAAAAATTTATCATGTGAAATTTGAGTATATTTTTATTTAGTAATTTTTATTTCCTTATAAAAATAATTTAATATTAAATTATTGAAAATTTTGGAAATAAGTAATTTCAATAATTTTACGACTTTCAAATAATTAATAATTCAAGAGAAAATTTGTTAGTCCTATATTGTAAACAAGGGTGATAACGACCTTCGGCATTGTTAATAGAGGTTGTTTACATTCTGTCCTTGTCTATCTTCAGACGGATAATAAAATTTCGAAAAGAAAATTGAGCCCTTTCCCCTTCTCTACCTGCCTTTCTGAATAAGTTTCTCCTTCTACCTTTGTAAGTTTGCGATAGTCTCAGAGTCATTGACCTTCCTTTGATGGGTGAACTTGTTAGGAATAAAGTATTATTCTACCAATTAACTAAATTTTATTCAATTTTTCAAACAGTTTTGGCGGATTAAGTGTCTCAAGTAAAGAACCATCAATCGAAGAAGATGCAGAAGAATTTTCCAAAGTTGGTCCATTTAAGAAGCAAGAAATTTATGATGAATTTTCCGGTCGTCTTTCATAAATAAGTAAGTATCAAAAAATATAATTCTTTATAAACATTGAAATTATAATTCCTTGTAAATTAATTAAATCAAAAAATTAGTGAAAGAATGACAGAATTTAAAATAAAAATTGTTACATTTAGAATAATTGTAGCCACCGGCTCTTTAAATTAGTTTTGTCTAAATTTTTTTAATAATTTATTTATTTGTACATTTTTAATTATATCATTACTTACTTATCACTAAATTATAAACTATTCTTTACATTTTTATATATTTTAATTAATCAAATAATAAAAATAGAATTTAATTCTTGATGCTAAAAATATAATTTTTTTTTCAGAGATATTTTTTATTTTATTTTCAACAATCACCGGAGAGATAAAACGAAAGCAGAAATTAACAAGATGTCAAACAATAATTCAAAATCTCTTCAAGAGGCATCTATCTCAACATCCAGCGTCACCTTATGGCAAAATTCTCCAATTGAATGTGAAAGGTTAGTCAAAAAAATATAAAAAAAATTTATTTTTGTTTATTATAATACCCTACACACAGAAAAATGTTTTGTTGAATTAAAAATAATCATTAACGATATTCTTTACTTCAAATGCGAATATCAAACATATTTTTTAAATTAAATTTTTTTGAAATTTTCCATTATTCGGAAATTAATAACAACTACTTTACAATATTATATCCAAAAATTATTGCTAATATTTTTACTACACTATTATATTTTAGAGTAAGTAGTTGACATTTAATTTGAAAAATTAGTATTTTTTATAGTTTAATTTTATTGCAACTTAGGGGATGGAGATATTTTATAATGAATATAAACAATAGTTATTGCTTATATTTTTTCAATACTCGAGAACATTAGCAGAGTTCGTAAAAAAATGACATTTATCTATCGCCTATATTTCTTTTAAATTAAACTTTTTTCAAAAAATACAATTTTCATGGCTTTATTATTCAAGTATTACTAAATTAATTAAAAATTATTATTACTACATGAAAACAATAGTAAAAATTGTTACAAATTTTTTTTAATGTCAATTATTGCAAATAATTCTGAATTTGTACATTATCATTTACAATTTAATTACATTACAACTTAATTATTAGCCAAAACATTGCAAAAGTTTTATGAGATTGCAAAAAAGAGGCCATTTTTTAACTACTTACTTTTTTTTTTTTTTTTTTACTTTTTTTTTTTTTTTACTTTTTTTAAATTAGACTTTTTTTATATAATTTCCATTGTTCCGACATTAATGAGCAATATGTATTGTTTATATTTTTTCACATACAGGGACATTAGTAGAGTTCGCAAAAAATATAAATTATATTTTATTATTTAATTTTAAAGTAATTTATTTCTACATAATATAGTAGGTAATATTTTTTCAAACAATTTTTGTCATATTAATAAAATTATCTCCTTTAGTCCAATTAGGGTCATTTGGGGTAAATGTAAACAAGGGGTAAATGTAAACAGTTCATGTTTCAGCTAAATTTACAAATTTAAAAATAAGTACGACGTCAATATTTTTACCTCAGCTCACCTACAAGATGTTCTGAGTATTGCCAATATTTTATTTTGACAATTGGCAATGCTATAGTTGTAAGTTATTTTTTAATGCAAAAAAGATTGAAAATCAAAATTTTACTGTTTCAGTATTTTGTCTCGCATTTGCATAAAAATAAATTTAAAAATCAAACAAAAATATGTAATTCTTCCTTATTAATGCCCTAACAAAAATTGACTTTGATTTTTGATTTTTGTCAATTTACTTAATAAATAATTAAGTGTTTACATTTACCCCGAGAATTCGAAAACTCGGGGTAAATGTAAACAGAACTTGAACTACATTTTAAAAGAAAATAATTGAATAAATTTGCTTCTATTTCACAATTTAATTAATTTGGCAATGTAAATATTACATAGAAAAGGAAATTAGGTTCTCTTTGAAAAAAAAAATTTGATAAAAAAAAAATTTTTTTTGAAAATTTGATCAATTTTTAAAAATATTTTTTGGTTCATCCGCCATTTTGAAAATTCAAAATTTGACTTCAAATTCGTATTCAGCGACCTCAAAAACCCCCTAGTAGCCAGATTCAAGCAAATTTGATCAATTTTTAAATATATTATTTTTAGGTTCATCCGCCATATTAGATCCACCATTTTGAAATTTAAAAATTCGATTTTAGATTCTTATTCAGCAACCTTAAAAACTTCTTTTTACCAAGTTGAATGAAAATCTATTAAAATTTGTTCAAGTTATTCAAGTTTTTACATTACTAATTTTGTAACGGTTGGATTGTTTATTTATATGATACATTATCAGTCAACTGGTTGATTTACTACACATCTACGAAGAATTTTTTTTTCAGTTTTTCCATCCCTTAAAACAGTAGTATACTTGAAATAACTTGTTTCTTAAACCTCGCTTAACTACAGTGGTGTTTACATTTACCCCGAATTTTAGGAAAATTTCAAAATCTCGGGGTAAATGTAAACAGTCAGTTTTAGGCGATTCAGGTGCATCAATATTTCTTTGTACCTCATAAAATTTTTCTAGGGAACACTAGCAACAAGTTCAGGCAAAAGAAATCCGTCCGTTTTACCTTTTAACAAAAAAAAAACTAATGTTTTTGGTGAAACATAGATATTCCGTTTACATTTACCCCAATTGACCCTAATATATATGTTATCGATTTTAGTAAATTTTTATTAAATTATTTTTTGATATAAAAAGACAAGTTTAAAAATTAAAATATTTTAACTAATATCCGAATTGAATGATATACATATATACCACAAGTTTCTTTTATTTCATTTTTTATTGACAGAAGGTCAAAAATTTTAATTAAATTAGGTAAATAATAATCTATTCGAAAATTTTTTGTTTTGGTTTTTGTAACTTCTTGATGATAATTATCATTTTATCAAGAAGCAAAAAACGTTATCTTCTTTCTTATAAAGAACGAAAACAAAAACGTATAATAAAGTTATTTTGCGTTAAATACGAACGGAGTTAATGCTTATTCGTTTTTTCTAATTATATTTTAATACATTTTTTGCAGAGATGATTTCAACATATTCTTCTTAAGAAGAGGAAGAGAAGATGAATATTATTATGTTATATATTATTTTAAAAATGTAATTCAAAAATTAACGGCGACTTTTTGTTGTATAATTAGTATTTTGCTATTATTATTATTATTGTACTGCGATCTAAAAATTATGTAATATTGTTTAGATAGAAATTGTGATTTGTATGTATTAAATAAATAAGGAAAAAATAGTGACCGAAGAGGACAAGAGAGAAGTGGAAGGAATCGTACAAGGAACGAAGACAGAAATATCTTCGATCGAACAGGAATGGTATTTACTGTAAGTTTTTAATTTTTATATTTATTTATTTCTATTTCTTAGGTATTACAGCGGCTAACCAACATCCTATTTGTTCTTAAGATCATTCTTGATATATTTGTACAAAATTAAAAAAACCTTGCACTTTAAGAAAGTATATTATTGAAAAAAATATTCATCAAAAATAGTATACTTTGCATAAAAAACAAAAGTAAAACATAGAAATTCTAAAATTAATTAACTATACATTTCTTGTAAAATCAAAATAATATGCATAAATACATTTAAAGCTAGAATTATAAAGAAATTGTACTTTTTTTAACATTTATCTAATAATAATTATTACCGCTGTGATACCTAAACTCGATGTCATTTTTCTTTTTAAGCACAATGTCAAAAATTGCAATCCATTTATTATCCCCATAATATCAATTACTTTGTTAACTTTCAAATGAAAATCAAATGAAATCTAGGACAAGTTAGACATCCTATATGGTAAATTTTAATTGAAATGTATACTTAATCTTATTAATGATTAATTTAATATCGAATATGAGATTTTAAAATCAAAGTTTCTGAAAAATGTCTTAATAACAAGCTTCTTCATTAATGATCGTAGATTGATATTAATAGGATATTTTCCATAAAAGTAATTGAAGAATATTACGAGAAGAAAGTGAGTCAAAAGCATTCTCTTAAAACAATTAAGATTACTTTTAGCTTTTATTCGATTGATGTAAAAAGAGTCAATTGGTTAGAACGAGGGGTTTGGAATTAGACCGTGACGCAAGCTCATGAACATCCGTTGGTACATCCTTGACTGGTTATGAATTGAGCAGTCACACAAAGTTTATGAACATTCCCAATATACTCGTTAAACTGGTAGTCAGGGAACTCAGCATGAATTTTCATTTAATGACGAATCTTTTGACTCACTTGATTCTTGTAATTTAGTTTATACAAATACAAAATGCATAAAAAACTTGATTATTTACTCTGATGTTTAAGAATTTATAAAATATTTATAACGCTAATGAGTTTATTGAGAAATGACGGTAATTTTTTGGTACAGTTAAAATCCTGTTTTCCTTAAGAAAGACCGTTGTTCCGACACTACTTTTGATAAAGCTCAAGGCATTACTGTAAAATATGCAAGTATCTCAAAAATGTGCTAAACCTAAAACTTGCCAAAAAATGAAAAGCTGAAAATAAGTTGCCAAAGAAAAGAAAACTATTTTGCCAAATAAGTGAGTCAACAGATTTCACTTTAAAATAACTTCGAAATCAGAGTTATTTAGATTCAATTCACGATTGACATTAAGAAAGTCGATCATTGAGTAGAATTAAGACCCGAGAAAACAAATCGGGAGGATGTGGATGGGTTAAGACTTATCTCTCCAGCGGGCTTTCTGGACGTGCAGTCGTAGGATATTAGCGCCTGGGCAGTTGAGATCTACCTTGGCACTGTGCAAAGCGTGGATCCGTTCGGAAGAAACCATATCTACCGCTACCGATAAAAAATGTAAACTACTTAAAAATAATGAATAGATAAAGTAATAAAAAATAGTTAACGAGTTTTGAAGCTTTAAGCAGATACGGAACAAATTAGGTAAATGGCACATATTTCCTAATAGAACATCCCTTCATGGAAATGGTCGAAATAAGAAAAAATTGTTGAATACATAAGGTTAACAAATAAAAATCAGTTAAAGAAAAATTTAAAAAAATAAATAAATAACTAAGAAATAAAAAAGTATTTAATGAACTTGACACTATAAGTAGATACAGGCAATGTTAGATAAATGCCACCCATCGCCTAATAGTAGATCTCTTCAAGGAAATATTAAAAATAAAAGATAATAGAGCAAATAGTTGAATACATAAAGTTGTCAAATAAAAAATGATTAAAGAAAAATACTGAGGAATGCAAAAGTAGTGGAAAAATAACTAGTAAAATGCTCGATGCTTTTAAGCAGGTACGGGTCATATTAAGTAAATTCTTTCATTACACCCCATCCTCAAGAGAAAAAAAACAAAAAATTGAAAAATGTGTACATGGTTAGAGAGAAATAAAAAATAATAAGTAATTGAAGAATTAGAAATTTATTCTAATCGGGAGGATGTGGATGTGGTTAAGACTTATCTCTCCAGCGGGGGCTTCCTAACTAATTCCTAAATAATTAACAGTTGAAGAATTAGAAATTTGTTCTAATCACAATGTAGTTCGAAAACATAGTAAACATTAAAGATTGGTTTAAAGCAAACGAATTTGGCGTTCTTTTTGTAATGGTATAATCTGTTGTTCATGGTGTCAATTATCTCCTTTGTTACAAAAATATTTGAAAACGGCGTTTGGGAAGTCACCTGAGACCAATGCTCTCTGAAGGGTCCACGATGGGTATTGGATTCATCTATGGTGAATCACACACCCTGAAGGGTACTTAATTAGATAGAAAGAATTCGGTTGACACGAATGAATGTCATTTTTGCAAACTAATAACTGTTGACTCTCTTATATTTAGTATTTTCACAAAGATATCTTTTTAATTATAAGGAAAGGATGAAATTAACCTTTTCCTGCTACTTAAAATTAATATTTATTGATTGATATTGAATATTTGCAAATTTTACAGTTTTGTCTTGACAAATATACAAAGTTGCCTCCCTACTTAGTAATAGCATACAGAATTACTTTGTTAACTTTTAAATTAAACCTAAGATAAGATAATAAAAAAGTATAAAAAAAATTTAATTATTTTACACTAAAATTACAATAAACTTTACATTATTACTGAGCCTGAAATAAGTTATGATAATAAATGCAAAAGTAAACATTTCGAATATATAAAATAATAGCTTAAATCATTTTAATCTGAGATTTGCAGAAAAGATTATATATTTAATGAAATTAGTTTTATATTTTCAAAAAAATATTGATTACATTTAAATAAGCTTATTTGTAATAAACATCTTCAATCGTCGACTGAGGAGTATCTTTATCGAAAATATATTAATTAATTAAAATTTATTCATTAGACGTATTACAAATTTTCAAATTAAAATTATGTCCGGAGACATATGAATACAATGTTTATGGGAGGCAACAATAATAGTAAAGTACAAATAACAATGACGACTCGAAACATTCTTAACGGTTCTGCCCCATTCTCGATTCTATTTTTCGCTACGGCCTTTATCAATTTTCATCGTTCATCAAAAAGAGATCTTTTATATATACATAATTCAACTTTTTTATTAGACTTCTTTCGAGAGCAAGTAAGTGAATTTAATTACGTTAAATAAATAAAATAACAATCGTAATAGTATAAAAATTATTTTTAACTTACTGCAGGTACTTTTCTCAAATAATTCAAAATTCAATAGAAAAGTTAATCCCATAATGTAAACAAGTCATTTAACCACCTTGAGCATGGTTAGAAAATTTATTTTGTGCCAAATGAAATTTTAAAGAGAATAAAATATTAAATTCATTAAGAAAAAATAATTTATAAATATTTTAAAACCTATTTTTATTTAAAAACAATAAATAAAAAATTAATAAAAATAGAATTCAAAAATTAGAATTAATTAATATTAGATAATATTGTAGGGCAACTTCTCCTTAACAATTTTCAATATAAAAAAGTTTTTGATATTTTCTCGTAAAATACATGTTTTGTCCTGTTTGGAAAATTTTGTTTTTTTTTAAATTTAGCCCCATGCTGGGGCTAAATGTTAAATTATATTTCTAGCCTACTAAAACTATTTTCTGATATATAGGTGTTAAGTAGTAAATAAGTGAAAGTGTACGTAAACAAGTAATTTAGTTAATAAAAGATCTGTGTTTATTTAACAAAAGCTTTAGAACAGTTATAAAGTTAATAAATTAAAATAAAAAAAAATGTTTGATTTATTTCACGTGAACGGTCTTTTGACAGAAAATTTAATTTATTTACATAGAAATTAACTAAAAATATTTATTCTTCTAGTTTTGGCGTTGACAGAAAATTTAATTTATTTACATAGAAATTAATTAAAAATATTTATTCTTCTAGTTTTGGCGTCAACTCACGCAACATTCTACCATCTGAAGAGGAGGGGAACCACCTGAAATGCAGAGGGGTAAGTAAAACTAATACGAATATTTTATTTTCCTTTCTTTATTTCTTCTCCAAAAAACTTTTCATTTAATTCTTACACTATCTTTTCTCTTACTTCATTCTTTTTTCAAAACTAAAATTCTTTAAAGTCATTTTTTTAAATTCCATACTATTTCACTCTCTTTGTATTTTTTCACTTCAGTCTCCTCTAGGGAAAACGCATTTTGCTTATTCTCTGGAGAATAGGACAGTTTCTCCCACCAGTTGTAGAAATTGACTTGTTCCTGGCGAATAAGATGAAAATGTCGTTTTCTTTCCCTGGAGGAACGACTAGTTTTTCCAACTCAGTCGTTCACTGACTCTTTGGTGAACGGCTGGGTTAACTGCTTCTCTCAACTATCTTTTTTCTTCTATCTTCTTTTTTTACATGTCTTCTTATTTTTTTCTGTCTTTTAAGTCTCCCCTAGGGAAAACGCACTTTACTTATTCTCTTGGCAGTGGGGCAATATCTGAATTAGTAGAAATTGCTTTACTCCTGTCGAATAAGTCAAAGTGTCGTCTTCTTTCCCTGAGGGACCGACTTCTCTATCTACCTAGTAGAGCTGATGTCACCTCTCCTTTGGAGGGACTCAGTCTCCCCTAGGGAAAACGCACTTCTCTTGCTCTCTAGGGAGTAGAGGGAAACTTCTTCTCCGGAAGTAGAAGTTTCTCTTTGGGAGTAAGATGAAGTGTCGTCATCTTTCCCTGGGGGACCGGCTAGTCTCTGTTTACCAATAGAAGAGCAGACATCAGTTCTCCCTCCCTTCCTTTTGGTGGAAAAGACTTGCAACAAGTCTTCTTTCCGAAGAAAGTCTTTCCACCAACTCAGTCCTTCACAGACTCCCTAGTGAAGGACTTGAGAATTACCTCCTCCCCTTACCTTTCCCAGGGGAGAGTGTGACGACTTTCTCTCCCTACTTGGGAAACGAAGTCGTCCTCAAGGAGAGAAGTTGTCGACTTCACTCTCCTTGAGTAGAGAAAAGTCGGAAGTCGTCCTCGGAAAGGGGATGGCGACTTTCTCAATTCCAGAAGAAGTCGAACGGGTAAGAAGGTCACTGTGAATACCGACCTCTAGAGATGAAAAAAAAATTGACGTACACCCCCCTCTTTTTCTTTCTCAAGGAGAGTTGTGGTGCTCCTCTCCTTGACTTCGACTTCTACGGAGAAGTGGAAAGACTTGGTCATTTCCAACTTCCCTACTCGAGGAGATCGAAGTCGGAAACTCTCTCCTCGAGGACGAGTTTGGTTTCTCCCAAGTGGGGGAGATTTATCCCAAGTGGAAGAGAAAGTCGTAAAACTCTCCCACTTGGAAAACGACTTCTTTTTCTCACTAGGGAGAGAGAGAAGTCGTCAACTTCCTCCTTTCCTGTTCCCTCCATTTCCTACTTCTCCTTCCACCAACAGAGAACTAACTCTCCATTGTAAGAGTAGGAAAGGGAGGGGATAGAAAAATCGGAAAGAGTAGAAAAAAGGAGGGGAGGTTTAGGAACTAAGGTTGGAAAGTGTTGGAGGAAAATTCGATTATTTAAATCAATCAGAAGTATTTTTAGCCATAATAATTAATACAGCATAAATTTCAATTAGTTTCAATCGAAATCAATGATGTATAATTATGACTGTTGTTCCTTCTAACTGATTCAAATTTAAAAATAAATATAAGGAATGAAGAGGAATTGAAGTTTCTTACTGGAAGACATTTTCAATTCTCCTTCTTCCTTAATTTTTCTCAACAAAAATAAAAGTACGTAAACCTTATGCGTGCCATTCAATTAACAATAAAATTCTATCTACCTGTTAATTTCTAAACTTCGTCTATTTTCTGTTTTCTAGATGGTTCAAGTCTGATGCTACCTTTGGATCGACAACAGTTATTTTGCGTTAATTTAAGAAGAATTACAAAAAAAATGTACTTTTTTTAAGAAGTAAAATAAAAGTTTTTTCTAAAATAAAATTTTTATTATTTTTAAGAATTGTACTAACAAAAACCTTTTTCCCTTTGTATATATAATTTTGCAAATTTTTTTTCTTTGTTTTAAAAAATACGAAATCATAAATAAATATCAAGTAAATAATAGTAGTACATTATGCAACAAGGGAGGTAAGTCCGAATTTATATGTCAAGCTTACCTCCCACACGCAGAGAAAAATTTTATTCAAACCAAATATATTTTATTTGAGTTAAATAAACGTATATTTAGTACAATTTTTTTACAATTTCTGGCACGACGAAAGTACGCACTAATTTTTTTGTCAATAAAAATATATAATCTACTATGAGTTTTTAATGTTTCTAAAAATTGAGAAAATGAAGTTTCAATTTATTTCCAAACAAAATGATCTAAAATGATTTTTGTATTTGAATTAAGTAAGTATGTTTTTTCAATGTAAATTAACTTTCGTTTCAACTAAATTTTTCGTAATTAAAATCATAATAAAGTTAAGTCTTAATTTAAAATTGAATTTTAATATAAGTACAAAGTTTATATTATTAAAATTATATTTAAAAGAAAGAAAAAGTAAATTAGAAATTATAAACGAAATAATATTATTTAACTTTATTTATTACTTTATAATTCATCTAATATTATTTAAAATTTTAAATTTTGTAATAATAAAATACAGATTTAAAGTTAAAATTAAATTTAAAAGAAAGAAAAAGCAAATTTAAAAATTATAAAGGAAAAAATAAAAAAAACTAATTCTCAATTTTTAGAAACATATGCTGAAGTAAAATGTTTCAATTATAAAAATTAGAAAAACTCACGGTTTACCCTATTTACCAAAGTCAAATCTTCATCCACAGTTGATTATCCCACGATGTTCTTCAGAAAAAAAATCACACATTTATATACTTCAACACTCACTAACACATTATTATAATATCACTTTTTTCTACCAAACACATTATTAAAAAAAAAAATAATTCACTTATTAAGACAATACAATCACTTTCGAAAGAAAAATAATTAGAAAAATTAATTTAAAAAAAATTAAAACTAAATATATAAAAATTGTTACAAAAAACTCAATCACTCCCGGAACTAACACTGTATGTTGAGTAGAAAAATAATTTTTCTTTAGACACCAATTTTTCGAAGCAGAATGTTGAAGAGAAGTTCCTGAAATGAGAAATAAAAATGAGCGACTCAAAATTATTAACTTCAAAATTGAGCCCCTAAATTCTATAACGGTCGCTACGCGCGGCCCGGAAGGGATAATACTAGTCAGGTAGCAGTGAAGGGACCAGAGGGGCTCACTGCTACCTGACTGGTACAAACCCTCCCAAACCGCGCGCAAAATCCAGGGTCATTGACCTTTTCTATTGTCCCAATAAACAATGGAGATTATTTCAATTTAATAAACAAATATTATTATTAATATTTTTGCAAACTCTGAAAATATTTCTGAGTATGAATAAAATTATAACCAGTAATTACTGCTTAAAATAATGTACAGCAGTGGACATTAATATTTGAAAATGAAATAATTTAAGGAAAATATCTAATTTTAGGCGAATCTATTGAATACAAAAATTCATGAATTTTTTGGCAAGCTAAGAAAACATTTATGAGGGTAAAAAAAATTATAACCAGTAATTACTGCTAAAAATAAGGTACAGCAGTGGACATTAATATTTTAATAATAGAAAATTTATGGAAAATGTCTAATTTAAGGCGAATCTATGGGATGGAAAAATTCCTGAATTTTTTTCGAAAATCAGTAAATATTTCTGAGTGTGAAAAAAATTATAACCAGCATTTACTTTCTAAAATAATGTACAGCAAAACATTGCTGATTATGGCAAACATTATAACCAGTAATTATTGCTTAAAATAATGTACAGCAGTCGACATTAACATTTGAAAATGAGAAAATTTTAGAAAAATGTCTAATTTAAGGCGAATCTATTGGATGCAAAAAATCCTGAAATTTTTTGCATACTCAGAAAACATTTCTGAGTGTGAAAAAAATTATAACCAGTAATTACTGCTTAAAATAATGTACAGCAGTGGACATTAATATTTTAAAAATAGAAAATTTATGGAAAATGTCTAATTTAAGGCAAATCTGTTGGATGGAAAAAGTCCTTAACTTTTTTGCAAATTCAGAAAACATTTCTGAGTATGAAAAAAATTATAACCAGTAATTACTGCTTAAAATAATGTACAGCAGTGGACAATATATTTTAAAAATAGAAAATTTATGGAAAATGTCTAATTTAAGGCTAATTTGTTTAATGTCTAATTTCTGTTGGATAGAAAAAGTCCTTAATTTTTTTTACAAATTCAGTAAATATTTCTGAGTGTGAAAGATATTATAACTAGTAATTACTGCTAGAAATAAGGTACAGCAGTGGACATAAATATTTGAAAATTAGAAAATTTTTGGAAAATGTCTAATTTAAGGCGAATCTATGGGATGGAAAAATTCCTCAATTATTTTGGAAACTCAGTAAATATTTCTGAGTGTGAAAAAAATTATAACCAGCATTTACTTTCTAAAATAATGTACAGCAAAACATTGCTGACTATGACAAAAATTATAACCAGTAATTATTGCTTAAAATAATGTACAGCAGTCGACATTAATATTTGAAAATGAGAAAATTTTAGAAAAATGTCTAATTTAAGGCGAATCTATTGGATGCAAAAAATCCTGAAATTTTTTGCATACTCAGAAAACATTTCTGAGTGTGAAAAAAATTATAACCAGTAATTACTGCTTAAAATAATGTACAGCAGTGGACATTAATATTTTAAAAATAGAAAATTTATGGAAAATGTCTAATTTAAGGAAAATCTGTTGGATGGAAAAAGTCCTCAACTTTTTTGCAAATTTAGAAAACATTTGAGTATGAAAAAAATTATAACCAGTAATTACTGCTTAAAATAATGTACAGCAGTGGACAATATATTTTAAAAATAGAAAATTTATGGAAAATGTCTAATTTAAGGCTAATTTGTTTAATGTCTAATTTCTGTTGGATAGAAAAAGTCCTTAATTTTTTTTGCAAATTCAGTAAATATTTCTGAGTGTGAAAGAAATTATAACTAGTAATTACTGCTAGAAATAAGGTACAGCAGTGGACATTAATATTTGAAAATTTTTGGAAAATGTCTAATTTAAGGCGAATCTATGGGATGGAAAAAGAATGCCATTAAAAGAACGATATTTAGAATTAAATAAAACATTTTTTAAATGAAAGATGTACTTGTGTTGATACTTCTTAGACTTACCCCTTTGCTTCTTTTATTTCCTCTTCTCATTGTCTTTAAATCACTTGCAAAAAAACACTTGAAATAATTTTTTTTCTTGTCTTAAATTATCTAGTACTGTTTGCTAATTTCCTATCTACCAATAATACAATTTGCAAAATTGTTTCAAAAACTCCTAGCTAAATTATTTTCAAAATATACCAAAAAAACTCTAGTTATTTTAAATAAAAAAATATTAATAACACTTATCAAATAACATCCTAATCTAATGAACAGCCAAGTCCCTAATGAGGTTTCGTATAGATTTCCGGACAAGTTCGTAACGTGTTTCGGTGTCCTGTCGATTCTTATTTTTCTTCCGATCTCTCACGTGGGACACGATTTCTTATTAAGGGTGTCGCGTCGTATAAAAAAAATAACTCCGGTGACACCTGCACAACCTTAATGGCGGAAATTTATACAATTATTTTCTGTTGTTTAAAAATAGATATTAAAATAAAGTATAAACTTTTTTTAATTTTAATTTTTCTTTACTTATTTACTTGCAAGTAAATAAGAGTAATAAGTATGGCAGTAAGACATCCTCTAAGGTCTCTTTTTTTCCCATGGAGCGTTATTTTGGGTTTAAAAAAAAATCTCCATATTGTTTTACTTACGTATTAAAATGATCGCAAGCAATAAACAAATTCGTATTATTTACATTAACTTTTAAAAAAAAGCTTATTCAAAGTCTTTAGTATTATATTATTAACCCTCCATCTGACACTTGAGTTCAATTACTTAAAGTACTATTTTTTTAAATTTTATTAAAATTTTTTGAAGGAATTTCATTATTTTCATAAATAATAAAACTTTTTACTAATTAGAACAAAAATGTCATTAAAAAAGTATTTTTTAAGTCTTTAAATTTTTCTCAATTTTTGAAAAGAGAATTTGGAGAAATTTCTATTTTAAATCGAATATTCCCGATTTTTAAAAATATCGTCTCTAAATTTTTTCGAAACTTACATAGAAAGAGAGTTTACATTTTCTAGTTTCCAATTTCTTTCGAATCATAATACTTTAGAGAATTTATAAAGATAAAAATAAAGGGCTTGTCCAGTTTATATTGTAAATAAATAAATAAATAAAATAAAATTGAAATGTCTATCTTCTGATCGACATCGTAAAATGTGTTCGACGGAGGGTCAATGTAAATAATACTAAAAACTAAATAAATATTAAATACCAAATAATGCTAATTAGTATTCGAATAATAAAATTAAAATGAATTACCTTGAACGACGAGATTATATTCACCATCCAGAGTGACATCGCGACTTTCCACAGTGCATCTGTACGTTCCACTGTCACTAACAGACGCATTTGAAATTCTCAAAGTGCTCGCATGTGCTCTTGCATTATGCGGTAAACTGATTTCATTGAGTTTCGTCCACAAGTATCGAGGATTTTGAACACCAGAAGTTGTGCAAATGAGGTCAACAGTGTCTCCAATATTAATAAGATCCTGAGATGGCTTCACCGAAATATAAGGCGCAGTGGCAGCTAAAAGCAAAAAATTTTTATTAAAATCACTGATTCCTTTCAAAATTCTTTCTTCGATTCACATAGTAACAAAATGCATTTGCTTTCCCTTTGCAAAAATATTGAAAACATAGAAAATTTTTCTTTCATTTTTTCTTATTCTATTTTTCAAACGAATTTTTTGCAATTTTCTTATTTTTTAGTTAAATTATTCACTATTTTTTAAATATTATTCTAATTTTCTCTATTTGTTCTTTTCGAGATTTTTTTTTCTTTACTTAAATTATTCACTTATATAATAATATATAATATAATAATTATTATTATTGTACAATTATATTTTTTCAATTATTCTCCATATAAAAGTATTTTCGAGTATTTTCTGTGTTTTCAAAAATTTGTTTAAAAGAAAATGATAAATATTTCCAAAGCGTGTGTTAGATAGTAATATATCTTTGTTTCCAATCAATTATTAAGATTCACAGAGATTAAGTCCTTAAAAAAAGGAAAAACTATCATGTTAAAAAATCTATTCGGGACAATGTGAAATAGATTTTTCTTAGAGACTTCACTACGAAACATACAGACACGAAAACTAATCTAAAACCCTGTTTAATATTTCGGATTCTTGTTTTTTTTTTCATAAGCTATATGAATATTAAGCAAATTAAACAGGGTACATATTTACATACACATATATGCAACCTTAATTTTGTTTCAATTTTACAAAAATTAACTTTCATATTTCTATAATTACACTGCGAAGACGTAAATTAAAAATTGAAACTTATTCCACTTTATTCAATTTTGCTTTTGCGAACTATTGCAAAAAAAATGTCCCCTCTAATTCCAATTTCTCATAAAACGCATTAATTTTCCATATAGAACTATGAAATTAATTAAAATTATTATTTACTAAAAAAGAAGCTTGGAAATCATATCTTGAGAAAAAATAATTTTTCCAAACCTCGCTACTTTTTTTTTAGAATTCTATGTTAACATTTTTTCTATATCACAGAGAATTTCAAGTGTAAATATACAAATTGTAAAATTACAAAGAATTTGAAGGGTAAATGTACAAATTGTTATTTTGAAATTAAAAAATCAGACAAGTGTGCAATACATATAATATAAAAATTGGCCGGTGAAATCAGGAAGGGGGTAGAGAAAACAAAAAAATAAAGAGAAACTACATAATAAATATATGGACGTCACACGATACACAGAACTCAAAACAAACCACGTCGTTGCTGAAGAATTTGACGGAATCGCGTGATGCGGCAGAAGCGTTCGTCAGTACCGTCGATGCACTGAGCATAGCCGTCACAAAAGTAATCCAACGGAATGCATAGTAGACTTCTGCATTGATAATCCCCGTGTCTGCACTGCGATCGGTATACTGGCATGCAATCCGCAAGCAAATTAACTACTAAATCATAACGCGAGCTTTTTTAAAAAAACCTAATCTGACGAATGACTGATAGAACCATGGTAGCGATGATCCTGTCGTAATTTTATTTCTTTATATCTTTCACTCCACACCACTTTTTTTTTGTTTTTTTTTTTGTTAATAGAATGACAAGCTTTGTGATGGTTTTGTGTTAGTCTTATTTCAATAATTTTTAATCTATTTAAATTATATATACTGTATCTATACAAAAAAATGTACCATTTTTGAATAATTTTAAAATTTAATAGAACGCCGATTCCAGCAGTGAAATGTTTCTTTTTCTTAGATAATTTTATCAATTTTGATTAATATTTACAATTTTGATATTTGCGATGCGCTCCAAAAAAAGATACCAATGAGTCAAAATTTTTCAATTATTTAATTTCGGAAATTCAATTATTATCAAAAAATTTCAATTACAAACTTACGAATTCAATTATTTTTAAAAATCTATGAATTGTCTCGAAGAATTTTATTAAAGTTTTTAAAAATAATTAAATTCTTGGGAGGATTTTAATTCCATTTTTTTGAAAATAATTTAATTTCTTAGAAGAAAATTATTATTTATGAAAATAATTGAAATTCTACGAAGAATTCTATTAAAATTTCTAAAAATAATTTAATTCTGTCGAAAAATTGTTCTAAAATTATGTTGGAAATAATTGAATTTCTGTGAAGAATATTATTTATGAAAATAATTAAAATTCTTGTGAATTTCTAGTAATAATTGAATTATTTCGAAAAATTGCATTGGAAATAATTGAATTCCTGAGAATTAAAATAATTAAAATTCATGGAAAAATTTTATTCTAACGATTAAATAAAATTTTTTTTCAAAACTGTTGAAAATAATTTAATTTTTGTTAAAATTCTTGAACATAATTGAATTCCTTTGAGGATTTTTATTATTTATAAAAATAATTGAATTCCTTTGAAGAATTTGATTATTTATGAAAATAACTGAAATCCTCCGAAGAATTTTATTATTTAATGCAATTTTAAAAAAATTTCTTCGAAGAATTTAATTATTTTCAAAAATTTTTATAAATATCTCTCAAGAATTCAATGATTTTTCATGAGAACAATAATTTTAAAATTGAAAATATTAAAAATAGAAATTAATAAAATAGTTAGGGAACAAAGACACAAACAAAGACTAACTTCAAATTCCGAAGTGCGAACAGATTACAACTTTTAGAAACTTCAATTTCAAACCCTCTGAAATTTAATTACTTTTTAAAATTTCAGCTGTAATTCTCACAAAATTTAATTATTTTCTGAAATTTTTAAATAAAATTACTCAAACTTTCTGAAATTTAATTATTTCTATAAATTTCTACTGTAACTTCTCATTATTCAAAAATTTTTCAATTGAATAAAATGTTCGAAAGTTATAAAACATTACTAAAAAAAATAACTAATTTAAAAAAAAATTTTAATCCAAGCTTTTCAAAATACACAGTTGTTTATAATTTTTAATTAAAATTATTCAAAATTCTATACCTACTTAAAAAATGTCAATTTTTAAATGTTTTTGAAACTAAATTTTTTTCAAAAGTTTCTACTATAACACTTCTAATATTCAATTATTTTCTAGAATTTTTAACTTAAAAATTCTTCTATAAATCAATTATTTTAAACAATTTTCTGAAAGTTCTTTGAGAATTGAATTATTTAAATGAAGTTCACTTAAAATACATTTTAAAATTCAATTGTTTTCAATTCAATTTTATGAAATTTCTAATAATCAAAATATTTATGAATATTTTATAAAAATTCAAAAAAATTGATAATAATTATCTAATTTAGAAAATAAATATATAAAAATTTTTGAAGTTGTTCAGTCTTTTACTAAATTTATTCAAAATTCAAATTTTCAAAAATTTTAATTAAAACCTTTCGAAACTTAATTATTTCTAAAAATTTCTAATTTTCTAGAATTTTCAACACACGATTTTTTTTAATAATTTTCAAAAAGTTTTTTGACAATTGAATTATTCAAAAAAGAAAATGATAGTTTACTTATATTCAATTTTACAAAATTTTGATTATTCGAAAATTATTCAATGAATTTTATATTAAAAAATTTAACTAATTTAAAAAATATCACAATTGGAATTTTTTGGAAAATTGAATTCTTCAAAATTTTAAGATTTAGTTATTTCAAAAGTTCATCAAAAACTAATTTGCAAAACCATGTTCTTTGGAGCGCGTCACATTTGATTTTATCAATTTTGATAATACATGTTTACAATTTTTTATATTTGACTTTTTGTCAATTTTGATATTATAATATTTACAATTTCTCCAAAAAAGACTGTTAAAAATTTTGAAGCCAAATGATGCAATGCGGATAGGCGAAAAAAACTTGGTAAGCTATGGCCAATTATTCACTGCGAACCAGTGCTTTGCTTGAAAAAATTATTTTCATAGAAAACATAGCATGTGGAACAAATCATTATAGCATGAGAAATCTAATATTGTAGTTAAATTTTGAATACTTACGGCTGACGTTTAAGTTTATAAAATCGCTCGATACACCGTTTTCGTTACTCGTTTTGCAAGTGTATTGCCCACTGTCTTCTGGTTGAACATAGAAAAGTTCTAGATAATTGTCACCTGCTCGCGAATTTGCAGGCAAAGGTTGTCCTACTCTACTCCATTGGATAGCAGCTCTTTCCTGGACGGCACACCTCAATTTCACCGTGTTTCCAGCAAACGTTGATATGTCTCTTTCTAAGGCTCGCACCACATTTCCTTCGTTTTCTGAAAATACAATAATCTATATTAATAATCTGTTCGCAGTTTGAAGTTTGTTATAAAAAATAATTGAATTTTTCACAGGAGTTCAATTATTTAAAAAACTTTTAATGAAATACTTCTCAAAAAATTATTTATAAAAATAATTTAATTGTTTCGAAGAATTTTAAATCAGAATTATTGAAAATAATTGAATTTTTATTAAAACTTAAAAATAATTAAATTTAAATAATATTTTTAAAAATAATTGTATTCTATAGAGAAATTTTATTAAAATTGTTCTATTTAAAATAATTGAATTCTTCCAAAAAAATTTATTATTTATGAAAATAATTGAATTAAAATTTAAATAAAATAAAAGATAAAATAAAAAATAAAATAAAAAACAAAATCAAATAATGTTAATAATTATTGTTTAGGAATTTCATACCATTAACTAAAACTTCCGCGACAGCTTTAGCACTTCCGGCTGAGTTTGTGGCAATGCAGGCGTATCTTCCTGCATCAGAATAAGTAATGCCGTGGAATTTAATGTATCCTCGATCTCTTGTTACGGAATCGGGCATTTCACGACCAACGGCTGTCCATTCAATTTTAAGCGGCTCGTCACCTGTTGCTCGGCACAAGATGCTTGGATTTTCTCCCGGACGTACAATTTGTTTTGTCGGATTTAATTCAATTCTAGGGACAGCTGAAAAAATTATAAAAATTTATTTGATTAATCTATTTTCTAATTCACAATTACTGTAAATAATTTATAATTATTGTAAAATTGTAGTAATTATATTATATAGATAAAAATATTTTTGTTATACTAACAAACGACTTCGAGGATTGATTTAGCCTCGAATAAAATTGAACCATGTCGATCGAGTCCAAGGCAAATGTATTCTCCCTCAGCTTCTTTTGTTACTACGGGTATAGTTAGGATTCCACCTTGAATTGTACTTCCTTCTGGAAGCCCAAGATGTCTACCTCTCCTCCAATCTAGATAGATGTGTTCCACGTCCCTTCCTTTTAATTGACAGCGTAATTCAACTTTTCCTCCAGTTGGTATTTTATTAAATGTATCCTCTATGACCACCGAATTGGGATTCTGTTTAAAGACAAAACATTATTATAAATTAAAATCGAATCGAATAGTAAATAAAAATAAGTAAATTGGTACCAAAATTTACTTTGGTAGTAAATTTAATATACTAATAATAATAATTTTAATTTACCAGTAATTTTAATTTAATAGTAATAAATTAATGAAAATTTTTTATTTGATATTTACAGATGGAGGATAGGAAATGTCTTCATTGCATGGTTGATCTCCTCGACATGGCAAAGGTGGTTGGTCAATTATGTCTTCATCAACTTTGATATGTACACTTTCTTCTGAAACTCCTGCTGAATTTGTCGCTTGGCAGGTATAAGTGGCTTCATCGTCCGGAGAAACGGAGTAAATTTCGTAAACTGCATTACTTCCTGATTTACTGAAAGGATCCCTGGAAACAGAACGGAGACAAATGATCACAAAAGTGATTAATTAAAAGATTTACTCAATATAAGAGTGATTTATTGTAAATGATTCATTACAAAATTAAAACTCCACTTTCATTTTGTTAGGAAATTTAATTGTACTCTTAATTTACTTACATTTGTAAGTTTACTTAGAATATTCGTTCGTATTCACTCCCTTATTCAATTAAATATATTCAAGATTTCAATTCTCTTGAAGTAATTGTAATAAAAACTTTTCGGAATATATCTAAATTGAATTATTCATTTCTAGAAGTAATTTTCAAAAGTTTATTAATTTTCTACGCCGTTTTATTTTGAAGGGCACGTTGTGGGACAAAGAAATAAACAAAATCCTCAAACGAGTAATAAATTGAGGCCTCGGATCGAAGAAGCAGAGTGGGGCCCAGAGGCGCTCACTGCTACCTGCCTGGTATGATCCCTTTCGACCGTGCGGCGGTCGAGTTCTTCGATCCGAGGGTTCATTTGTTATAAATTATTTAAAATACTTATTCTTATTAATTTTTTTGCAAGAATTAAAATTATCAAAAATTACAATCTCAAATCTTCTAAAATTTAATTATTTCTAAAAATTTACAAACTGTAATTTTTCCAAAATTTAATTATATTCTAAAATTTTTTAACTCAAATTATTTAGTAAATTAATTTTTAGACAGTTATTTGAAAATTTAATTTTTTATAAAAAATTAATTTTCGTTCTCGTGTTATTTCTAAAGTTTAGTACCTACGCCGTTGAATTTTGAAGGGCACGCTGAAGGGCAAAGAAATAAACAAAATAAAATCCTCAAACGAGTAATAAATTATTCCATACTTCCAGTAATATATATAATTTTGTTAAATTATTTAAAATACTTATTCTTATTTATTCTTTCACAAGAATTAAAATTTTTAAACATTGCAATTTCAAATCTTATGAAATTTATTTATTTATTTATTTATTTCTAAAAGTTACAATTTTAACTCTTCCAAAATTTTATTATATTCTAAGATTTTTTAGCTACCTCTCCAAAACAATTATTTTCAGTAATTTTAAAAATTTTGTTTGAAAATTTAATTTATTTAAGAAACAAGAAAATTTATTTAGAGTACTTTAAAAATTTGCAAAATTATTTGGTTTCTTTTCTATCAAAAATTAATTTTTATTCTTATTATTTCTAAAGTTTAGTACCTACGCCATTGTATTTTGAAGGGCACGCCGAGGGTCAACGAAATAATCATACAGTCGACAAATACAAAATTAAATTATTCATTTCTAGAAATAATTTTCAAAAGTTTAGTATCTACGCCATTGTATTTTGAAGGGTACGCTGAGGGTCAAAGAAGTAAATAAAATTCTCAAATAAGTATTAATAAATTATTCAGTGATTTAGATAAATTACAATTTCAAATTTTCTGAAATTTAATTATTTCTAAAAACTAAAACTGTAATTTTTTAAAAATTAAATTATATTCTAAAATTTTTTAACTAAAATTCTTTTCTAAAACACTAATTTTTATCAATTTGGAGAATGTTTTTTAAAAATTAATTTTTTTAAGGAAAAGGAAAATTTATTTAAAATACGTTTAAAATTTGTGGAATTATTTCCTATCTTTTCCATCAAAAATTTATTTTCGTTCTTATTATTTCTAAAGTCTAAAATAAAAAAAGGGCGGCACCTACGCTGTTGTATTTTGAAGGGCACACTGAGGGTAAAAGATGTAATCATACAATCCTCAAATTCAAAATTTAATTATTCATTTCTAGAAGTAATTTTCAAAAGTTTAGTATCTACGCCGTTGAATTTTGAAGGGCACGCTGGGGGTCAAGGAAATAAACAAAATATAATCCTCAAATGATTATTGAATATTCCTTAGTCAAATAAAATAAAAAAATGTAATAAAAAAAGAATCCTATTTCATTAAAATAAATCGAAAAAACTTTTTTGAAACCCGCCGTTTTTTTTACTCCTTTTCAGCTAGTTTAATTGTACTTGCAATCTAATTGTATTTAAATTTTTAATTAAATATGTTGATGAAAAAAAAAGAATTTGATTACTTAAATTAATTAAATATTTAACACATGAAAGATAAGAATTTGATTACTTACGTGAATCCAGGATCCGTTCGCTTGGTCCAAACGATGTTCGGTTGAGGTTTGCCAGTGGCGGAACAAATCAGTTTTACTCTATCGCCAGTTTTTACATTCAAAATTCCACTATTTGGACTGATGGTAATTATTGGTCTGGAATGAACAACAATTTGCGCCGCTAAAGTTGCTCTGCCAACTGTATTTACAGCCGTGCAGACATAGTGTCCCTCGTCATTGTAACTGATATTCGTCAATCTCAAAAGTCCTCCTGGCAATTGCTCAATATTTTGCGAGAATTGCCGACCATCTTCACGAGACCACTGAACTTCCGGAGTTGGAAGACCCTGTGCACGACATTGCATATCCGCCGAGCCTCCCACCAGAACAGTTTGAAGTTTGCTCGGGTACAATTCCACAATCGGAGATTGACGTTCTACAAAAAAAAAATTACAATTTATCAAACATTTTTAATAAACTAACCTGGGTTAAAAAAAATATTAATATTCGCTACTCACGTTCAACTTCAATCATGGCGCTAGCTTCATAACTCGTTCTCGCTTTACTGACACGGCAAATATAGATTCCTCGATCGTGAACTTGAATATTGTGGAATTTCAAAGTATCGCCCATCTCCTGAGCATTGGGACCAAGAGAAGTTTCTCCATGTTTCATCCATTTGAAATGCATTCCTTGCTCTCCAGATACAATACATCTAATTTCGGCATTTGTGCCTTGAGAGACTGTTTGTCTTTCGGGTTGAGCTTTTACAGCCGGAACTTCCTGCCTGGGCATAATGGTAATTCGGGCCATTTCACTTCTCTCCTGACCTTCATAATTAACAGCTGTACAGATATAAACTCCAGAATCATTAGGCGTTGGATTTTGAATTATCAGAACTCCATTGTGTTGAGTCGCCGAGTGTGGAAGTGGATTTTTTCCCGAACGACTCCACGTTACTCTACTGTTTCTCGGCGCTGAACAAGTAATTCGCACTGTATCTCCACTGCTTCCTGTCCATTCTGATGGTTGGAGAGTGATGTTCATCGGCGAATGAGGCGTTGAATCGGGATAATCTAAAATTTTAAATATTATAAATATGTAAATTAATAAAAATAATCTAAAATATTGTAAAAAAATCTAAAAAAATAATTCACAATTTTACGTTTTGAGCGAATAATTTTAAAAATCATACCAAGTAAAAGATAAAAAATATAAACCTAACAAGCTTCGTATTGACTTTAGAGGCGCAAAAAAGTAGTTTTATTCGATTCACAGTACAAAAAAAGTCGAAAAAGTAGTTAATTTTTTTCATATAGTTGCCACAAAAATTCTTTTGCAATTTTCCTGATTTTTTTCTTGATTTACAGGCATTTGACTTTTATTAACCAGAAAATAACTTTAATTCTGAATTTTCTATCACATATTGCAATAAAATACCACATTTTTGGCATAAAATTAGGTTTATTTCGATCAAACACTAACTACTTTCATAAATTTATAAAATATTCTATACTTCTACATCAATTGAAAATTGACCTAAAAAAATGATAATTAAAACCTAATATTTATTCAATGAATTTCAAATAATTTATTTTTCATATTTATTTTTCTTCAAAAATATGATTATTTTTTAAAATAAATTGTAATAAGATTCTTCAAAATATAAAGTTTATTTCAATAAAATTTTGAAAAAATTTTCAGTTGTTTGAAAAATTTTCAGATATTTTCAAAAATCCAATTATTAAAAAATTTCAAATAAAATTTTGTAAAAATACTGTATTTTCAGAATTTCTGAATTAAATTATACAAATGTTGAATAAATTAAATATTAAAATACTTATTTTTATTTATTTTTCTACAGGATTTAAAATTTTTTTAGATTTACATTTTCAAGTCTTCTGAAATTTAATTGTAATTTTTCACTAAAATTAATAATGTGTTTAATTTAATAATTTTTTAAAATATTAAACTATTTATACCTACTTATAATATTTAAATACTTAAATATTATTTCCCTTCTACACAAATTTAAATCAAGAAATTTTAGAAAAAGAACAAATAAAAGACTTTTTTCGACTCTTCAAATTAAATTTATTTCTGAAAATTGCCACTGCAATTTCTTCAAAAATCAATTATTTTCTAGAATTTTAAACTAAAATTTTTTTCTAAATCAATTAATTTTAGCCATTTTGATAAAGTTTTTTTGAAAATTATTTTTTTTAAAAAAAAGGAAAATTTATTTAAAGTACGTTTACATTTTGTGCAATTATTTCTATCTTTTCTATCAAAAATTAATTTTCGTTCTTATTATTTCTAAAGTTTAGTATCTACGCCGTTGTATTTGAAGGGCACGCTGAGGGACAAAGAGATAAACATAATATAATCCTTAAATGACTATTGAATTATTTAATACTTCAAGTAATTTTGTTAAATTATTTAAAATACTTATTATTATTTACTTTTTTAACAATTAAAATTATTTAAAATTGAGCTATTTTTAGAATAAAAAAGTTTATTTATCTAAAGTGCGTTAAAAATTTGTGGAATTATTTATTTTATTCTCTATCAAAAATTAATTTTTCTGTATCCCTTTGCCGAAAGTACTGTCTTCCCGGTCTGATTTGGCTCCGGGAATAGCGACTTTTGTGGCTGGCTCGACAGACCCAACGAGCGCTCTGATTGGTTACAAGAATTTCAACACACGTACATGTTAGCATAGCAACCACACAAACACGTTACTTACAGAGCTCACGTTTTGAAAACAACTGACAGTCATCAAAATAATGCATGAAATTTCTTATTTTCTTTTATTTATTATTATTATATTTTGTATATTATTAAATATTTATTTGTAAAAGAAAATTTCTTGTTTACTATTTTTTAAATTTTACTTCCAATTATTTTTTACTTATAATTTTTTTTCATGCCCGCCCCGACCAGCTAAGTCTCGGCTTCGCCTCGACTTTGCAAAAGTCGGGCGGGCAACTTATTCAGCTATTTTATTATTCAAACAATAATTATTTAACGTACTTTCGGCTGGGGATACAGAAAAATTGTATACGACACACGGCCAGAAATTTGGATAACCTAGCGAGCGTGATATATAAAGCCTCGGCTTCGCCTCGGCCTTATATATCACGCCGGCCAGGAAATCCAACTTTCTGGCCTAGTATCGTAATATACTATTTCGCTCTTATTATTTCTAAAATTTAGTACCCGCGCCATTGTATTTTGAAGGGCAAGCTGAGGGTCAAAAAAATAATCGTATAATCCTCAAATTTAAAATTGAATTATTCAGTGCTTCGAGTAATTTTGTTGCATTATTTTAACTATTATTCTTATTTATTTTTCCACATTTATGTTTAACAATTTAAAAAAAACAATTTTTTAAATTTAATTTTTTTAAAACAAGGAATGTTTATTTGAAATACGTTAAAAACTTGTGCAATTATTTTTTTTTTTTTCTATCAAAAATTAATTTTCGTTCATATTATTTCTAAATTTTAATATCCACGCCGTTGAATTTTGAAGGGCACGCTGAGGGACAAAGAAATAAACATAATATAATCCTTAAATGACAATTGAAAATTCCTTGGTCAAATGGAATAAAATAAAATAATAAAAACGAAAAAATTCTATTTCATTCAAATTTACATCGAAAATGTCGTATTTTTAGAAGATATCATTAAATATAATTAAATATTAACGAATAAAGTCGAAAAGTTATACTTTTTATGCTCATAATTTAGTTAAATAATTTAATTAATTTTTATTATTTTTTGTTTTATTTTTGATTTTCAGATATTAATTTTATTAATCAATTAATCAATTAAAAATTTTAATTAATTAAAAAATTTAGCGAAATAATTCAATTAGGTATTTTTTAAATTCTTGAAGTAAAAACGTTCGAAGAAAATTTAGAGAATTTTTACGCGAAAATTAATTTTAGAAATTGCAAAATTTGAAACTAAAAATAGTCATTTTTTAGAATAAATTTGATAATATTTTTGATTATTTTTGAAAGTAAATTTTAATAAAAATTAAATATTTAATATAATAAAATATACTTTCAATTTAGTAAAATTTACTTAGAAAATAGTTACTTAAAAATGGACTTACCCTTAACGTACAGCACAGCCGTTACTTCAGTAACACCTTCGCTATTTTTCGCAACACACTTGTACTCATCCTCATCGCTCTTCCTGACATTCGTGAATCTCAAAACACCGCCGTGAACTCTGACCTCCTGACTCAGTGGACCATTTCCTCGTATCCATCTTACTTCAGGTTGAGGATATCCCGTCGCTTGGCAGCGGAATTCAAAACTTTCACCTTCGTAAATCTCCTTATAGCGTGGTGATATCTCCGCTCTGGGTTTAGTTGGTTCAGATGCTAAAATTGCAAAAAATTACGTATTTTTATTTCATCGAATAATTCTTTTACACTGCGCAATTTAACAAAATTTGCACTGTCGTTGAGTTTTTCTATTTACACAACGCATATTACCTGGTAGATTGTAATTTTTTGGAAAAGCTACATCCAAAAAAATTTAAATAATATTACACATTTTTGATGGCAAAAAAAAACTGATTGAAATAAAATTTACATACCTCCTCCAACGGAAAGTGTGACATTACTTGTTGCCTCTTCGTAACCGTCAGTAACGCGACAAATGTAAACGCCGCTATCCGAAACAGTGACATCCTGAATGACTAGCACTCCACTTTCATCGTCAATGCTTCTGTCCGGTGGAAGTCTTCCTCCATCCTTCTCCCATTTGATTCTGACTTGGTTCTGAAATTTAGAAAACATAAATAAATAAATAAATTGATAAATATGTAAATATCCAATAAATGTCACTAAAGTTTTGAACTTTCAAATGACCAAAATTTACTTTCCAACTATTTTCAAAAATTTATATACTAAAATGGAAAATTATGTAAATTAAATTGCTTAACAATTAATTTTTCTAATACACAAAATAATTTTTATAAAAAAGTATAATTTAAATAATTTTAAATATAATAAATTAAAAGAAGTAATAAAAATATCGTCGTTCATTTGAATGTTCGAAACTTTAGGATCTTGCAAAAAAAAATAAATATACAAATAAAAATGTAATGAAAAAAATCTAGAAATAAATACAAGATTTTAACACTTTTTAGACAAAAGAGAATATTAATTTTTATCTTACCGATTCTTTCGATTTGCCCGAACAATGATATGTAACAGTATTTCCAGTCTGTACAATTTGGAAAGCAGGTTCTGTAATTTCGACGGTTATTGTTGGCTCCGGAGGATATCCAGTGTCCACTGTTTGGTTACGAGATGAATCTGGGAAACCTGTTTGCAGAAATTTGAAATTAAATTATTTTTTTAATATCGTCAGAGATATTCTTTCGCATTTGGACATATAATACACATTACATTACACATTGTAAGCTTTATTTACAAGAAAATAAATTTCCGTTTTCAAAAGAGTCTTAATATTATAAATTAACAATCTGTTGTAAATAATTTGATAAATAATTTTATTCTAAATTCTAAATAGTTCATATAAATAATTTTATTCTAAATTCTAAATAATTCATAAATAACTTTATTCAAAACTCTAAGTGCAGGCCTCGGATCGACTTTATGACGCAAAAAATTTTTTTTACACTTTTCTTCAAAAACATGATTATTCTCAGAAAATTGTTATAAAATTCCTAAAAAAATTAAATTTATTGGAATAAAATTTAAGGAAATTTACAATTATTTGCAATATTTTCGACATTTAATTATTTTCTAGAATTTTTCATTAAAATTATTAGAAAGTTTAATAATTTTTTTGAAATAAATAATTAAATATTATGTAATTATTTTTATATAATAATTTAATTATTTCTAAAAAATGCTACTTTAACAACATCTTCAAAATTCAATTATATTCTAAGATTTTTAACTAAAAGTACTTTCTAAAGCAAGTACTTTGTAATAATTTTGAAAAAGTTCTTTTAGAATTGAATTCAAAAAAAGTCAAATTCAGTTCTTGAAAAATTTCAATTTGTAACCTTTTGAAATTTAATTTCTAAAAATTTCTGCTAATAACTCTTCAATATTCAATTATTTTCTAAAATTTTCAAACCAAATTCTTTTCTAAATCAATTATTTTTAATAATTTTCAGAAAGTTCTTTAAGAATTGAATTATTAAGAAAAATTCACATAAAATACAATTTAAAATTCAATTTCGATTATTCAAATTTTTTAATTGAATATTTATTTAAAAATGTCAAAAAGTTACTAATATTTATCTAATTTAAAAAAAATGTCAATTAAAATTTTTAAATGAATTAAGTTGTTTAGAATTTTTTAATTCAAATTATTAAAAATTCAATTTTATGAATTTTCGATTTTAAAATAATTCGAAAATTTTGCAAAAAATTATAAGACACCTCCAGAGAAAAAGATTTGTCTATAGTTATTTTTCACAGTTTGAAAATCAAGAAAAGTGTCATTTTATATTTAAAAAAGTGATATTTTGCTGTAATGAGTGAAAAAAAAGTTAAAGAAGTCGAATTTTTGAAAATAAATCGAAAAAAGTCATAATTATTATCCGAGTTCTGTAAATGAATCAAAAAAATATTTATTAAATATGAACATTCACTGTTAAACAATTACCATTTAAATATTAAAATTCAAATAAATTGAATTAATAATAGAAATTTCCCCCAAATATTAAGCATCACCGATTACAGAAGCAAATTTATAAAAGGAACAATAAATAAAAAGCGTCTAGAATTAACGAATGCGGAAAATTTACAAAAGTATTCTCTTCTCTTCAGTAAATATACTAGAAAGAATATATATACTTTCTTTAGACTCACTGTAAAAAAAATTCTCTGTAGATTTAGTTTTTGTTTGTCTAAACTCAGCGAATTTAAATTCCCTTCGGGAAAAATAATATACATTTACTGTCAGTTTTCTCAAATTTTTATAAATTTACCAATTTCAAAATAGGTAATAATTAGGCACAATTATTACCTACTTTGAAAGTACCTAGTTACAAAAATTTCTGAAATTCGATAAAAAAAAACTGTAAGTCTACAGAAAATATTTTTTACAGTGTTCCCTTAATATTCTAAAAAAATAAAAAAATAAATTATAGTAGTTTCTTTTAGTAAAGAATAGTAGAAAAAAGAAAAAGAGAAGAGAAGAGAGGGGAAAGGAAGAAAGAAGAAGAAGAAGAAGAAGAATTAAAGTCTTCAATTTCCCAGTGTCCAAACACCAAAAGATTACAAAAACAATTTCAAGACCCAGGGACGGACAAAAATACGAAAGCCCTCTCGTCATCTAGTCCGCCAAACCTGGTTTCACAGATGTCATAATCCTAGCCAGTTCTTTGCCCTGTCTATCCAATATAAAACATTCGACAAGGCATGGAGTTGTTCCAATGTTGACACTCCAATATCGATAGCCACCATACCCAGTCCAGTGCATATGACTGAGACTTGAACCCCTAGCTGTTATTCGCTTTCCCTCGAAGGACGATATATTAAAAATAATCTTAAATCTTTCTGCGATCACTTCATAGTTGCATGTAAAATTGACGATGGTGTTTGATGGCATTACAACATTCACGGGCATAAGACCTACTCTGAGCTCGTCTGATGCATGCAACAATTATATTAGTTGTGCAAACATTTTTATAGAACAAAATTATGATCAAGCTAGATTCAAAATATAATTATTAATTATTTGTTTAGTCAAGCTATATCTCTGGAAATAATTAGTGCGATTCAAAATTTCGCAATTTAATATTATTTAGAATATTAACACGTGCTGTAAATTAATACTGTAAACTAATACGGTAAATTAATACTTTGTACATTAAAAATTATGATTTAATAATCAGAGTTGCCATTAAAATTTGATTCTGTTGTTTCCTAATTTTTTTTCAATATTGTTTTACGAAATTTCAATTATTTAAAAATTATTAACAATTATTTAGAATTTTAACTAATTATTTTCAAAAATTTAATTTATCATAAAAAAATAGAATTAGAATTTTTTAAAAACATAATTTTAGAATTTTAAATAAACTTCTTTGTAATTTCAATTATTAAATAAGATTTTGATTTTTACTATTTACTATTTTATTCTAAATACCTTCGATTATAAAAAATAAAAATTATAATATATATATTTATTTACTCTCCCTGCATTATACACGGTTCGAGATAAAAATTAATTGCAAACTTGAATTTTTTTCTTCAAAAACTCGAATATTTCAAAAAAATTTGTTTCAATTTGTAAATTAAAAAACTTTAATATTTTCAAAAATACTTAAACATCAATTTTTTAAAGATTACAGATTCAAAATTTAAAGAATTCACATATTAAGTAGATACATAATATTAAATATTCTTGTTTATTATTATTCAAAAATTTTAATAACATTTTTCTCAAGAATTTCATTATTCTCATAAATAATAATATAATTGTTAAAGCAATTTAATTATTTTCAATACAATTTTAATAAAATTTCTCGAAAGAATACAATTAATATTAAAAAAATTTATTTAATTCTATTATTTTCAAGAATTTTAATATACCTAAATTGAATTATTTTCGTCAATTTTGATGAAATTCTTTTTAAAAAATGATTATTTTCAAAATTTTAATAAAATTTCTCGAAAGAATACAGTTATTTTTAAAAATATTATTTAAATTCAATTATTTTCAAGAGTTTTAATAAAAATTCAATTATTTTGAACAATTATTATAAAATTCTACGAAACGATTCAATTATTTTTGTAAATAATAAAATTCTTCTAAGAAATTCAAAAATTTTCAATACAATTTTAATAAAATTAAATAGGTTCAATTATTTTTAAAAATTAAAATACAATTTTTCTAAACAATTAAATTGTTCTTAAAAATTTTAATAAAATTCTTTGTAAATTTCAATTATTTTAAAAATTTTTAATTAAAATTATTTTAAAAAATTTCATTATTTTTACAAAATTTAATGAAATTCTTAAAAAAAATTGTAATTATTTACAAAAACTGATAAAATTGTTTAAAAGAATTTAATTTTCAAAAATATTTTTGATATAATTTAATAGGAATTATAATTTAAATTCTTAAAAAAAATTTCATTTTAAAATTGTAATAATCTGTGGCAACTCTGTCAATAAAAGGCCTATTTTTTACATGAAGTTTATTTTTACTTCTCATATTTTTATTATTAATTCGATTGTTTTGAACTTCTTTAATCCACTCTTAAAACGTTAAACTATTCTTTAGGATATAGTTTCAGTATATTATAATTTATAAATAAATATTTACAGATTTTTAAATTCCTTTCTAAAATATTTTAAAACTTTTTCATAAAACTTTTCATACAAAAGAAACCTTTTCATTATTAAATCATTTTCATATTAAATAATTACAGAAACATTTTTCCAAACAATCATTTAAAAAAAAATTATTATTAAATATTAATTATTATTAAAATATTAGAAATTTTGTAAGCCTTGAAATAATATTTACATAATTAACTTAATTGATTATGTACAAATAATTAGTATTACTACTTCATAGAGGAAGTATTTATTAGTATTATTTGTGACGTGCTCTGAAGAAGCGAACCTAAGAAGCAAACAATTTTAGTTTTTTTTGTAATTTTTGGGAATTAGTATCACCGAACAAGATGGTTCGTCAATAAATTATTCAATTTTACATAAAATTCTTTAAAAAAGAATTTTAAGTAAAAGAGTTTATTACATCTAAAATAATCAATGAAAGCTGATTTTGGTTTTAACTTAAACAGAAAATTGTAATTAAGGTAAAAATAATTTTAAAAAATAATTAAAATAATTATAAAATAAAATAATTTGCTTCGTAGGTACACTTTTCTAAGCGCACAGTCACATTTGTAGTTTATGTTCATTTCTACTTACGTAGTTGGGAGCAATCATGTCCAGTGTATCCAGGCGCACAGTGACAAATGACTTGACCAGTGCGGCTCAAGTCACAACTTAATTCATTGCTACTGCAAGGACATTTTTCACAATTGCCAAGGAAACTTCGGGACCTGTCACTCTTGCTTCTGTAGTATCCTCTTTTGCAATTTTCGCACGAGTTACCGTCATATCCTTCGGGACAAGTGCAAACCTCAACTTGAGTCGCTCGCTGTGTTCCATAAGATTGACTACCGAATTCCAAAATAATGTCGCTAATATAAGTTCCAATCATTTCTTCACTGTGAGTCGCTCGAACCAAAATTGCCTCGACGTCAGTTAAAGCAGTCATAAGATCAATTCTCGAAGCTCTGCGTGGCCCTTCCTGAGTAATTCGGTACCATTCCGATTCTCTAAACGGTACGTTGTACGTCTAAAGAGGAAAAAAGTATTTCATATCATTTTCTTGCAAAATATGAAAATAATAAAAAAGCAAGAAAAAACTTACCATTTTAACTCCAGGAACTAAATCTCGTGCATTTTTCCAGTAGAGTGTGATACCATTTCCGAAGAGAATAACATCTTGATCTGAATAAGTGCGTGCCCTGGGTTGAGTAATAATGTGTTGAGTCAAAATTAAATTGGAACCGTAACTAGTCAACTTATTGCCAGCATATTCTTTAGGAAGAGACCAGTATAGTCTGGGACTACGAGATCCTGAGTATCGATAGCCAATTTCATTTGTTGCAATATTCAAGTCGAATACAGTGTCGATGACTTGTTGTCTTGAACTGTCGGTGAGTATGAATTTATTACTATTATCGTAAATAAATATTGGCAGTTGTTGAATGTAGAGAGAACTTTCATGACATTGATTGGAGACACCACTGCAGAAACATTGGTTACATCCATCGGTGTTGTTTATCGAGAGACCGAAAGTTGAAGGACGACAGCGATCGCATCGAGAACCAATGACATTTCGTTTACACATGCACTGTTCGCTAACTAATAGACCGTTTTCGGAACCTGCAGGATCGCAACTTGGTGTCACTGTACCATTTTGTTGACAATCGTGTGGTGAGCCACGAGTTGCGTCCCCTTCGTAGCCATATTCGCAGTATTCACAGTGGTCGCCAAATGTGTGATGATCACAATTCTGTAAAATGTATTATTGCTTTCATTAATAATTAACTTCATGTATTATTTATTTCTTTAATTAATAAAGCTATTTAATGAACATTCCTCAAATATATAAATGTTAATTTTTTGTATCTTTTTAAAAAATTCTCTAATTTTTTTCTTTTTTTTCTTTAACTCTATTTAACTCAGCGCGCTGAAACTAGCAGTCGCAACCAGCAGCCTCCCATAGGCGTCCACCGCTCATATTTCAAGCATTTGCCCCTCCACTTAAAATAGCTAAAAAAGTACTATAAACATACGACAAACTTTTTGAAAATTACACAGGGCATATCCCTGAGTAAGAAACAAATTATAAACAATTATAAACAATCATAATTGTTTATTATAATGTACAGCAGTTGAGATTTTATTCTGAAAAATTCTAAGTTAAGAGAAAAGTCTAATTTCTGAAAAATTTAGGGGGGTAGAAAACGACAAGAAAATTTTCTTTTTACTCTACATGTATCTCTCATTAATAAAAAAAATATGAACAATCTTAATTGTTTATAATAATGTACAGCAGTTGACATTATTTTTCTGAAAAATTTTAAGTTAACAAAAAAGTCTAATTTCTGAAAAATTTAGGGGGGTAGAAAACGACGAGATAATTTTTTCCTTACTCTAGATATATCTCTGAGTTATAAAAAAAATATAAACAATCTTAATTGTTTATAATAATGTACAGCAGTTGAGATTTTTTTTCTGAAAAATTCTAAGTTAAGAGAAAAGTCTAATTTCTGAAAAATTTAGGGGGGTAGAAAACGACTATACAATTTTTTTCTTACTCAAGGAAATATATAGGGTAAGAAAAAATGGTCTCGTTGATTTCTACCACCCTCAAAAAAATAATAAATAATACTTATTTTTTTTAATGTTAAGTACATTATTATTATAACCAATTAAGATTGTTTATATTTTTTTTATTACTGAGAGATACATGGAGAGTAAGAAGAAAATTATCTCGTCGTTTTCTACCCCCCTAAATTTTTCAGAAATTAGACTTTTCTCTTAACTTAGAATTTTTCAGAAAAAAAATCTCAACTGCTGTACAATATTATAAACAATTAAGATTGTTTATATTTTTTTTATAACTCAAAGATATATCTAGAGTAAGGAAAAAATTATCTCGTCGTTTTCTACCCCCCTAAATTTTTCAGAAATTAGACTTTTCTCTAAACTTAGAATTTTTCAGAAAAAAAATCTCAACTGCTGTACAATATTATAAACAATTAAGATTGTTCATATTTTTTTTATTACTGAGAGATACATGAAGAGTAAAAAGAAAATTACCTTGTCGTTTTCTACCCCCCTAACTTTTTCAGAAAATAGACTTTTCTCTAAACTTAGAATTTTTCAGAAAAAAAATCTCAACTGCTGTACATTATTATAAACAATTAAGATTGTTTATATTTTTTTTATTACTGAGAGACATATCTAGAGTAAGAAAAAAATTATCTCGTCGTTTTCTACCCCCCTAAATTTTTCAGAAATTATACTTTTTTGTGAACTTAGAATATTTCAGAAAAAAAATCTCAACTGCTGTACATTATTATAAACAATTAAAATTGTTTATCAATTGAACTCTTTGGTTTAGAGTCAGGTGTTATTCTTAAGATAATTATTCCGATATGGTTGTCGGTAAATAATTATATTTTTGAATTTAATTTTTGATCTGAAAAAATAAGCTGCGTGAACGACTGCACTGTGCATCTGTGAGGACTCGAACCCCAGTTAATAGCTGCCTTTCGCGGGACTAACGCCTACCAATGCACCATGCCAACACAGCCTGGACGTTCACGTTTCTTATAATCTCAGATCAAGCCCATACACTAGTCGAAGAGCTGTATAGTTAATGTAGGAAATTATTTGCTGATTGAGAATTTTTAATTAAGGAAGATTTCGACTATATCAGCAATTAGTGACATCTATTAGACGTCAATTGAACTCTTTGGTTTAGAGTCAGGTGTTATTCTTAAGATAATTATTCCGATATGGTTGTCGGTAAATAATTATATTTTTGAATTTAATTTTTGATCTGAAAAAATAAGCTGCGTGAACGACTGCACTGTGCATCTGTGAGGACTCGAACCCCAGTTAATAGCTGCCTTTCGCGGGACTAACGCCTACCAATGCACCATGCCAACACAGCCTGGACGTTCACGTTTCTTATAATCTCAGATCAAGCCCATACACTAGTCGAAGAGCTGTATAGTTAATGTAGGAAATTATTTGCTGATTGAGAATTTTTAATTAAGGAAGATTTCGACTATATCATTGGTAGGCGTTAGTCCCGCGAAAGGCAGCTATTAACTGGGGTTCGAGTCCTCACAGATGCACAGTGCAGTCGTTCACGCAGCTTATTTTTTCAGATCAAAAATTAAATTCAAAAATATAATTATTTACCGACAACCATATCGGAATAATTATCTTAAGAATAACACCTGACTCTAAACCAAAGAGTTCAATTGACGTCTAATAGATGTCACTAATTGCTGATATAGTCGAAATCTTCCTTAATTAAAAATTCTCAATCAGCAAATAATTTCCTACATTAACTATACAGCTCTTCGACTAGTGTATGGGCTTGATCTGAGATTATAAGAAACGTGAACGTCCAGGCTGTGTTGGCATGGTGCATTGGTAGGCGTTAGTCCCGCGAAAGGCAGCTATTAACTGGGGTTCGAGTCCTCACAGATGCACAGTGCAGTCGTTCACGCAGCTTATTTTTTCAGATCAAAAATTAAATTCAAAAATATAATTATTTACCGACAACCATATCGGAATAATTATCTTAAGAATAACACCTGACTCTAAACCAAAGAGTTCAATTGACGTCTAATAGATGTCACTAATTGCTGATATAGTCGAAATCTTCCTTAATTAAAAATTCTCAATCAGCAAATAATTTCCTACATTAACTATACAGCTCTTCGACTAGTGTATGGGCTTGATCTGAGATTATAAGAAACGTGAACGTCCAGGCTGTGTTGGCATGGTGCATTGGTAGGCGTTAGTCCCGCGAAAGGCAGCTATTAACTGGGGTTCGAGTCCTCACAGATGCACAGTGCAGTCGTTCACGCAGCTTATTTTTTCAGATCAAAAATTAAATTCAAAAATATAATTATTTACCGACAACCATATCGGAATAATTATCTTAAGAATAACACCTGACTCTAAACCAAAGAGTTCAATTGACGTCTAATAGATGTCACTAATTGCTGATATAGTCGAAATCTTCCTTAATTAAAAATTCTCAATCAGCAAATAATTTCCTACATTAACTATACAGCTCTTCGACTAGTGTATGGGCTTGATCTGAGATTATAAGAAACGTGAACGTCCAGGCTGTGTTGGCATGGTGCATTGGTAGGCGTTAGTCCCGCGAAAGGCAGCTATTAACTGGGGTTCGAGTCCTCACAGATGCACAGTGCAGTCGTTCACGCAGCTTATTTTTTCAGATCAAAAATTAAATTCAAAAATATAATTATTTACCGACAACCATATCGGAATAATTATCTTAAGAATAACACCTGACTCTAAACCAAAGAGTTCAATTGACGTCTAATAGATGTCACTAATTGCTGATATAGTCGAAATCTTCCTTAATTAAAAATTCTCAATCAGCAAATAATTTCCTACATTAAAATTGTTTATATTTTTTTTATTACTGAGAGACATATCTAGAGTAAGAAAAAAATTATCTCGTCGTTTTCTACCCCCCTAAATTTTTCAGAAATTAGACTTTTCTCTAAACTTAGAATTTTTCAGAAAAAAAATCTCAACTGCTGTACATTATTATAAACAATTAAGATTGTTATATTTTTTTTTTTAAATCAGAGATATATCTAGAGTAAGGAAAAAATTATCTCGTCGTTTTCTACCCCCCTAAATTTTTCAGAAATTAGACTTTTCTCTAAACTTAGAATTTTTCAGAAAAAAAATCTCAACTGCTGTACATTATTATAAACAATTAAGATTGTTTATTTTTTTTTATAACTCAGAGATATATCTAGAGTAAGGAAAAAATTATCTCGTCGTTTTCTACCCCCCTAAATTTTTCAGAAATTAGACTTTTTTGTTAACTTAAAATTTTTCAGAAAAAAAATGTCAACTGCTGTACATTATTATAAACAATTAAGATTGTTTATATTTTTTTTATTACTGAGAGACATATCTAGAGTAAGGAAAAAATTATCTCGTCGTTTTCTACCCCCCTATATTTTTCAGAAATTAGACTTTTCTCTTAACTTAGAATTTTTCAGAAAAAAAATCTCAACTGCTGTACATTATTATAAACAATTAGGATTGTTTATATTTTTTTTATAACTCAGAGATATATCTAGAGTAAGGAAAAAATTATCTCGTCGTTTTCTACCCCCCTAAATTTTTCAGAAATTAGACTTTTCTCTAAACTTAGAATTTTTCAGAAAAAAAATCTCAACTGCTGTACATTATTATAAACAATTAAGATTGTTTATTTTTTTTTTATAACTCAGAGATATATCTAGAGTAAGGAAAAAATTATCTCGTCGTTTTCTACCCCCCTAAATTTTTCAGAAATTAGACTTTTTTGTTAACTTAAAATTTTTCAGAAAAAAAATGTCAACTGCTGTACATTATTATAAACAATTAAGATGGTTTATATTTTTTTTATTACTGAGAGACATATCTAGAGTAAGGAAAAAATTATCTCGTCGTTTTCTACCCCCCCAAAATTTTTCAGAAATTAGACTTTTCTCTTAACTTAGAATTTTTCAGAAAAAAAATCTCAACTGCTGTACATTATTATAAACAATTAAGATTGTTTATATTTTTTTTATAACTCAGAGATATATCTAGAGTAGGGAAAAAATTATCTCGTCGTTTTCTACCCCCCTAAATTTTTCAGAAATTAGACTTTTCTCTAAACTTAGAATTTTTCAGAAAAAAAATCTCAACTGCTGTACATTATTATAAACAATTAAGATTGTTTATATTTTTTTTATTACTGAGAAACATATCTAGAGTAAGGAAAAAATTATCTCGTCGTTTTCTACCCCCCTAAATTTTTCAGAAATTAGACTTTTCTCTTAACTTAGAATTTTTCAGAAAAAAAATCTCAACTGCTGTACAATATTATAAACAATTAAGATTGTTTATATTTTTTTTATAACTCAGAGATATATCTAGAGTAAGGAAAAAATTATCTCGTCGTTTTCTACCCCCCTAAATTTTTCAGAAAATAGACTATTCTCTAAACTTAGAATTTTTCAGAAAAAAAATCTCAACTGCTGTACATTATTATAAACAATTAAGATTGTTTATATTTTTTTAATACTGAGAGACATATCTAGAGTAAGGAAAAAATTATCTCGTCGTTTTCTACCCCCCTAAATTTTTCAGAAATTATACTTTTTTGTGAACTTAGAATATTTCAGAAAAAAAATCTCAACTGCTGTACATTATTATAAACAATTAAGATTGTTTATATTTTTTTTATAACTCAGAGATATATCTAGAGTAAGAAAAAAATTATCTCGTCGTTTTCTACCCCCATAAATTTTTCAGAAATTAGACTTTTTTGTTAACTTAAAATTTTTCAGAAAAATAATGTCAACTGCTGTACATTATTATAAACAATTAAGATTGTTCATATTTTTTTTATTACTGAGAGATACATGTAGAGTAAAAAGAAAATTTTCTTGTCGTTTTCTACCCCCCTAAATTTTTCAGAAATTAGACTTTTCTCTTAACTTAGAATTTTTCAGAATAAAATCTCAACTGCTGTACATTATAATAAACAATTATGATTGTTTATAATTGTTTATAATTTGTTTCTTACTCAGGGATATGCCCTGTGTAATTTTCAAAAAGTTTGTCGTATGTTTATAGTACTTTTTTAGCTATTTTAAGTGGAGGGGCAAATGCTTGAAATATGAGCGGTGGACGCCTATGGGAGGCTGCTGGTTGCGACTGCTAGTTTCAGCGCGCTATTTAACTTTATTCTAACTAAAATTTACTATACTATACTATACTATACTATACTATACTATACTATACTATACTATATAATTTACTGTTAATAGTAATTCATTTACGTTTACCTTGCATACACCGGTTTCAGCATCGCAGAATTTAGAATGTCCATTACAATTGCAAGGATCACAGCTTCCAAGATATATTCCTTCGGCAACTCGTGTGTATCCAACATCGCAATCTTCACAAGAATAACCTTTGTAACCAGCTGGACAACTACATTCCTCAACTTCAGGCGCTCGTTCTCTTCCAGTATTAAATCTTTCTGCCGTATCGAGTGAAACCATTGACAGTCTGCAAATTTATTTTATTTATTATATCATAGACTTGAATAGACTATTCTATTCATAATTAAACTATAATTATATAAATTGTATTCATAATAATTATCAGAAAATTTTTAATTTCATGAATGTTCTACTCACGCAGCTTCGTCAGTGTGTGTGGTATAAGTGGCTTTAATTCTAATTGCCTTGACATCAGCTAATGCTACCAAGAGATACTGTCTGTCAGCTTTTGTGCCATCTTCTCGTTGCCAATATTCCTCCAACAATGGAACATTAAATGTTTGTGGTGTATTAAAATCAACTGAGCTCGTTCTGTTGCTGGACGCGTAGTGAAGCAAGATTAATTCACTGTTGGACTGAAGAGAATAAACTTATCAAAAATTACAATCTTAAATCTTCTGAAATTTAATTATTAACTTATCAAAAATTACAATCTTAAATCTTCTGAAATTTAATTATTTCTTAAAAATTAAATTATTAATCAAATTAATTAATTAAAATTCATAAATATAATTCATAAAATAAATATTTTAGATGATGTTGAAATTAAAAAAAGCGTTATGTATTTTATACATAGCCCCAAATAATAAAAGAAAACTAAATTACATAATTAAGTAAAAATTCGCCAACTTACACTCATCAAAATGACATCAGCGGCGCTATTTCTGGAACTTTGTCCGCCAGGAGAAGGCATATATCGAACCGTATATTTCAAATATCCGCCATAGGATGTAACTCTGTCTCCCAAGAAAATATTTGGTAACTGCCAATAATAAACATCATTATTGCCACGATTGGGGAAATTTCTATAAATCATTTCACGCGAAACTGCGTCAATTCTCAGATCGTTGAAGATAGGTTCGGCGTTTGGTGATCTCGACTCAACCAATGAGAAGTCTCGAGTAGATGAGGAAAATGTTACTCGAATCTAAAAAAAATGTATTACACACATTTAATTTACCAAATCTATCACAATTACCAAATATAAAAAATTGATTAAATTTTGTTATTTTCCTACCTCGCTTCGGTACAAATTGGAGGCAGCGCATCTGTTGGTGGCACCCATGCAGAAGCACGAAAGACATCTCAAGTGTTTCGATGAGGGAAGACGAATGGCGTTATCCTTACATTCATCGCACAAAGGACCAGTTGTGTGGGGCTACAAATAAAATCCTTGTTAATATAATTTTGTAATTTTAAAATATATAATCCTACACGAAGAAAAATATAGAGTAACTTTTATATTTACAAAGTAAAATTTTACAAATCTAGAAAGAACTTACTGTTTCAATTTCCAAATAAAGATTGATAGCAGTCACGAAAAAATCAAATTTATTAGTTATTGATAGAATAGAGAAAAAAGAAATTCTTGTACATACCTTGCATCGACATGAATTAGTACGAGGATCCACGTAACTACTGATACTACCAACTGGATCGCACAATGCTGTCAACAGCGGTATACATTTTCCTCTGTAAGGATCGCCCTGGAATCCAGCCGCACATTTCTCGCATCGATCTCCAGTATATTCAGATGGACAATCACAAATTGGTTCATTACGCGGTCCAAGACGACATGTTCGAGCGTGTCTAAAATAAAAAGAAATTCCAAATTTTTAAAAATAAAAACTAAAAATAAGAGTATAAACTATATAAAAATAAAACAGCATTATACTTATTAACCACTTCAAGATCCGTAAGAATAAAAGAGTATTAAAAGTATAAAAATAAAACAGCATAAACAGGGTTGCCACAAAAATTTAATTCTCTATTTCCCCGACTTTTCCTGAACAAAATTTTTCCAGACAAAATTAATTACGTTAAAAATTTGTAGAATTATTTGTTTTCTATAACAAAAATTAATTTTCGTTCATATTATTTCCAACTTTTAGTATCTACGCCGTTGTATTTTGAAGGGTACTCTGAGGGACAAAGAAATAAACAAAATAAAATCCTGGAACGAGTAATAAATTATACGATACTTCCAGTAATTTTGTTAAATTATTTAAAATACTTATTCTTATTTATTTTTTCACAAGAATTAAAATTTTCAAAAATTGTAATTTCAAATCTTATGAAATTTATTTATTTCTAAAAATTACAATTTTAACTCTTCCAAAATCTTATTATATTCTAAGATTTTTTAATTATTCTCCAAAACAATTATTTCCAGTAATTTAAAAAATTTTTGTTTGAAAATTTAATTTTTTAAGAAAAAAGAAAATTTATTTGAAATACTTTAAAATATTGTAGAATTATTTGTTTTCTTTTCTATCCAAAAATTAATTTTTATTCTTGTTATTTATAAAGTTTAGTACCTACGCTATTGTATTTTGAAGGGCACGCTGATGGTCAACGAAATAATCATACAATCAACAAATTCAAAATTGAGATTTCTAGAAATAAAGGTACACTCTCACCTCTACTGCCTGCCTGCCTGCGCAGGCAGGCGCCATAAGAGTGAGAGAGAAAAACATTTAATTTGAATTTTCTGACTCTCTTACTCTTATGTGTTACCATGTCAACCTGCAGGCAGGCAGTAGGAGCTGTGCTAGCGCCTTAATTTTCAAAAGTTTAGTATCTACGCCATTGTATTTTGAAGGGCACGCTGAGGGACAAAGAAATAAACAAAATAAAATCCTCAAACGAGTAATAAATTATTCAGAGTTTTGATAAATTACAATTTCAAATTTTCTGAAATTTAATTATTTCTAAAAATTACAACTGTAATTTTTTCAAAATTAAATTATATTCTAAAATTTTTTAACTAAAATTCTGTTTTAAACCAATTATTTTTAGCAATTTTGAGAAAGTTTTTTAAAAATTAATATAAAAAATATAATAATATAAAATAAATTTCCTTTTTAAGAAAAAGGAAAATTTATTTAAAGTACGTTTAAAATTTGTCGAATTATTTGCTATCTCTTCTATCAAAAATTTAGTTTCGTTATTATTTCTAAAGTTAAAAATAAAAAAACGGTGGAACCTACGCCATTGTATTTTGAAGGGCACGCTGAGGGTCAAGGAAATAATCATACAATCCTCAAATTCAAAATTTAATTATTCATTTCTAGAAATAATTTTCAAAAGTTTAGTATCTACGCCATTGAATTTTGAAGGGCTCGCTGAGGGTCGAAGAAATAATCATATAATCCTTAAATGATTATTAAATATTCCTCAGTCAAATAAAATTAAAAAAAATATAATAAAAAAAAGATCCTATTTCATTAAAATAAATCGAAAAAGTCGCACTTTTTTAAATTATTGACGAATAAAGTTAATTAACTTAATTCATTAATGCGTTTCTTAAAATTTAATTCTCATAAAGAATTTTATCAACAATTTTTTAAATAATTGAATTTTTTTGACGAATTTTAATAAGAAAATTTAAGAGTAATTACATTTTTCGAGGAATTCGATTAAAATTGTATTAAAAATAAATTAAATTCTGCAATGAGTTTTATTATTTACCAAAGTAATTGGATTCCTAAAAAGAATTTTATTATTTTTGAAATTTTGCCAAGAACTTCATTAAAATTCTTGAAAATAATTGAATTTTATAGAAGAATTTTATTATTTATAAAGATAATTGAAATTTTGACAAGAATTTAAAAAAATTGTTGAACATAGGATTAAATTTTTGCGAAGAATTTTATTACTTTTGAAAATAAATGAGTTTCTGCAATCATTTGTTCACTTCTTCGAAATTTAATTTTTTTTAGTGTTTTTAACTAAAATTCTTCTTTAAATCCATTATTTTTAATAATTAATTAAATATATATATATATATATATATATATAAAATATAATAAAAAATTAAGCTAATTTCAGAAGAATTTGAATTATTATTTTTCAAAAATCTGAGTTATTTAAAATTTCTAATTAAATTCATTCAAAATTGAAATTTTATAAAATTTCAAATTAAAACCTTTTGAAGGTTCTTTTAAAAGATTTCTTTTAAAAGATTCTTTTAAAATTCAATTAATGTAAAAATATTTAAGTAAAATTATTCATTAAATAATTTCTAAATAATAATTCTATGATAATCTAATTTATAATTCTAAAAATGAAATGTTTTCCAGTACTTTTAATAAAAATCGCTGACTTTTCCCTGACAAATTCTACTTTCCCTGAATTTCCTGATCAATGGCAACCCTGATAAAAAATAAAAAAGTATGAAAATAAAAGAGCATAAAGAAGTATAAAAGAGTATAAAGTATAAAAAACATACTGATTATCCGGATTGGTGAGAGGACATGGACAAAGTTGACAAGGAATATTTCTCGAAGGATCACCATAATATCCTGGCGGGCAGACTTCCACTTTGTCCGGAACGCAGTGGCCCAAAAATTGACCACTATGCATTTTTCTGTGACTGGAAGCACACGACTGACAAGACGATCCGGAATATCCCGCAGGACACATGCATTCTTCAACGAAAGCTGCAGAACCGAGACCAGTATTCGTAGTGTCCGCAGAGTCGAAAACAATGTTCGTAATTGTCACATCCAGTTCCGGTGAATCTTCATATTTAGCTCTGGAAAAAATTCAATAAATTAAAATTCGGTCTGTTTCAAAAATCAAGTATATATATTATTCATTTAGCAATAATAATTTAATAATTTAATAATAATAAAAAATAATATTCCAAACACATAACCGAAAACTTACGATATAATTAATAATATTAATAATAGTAAATAATATTTCAAGCACATGAACTTACTTGATGAGTATTTCGTCAATGTTTTGTAGAACCATCATGATATCAGCTCGGGCCGCAAGCTCCTCGTACCTTCCGAGTTTCTTGTTCCAATAACCTTCAAAGAATCGAACACTTTCCTCGGTGTCATAATGTGGCAGCACTTCTTTACCCTTGTAAATCAATGTGATATTATTTCCTTTCAAAATCACAGCTGGCGCTTCATTTGGAACTCCATTTCCACTGTATCTAATCGTATATTTCAAATAACCTCCATAAGACTTGAGTTGTTCATGACGGAAAACTTCCGGAAGAGCAAAATACGGAATATTGTAATTGTCAAGTTCGTTGTAATAGGAAGAAATCAATTGTGCTCCATCGGTGCCAATTGGTTGCACTCCAATCAAACTTCGATCGGCGTCACTTCCGATTCTAATTCCCGAAGAGGTGTCAACATTCACGACTCTGTGCCTGTCGAAAGGTGGAGGAATCTGGTAGGTGAAGAGATTGGCACTTCTACAGTCGGTGGCAACTCCGAAGCAGAAACAGGAGATGCATTCTTCTGGAGACTTGGCGTCGGCGTTGAACTTTCCAGGTGGGCATATTCGTTCACCTTCGGATTTCACTACAAGAATCGCGTCGGGAACGGCGAAAACGAAGCCGGCGATGTTTAGAGCTTCACAAGAGTAGGCGCCCTGATCGGATATTTGAATATCTTCGCAAGTCAGAGTTCCCGTTCCGTTTACTGATGTTGAGGTGCATTTCGCTGGAATGTGTCCCCAATTCAATCGCCAATTGATCTCTGGAATTGGAATTCCGGTTGCTGTACAAGTGAGGATCATCACGTCTCCTGGTTTTAGAATGACCATTGGTTGAGGTGGCTTTGTGATGTAGACGGGAGCTAAAGAAAATGTTAATAATCGTAAAATTTATTCTTTGCAAAATAGGAAATTTCAAAGGTGACTCACTCCGAAAAAGGTACCGGAATACAACGATTATTTATATAAAAAAAATAATAAAATAAAATAATGATAATAAAGTTGTTAATATCGATTATTTATACAGATTATTAATACTCACAACATCCGAGTTCATCACTAGCGTCCTGACAATCGCGTTCGCCATCACAATGGAAGCTTTTTGGAATGCACTGATTGTGACTTCTGCATTGGAATTCACTGTTTCGACACGGTGAGCCAGGTGGTGTTGGTGCACAATTTTCTTCATCACTTCCATCGCTACAGTCTTTGTCTCCATCGCAACGCCACAATTTACTTATGCACTGCTTGTTGGCACAACGATATTCGTTTGGTTCACATCCGTATTTCTCTGTAATTTCAAAGAATTATTACAGTAACTATAATTATTAATATAATAATGTAAAAATATATTAAACTATTCATAATTACTGCATCTCATTTCGTCAGATCCATCAGAACAATCGAAAACATCGTCGCACACTTTGGATTTTGGAATACATTCTCCATTGCTGCAAGTGGCTTGATCGTAACCACAAGTTTGCGGTGGTCGATTGGTGGGAAATTCGACTATTAAAATGAAAATTCGTCCTTTTAATAATTCTACCAAATTGATGCTAAATCCAAACTTAGTTAAATATCAATTTTTTTTCAATGAAAATACATTTTAATGTAAAAATTGAAATAAAAATTCTATTAAACATCTTGAATGTGAATTCAGTTAAATCAAATTTCTATTAAATGACTATTCGATTACGTAATAATTTGCCTGAAGAATTAATTAATAATTAATTAATTAATTAATTCGACTGTTAAATTATTATTTTAAGTAGAATTTTTGCCAATTACAAATTCTGTTAAATAAAGATTTGATGAACCAGATAATCTGATGTAAAAATATTGGATAAAACACAAATTCTGTTAAATAAGAAATCAGTTAATTAAATTCTTTTTTGTAATAAAAATTCGATTCAATGAATTTGGAAACGCTGGAAATTCGAACTGTAATCGATTCCATGAATAATAATTAACAATAATAATTACACTTTTCAACTTGAAGATTGACAATTTTCTGATTTCCAGGGCTATGATAATGTCCAAGTGCTTCACAAACGTAAATTCCTGCGTGTTCAAGTTGAATATTCGGAATCTCCAAACGTCCCTTAACATCTGTACTGCCCGGTGGAAGCGGTAAACCATTTCCTCTAATCCACCGAACCTTAGATCGAAGAGGTCCTTCATCACGACATTGGAACACGACTTCTCGACCTAATTACAAAAAAAGCAAATTAATTTTTTCCAAGGAAAATAACAGCCCTTTCACCCTTTAATATACATGAGAGTAATAAAGATGTACAGAATGTAACAATGTTAAATAAGTGTAGTAAACAATTTAATTCAAAAATTGTTACCAATTAAAAATTATAAATTAAAAATGTTATGCCTTTCAATAAAAATTTTTTTTTAAATAAAATTTTTTATTGTCGATAAGTTTACCGCTAATTTCTACTTCTTTTAACTTTTCCACCTTTCTGAGAAGGTATTTGTCCAATATCTTTTTCATCACATAAATATGACGTCTATCATCCCATTTTAAAGAAATTCCATATAGTTCATGCGATGTCATGCTTAAATTTAAATATTTTTATTACAAAATCTAAGCGGAATGATCTTTTTTAATGTCTATATTCTCCTGCAGGCAACATTAGTTTTTATTCTGATTGCGTTTCAAGGCTCACCTTTTCTATGTTAGTGTGAGAATGTGTTTAGTGAAAAAAAATATAATACAAATGTTTGTGTTGCAAGAGTACATGACAGCTAAAGCTACATTAAAAAAAATTGCACAACTATTGAAAGAATATTATGTATGTACTAAAATATTTTGTTTTTTATTTCAAATTTAAATCTCTATTCGATGAGAAAAAAAACCTATATAACACAGTATTTCGTTGCTCAACTGTACAAAGGTAAAAAAAAAATTACTAATAGCCTTTGGAAATGATACCCACATGAACTCATAGCATGATTTTTCAATATCTCTTTTAAATTGAGCTTACCTAATTTCGCTGGGTCTGGCCGAAGCGAAAAACAAAAAAACAAACATTTTTATTAATAAACAGTCAAAAACGAAAATTTCTTTTTTACATTCGTAAATTTTTTTTCGTTTCAGATAGCACTTTTTAAAATTTTAAATTTACACTATTTACTACTATTTAATATTAATGGACGACTATTTATTTTATATTAACTACTAGCAAATAATACACGTGTCAGCGCGCGGAACGCTGTATTCCATTTCTTATTATTTTGTAAATTAAAAAATTTTATAATTTCATCAATTTTTGAATTATTACAGATTTAAAATTTAAAGAATTCACTTATTATGTACATAATATTAAATATTGTTTATTATTATTCACAAATTTTAATAAAATTTCCCGCAAGAATACAATTATTTTTAAAAATATTATTTAAATTCAATTATTTTCAAGAGCTTTAATAAAAATTCAATTAATTTCAACAATTCTAACAAAAAATTCAATTCTTTTTATAAATTGTAAAATTCTTGTCAAGAATTCAATTATTTTTGCGTAAATTGTAAAATTCTTGGCAAAAATTCAATTATTTTTGCGTAAATAATAAAATTCTTCTGAGAAATTCAATTATTTTCAATACAATTTTAATAAAATTTCCAGGAAAAAATTCAATTATATTCAAGATAATTTTAATAACATTTTTCTAAACAATTCAATTGTTCTCAATAGTTTTTAATAAAATTCTTTGTAAATTTCAACTTCTTTCAAAATTTTCAATTAAAATTAATTTTAAAAAATTACATTATTTTTAGGAAATTTAATAAAATTCTTCAAGCAAAAAATTTAATTATTTACGAAAATTCTAATAAAATTGTTTAAAAGAATTTAATTTTCTAAGAAAATTTTTAATATAATTTAATAGAGAGAATTTTCCCAACGAATTTTATTAAAATTGTATTTAAAATAATTGAATTCCTGTGAAAAATTGACTATTTATTGAATTGAATTTTATTAAAAGTTTTTTAAATAATCGAACTCCTATGAAAAATTGAATTATTTTTTAAACTAATTCAATTTTCTCGGAAAATTTTTACAAGATTTTTAAAAATAATTAAAAATTTCGAGGAAATTCGAGAAATTAATTAAAATTGTATTGAAAATAAGTCAAATCCGGATAAGAATTTTATTATATAAAAATAATTGAATTTTTTACGATGATTTCTATTAATATTATAAATTGACTAAAGAATTTTATTACAATTATTGAAAATAATCAAATTCTTCATAAAATTCAATTATTTTGACATTTTTTGATAAATACTTTGCAAGAATTTAACAATTTTCATTCAGTATATATTAATTTAAAAATTGAAAACATTTGAAAAGAAAAATTATTTAAAAAGTTAGGAAACAAAAAAGCAAACAGCAACTAACTTCAAACTGCGAACAGATTACCGGAATTCAACGATTATTAATATAGATTGTTCCTATCATTATTTTTCATTCGATTGATTCTTAAATCGTTTCTACATTTCGGAGTATCATTATTTTCTCTCTGAATTTATTTTTGAAATGAAAAATTTCCAAACAAGCATCAATACTATTTGTGTTTGTTTTCATTCACAGAATGTAAAATAAATTAAATGCAATTTCAGAACAAGAATAAAATTAATTATCCACTGTCCATCATTTTGAAAAAAGTACTTTTTTTTCTTTCGAAAATATAATTTGAATATTTTGTATCAGAAAATAAAAATACTTACTTTCTTTAATGACTTGTTCGCTGGGATATGTTTTCAAATCCAGGCCAGCCAAGGATGAGTTACCTAAAAATTCCAATTGCTTAGTATTTTATAAAAATTATTCAATTACAAGTTTTTTTTTTTAATTTTGTGTTAAATATTATTTTTTTTTAAATTGAATAAAGATACGTAAATTAAATTCTATAAAAGAAATTCATATAATTAGTTCCAAATCAGATTGTTTGAAAAATTTTAATTATTCATTCAGAAAAAGAAAGAAGATAAAAGAAGAGAGAAAAACTTAAGGCAAGACAAATTTTGAAAAAAGTATATATATATTAGAATATTAGAAAAGAATTTTTTCATCATTCATTTTTTATTTTCTGTTAAATTAGAGAATATAGAAAAATAGACGATCGAATAGAGGTAGTGATATTAAATAGAAAAAATGTTTATATTAAGAAATATCGGTATTAAATAGAAATATTGATATTAAGAAATAACTGGTATTAAACGAAAATTTTTATATTAAGAAATATTGGTATTAAATAGAAATATTGAGATCGAGTAGAAAAACAAATTAGATTTATAGTTAAAAAAAAAAACAATCACGTTTGCATATTAAAAAAAAAATTCTGCGCAGTCAAATAAACACTCCTGTGAATTTTTTTTTTTTTTGTAAGAACTCACTATCGTAGAAATCGCAGTCCAATTCGTCCGAATTATCAAAAGGACAATCTATCATATGATTACATCTCAATGTAATATGAATACAAGGACCTTTTTCACATCTCCAATGGTCAGGTTCACATTCTTTTAGACAACCATCATAAATTATTCCAATTGTAAAATTTCATAATTAAAATTTAGAAACTTAAAATTTGAAAGATGAGAATTTCGAAAATATTTTTCCAGTACTTCAATTTTTGAAAAAAAATACCCAAACAATTTTTAACTGTCTCTCACAATTTAAAATTTCGCACTTTGAGACTTTTCTAAAAAATATGTTTACTTAACAGTTCGCACTTAGAATTTAGAAAATTAAAATTAAAAAAATTAAGTTGATAATTTTGAAAACATTTTTCTAATATTTGAATTTTTGAAACAAATCTCAATTTTTTTACTGTCCTTTTTAATTGAAAAAAATTTGGTACTTTAAGTCTTCAAAAAAAAAAAAATATTTCATAATTAGAATTTAAAAATAAAAATTTCGAAAGCATTTTTAATATTTCATTTTTTTTTCTTTTTGAACAAATATCCAAACAAATTTTTACTGACCCTTTTAATTTAAAATTTTCTACTTTGAATTGAAAAAAATATTTACCTAATCTTTGACTATTTTAAAATGAAATTATTAATTTTCTACTTTATTTTTTTTATATTTACCGCAATGTTCTTCATCGGAGCGATCTCTACATTCTGGAATTCCGTTACAACGAGCAGATAGAGGTAAACACGTATTGTCAGAACGACACATGAATTTTCCAGGACAGCCAGGCATGGGATGACCTCCCGGTCGAGTTGTATTATCAACATTTGCTAAAAAAAAATTTTACAAATTAATCCCCATTTCAAATGGCATATGATACGAATTTTTAAATTATTCTCAGTGAAATAGTTTTCCTTTCATTTATTCACAGACGAATATATTGTGACGAACCACTGTGAAAAGGACCTTAACTTTTTTTTCTTGACAGAACCAAAAATTTTTTATACCTAAAGTCCCTTCATTTCTTTGAACTAATTATCATAAATTTTTACAATTATCATTATCATTACAATTCATTCATTTCGAAAATTGTAAATCGAAAATTTCAAATTATCAAAATTATTAATAATTAACCAAATTAACACTGAAAAATATTAATAAAATTAAAAATAAGAATAGTAAAAATAAATATAAAAAAACAGTAGAAATAAAAATAGAAAAAATTAAAATAGAAATAAAAAAAAATAGAAACAAAAAAAATAAAAACAATCGTAATCATTAACAATATCAAATTGTATAAACTTACGACACTCAGTTTCATCAGAACCATCATCACAATTGTAAATTCTGTCACATCTTTGATTTCCATGAATGCAAACACCATTACTCCAACACTGGAACTGATCACGAGTGCAACCTAGAAAAAATTATTCTCAAATTAGTTTCAATTTTAAAATGAATTTCGAAATAAAACTCTCCACAAAAGTATATATAGATAAATATATTAATCGAGCACAGACTGCACAGAGGTAACATCACATAAATATATACAAGTAATAATGGCACATAAAAATCTTATCATCATCAATATGACTAAAAATCAATTCTAACATCTATTATAGAAATCGGAATTAAAATTAATGAAATAAATGCAAATTCACCAAACTATTTACTGAATATACAATAAAATATAAATATTTTTCCTTTACGTATTTTATTATATTTTCAATGTGATTACTCTTCTATTTTTTCCCATTTTACCCAAAAATTTTTCTTTCAACCAATTTTGATTATATTTTTTCAATATGTAAATTTTTACTCTCTTCTCTCTTTTTACCCAAAAGGCATTTTATTGATTAAATAAATTAATTAATCATACGAATATAATAATAAATGATAACATATTATGAATATTCAATTCAACAACTTAAGAAATAGGCAACCGATTTTCTGCACACCTTTGAATTAACGAACATGAAACGTGTTTATAAATCATGAATTATATGAATGATACATTACTCTTTACTGAAAGTTTCTACAACATCCAGATCTCATAATTACGATTCATGATAATCTATAAATATATACTTTCACTATATATCATTCCGAACTATAAAAAAATTTAAACAAGTATACTTTAATACTTATTATCATAAATATTTGCAAAAAAAAGTATCCACCTTATAAACAGAACATAACAAGAATACGAGGGAAAAAAATGATTTCTATAGTTTATGATAATAATGAAAACATGAGCAGCTACCAGACAATTTTAATTTATTGAAAGTCTTTGCAAATACTGGCGTTTTTTATTTGTCTGATAACTTCATATTTAATACAGAATGAATATTAATGATTTTTTGATTATGATTATGAAAAAAAATTCCATTATTCTCTACAATCAATTTTTCCAATTTGCACTTTATATTTATGTGTATAATTTGTGTTATTTTGCACTGAAAAAATTTATTAATTCCTAAGAGTTTGATTTTTAGAATATAATTTTCGGAGTGTAATAATTTCAAAAATTTTAATAAAATTTTTCGTAAGAATTCAAATTATTTAAAAATTTTGTTTAATTCAATTATTTTTTAATTAAAATTTTAATAAAATTTATCAAAACAAAACAGATCAATTTTTTTTAAATGGTAAAAATTCTTTGCAAAAATTCAATTTTATTTTCAAAAATATTTCACGAAAGAATTCAATTTTTTTTTAATTCGTTATAAACTTTTTTGCAAAAGAATTAAATTATTTTCTAAAAAATTTCACGAAAGAATTCAATTTTTTTCTCAATTTGTTGTAAAATTTTTCAAAAGAAATAATTATTTTCTAAATCTAAAATTTTTAATTTTTAATAACATTTTTTGGCAAGAATTCAATTGTTTTCATAAATAATAAAATTCCTAGCACAAAATTCAATTTTTTGAATTTAATTTTCCAAGTTAAGAGTAAGTAAATTTTTTTTTTCAGTGTGTAAAAGTTAAAAGAAAAACACATTACAATAGAGTGCAAATTGAGAATAATAGTTTTCTAAAATTCTACCTACAAAAAAGAAATGTAATACTTAAACCAGGCAAAGATGCACTATCGATTACAAAAATGCCTCTGCGATACCATAATCTGACAAACTTGACATTTGAATCTGCAGGACCAGATTTATGCAAGTTTCTACTTCAACGTCAACAACCTACACATTGTCTATTCGGCTGCTAACACAGATTGACAGGAAACGACGTAACACCAAGATAATCCGAGGCATTTTTTCAATTTCTTTTTTTATTTTTATTTTCACATATTTCTCCCGAGAAGAAATTATTAATTACACTGAATAAATCACATTTCCTCTCTGTGATATTCTACAGCTCAAAAAACTGATTTCTACTTTTCGATTCTTATAATAAACAACAATAATAACAATGAAGATACTGCACTAAAAAAAAATTAATTTGATTCAAATAACCGATTATTTATCTATTATTGAAAATTTGAAACAAACAAAAATTATTCGATACAAATAAATATTTACTTTAAATAAATATTTACTTGAAATAAAAAATTTAACGTTTAGTTGACAATAAAAATTATTCGATAGAATTAAATATCCAGTTGAAAAAAAATTTCAATTAAATCAAATAAATTGTTTATAATATAAATAAAATAAATTTATAAATTGTTTATTTATATAATTTCATTATTTTAATCAAATGTCATTTAATTGAGTAATAATAAATTGACAATAAAAATTATTCGATACAAATAAATATTTACTTGAAACAAAAAATTGTCATTTAAATTAAATAAATTTTATTCGATCGTATTTGAACTATTTGAAGCAAATGCAATTTAATCGTTTAATTGCCAATAAAAAATATTCGTTACAAATAAATATTCACTTGAAAGAAAAAATTTCCATTTAAGTAAATTTTATTCGAACGTATAATTTCAGTATTTAAGGCAAATGCCATTCAATTGACAATTAATTTAACGTTTAATTGACAATTAAAAATTATTCGATACAAATAAATATTTGATAATAAACAATTTAATAGTCAATTGACAATAAAAATTATCCGATACAAGTAAATATTTGATAATAAACAATTTAACAATTTAATTGACAGTAAAATTATTTGAATACAAATAAATATTTATTTTAATAATAGACTAGTAATCGTTTATTCGAATCAAATAATTTTTCTTCAGTGCAACAAATAATAATAACTAGAGAACTTTCCCGAGAGACGAAAATTTTAAGAACTCAATTTTCAAAACGTTTAAATAAAAATTTTGCAAAAATTGAATTATCAAAAGAGGTTTCAAAGTTATTTCGAAATTAAATTTAAAAATTTAAAATTAAATCAATAGAATTTTTAATAAATTTGAAATAAACTATTGAAATTTTTTGAAATTTTTTTCGTTTTTTTGAATTAAAAATAGATGCCAGCGGATTATCAGGGATTAAAGATTGCGCTAACCAAAGCAGTACTGCTCATCGCTAAAGTCGCGACAATCGTAGAAATGGTCGCAATGATGGGCCTTGGGAATGCAAGTGCCATCGGCACAAATAAAATCACCCGGCACACAACTCCTAGTTGTACTTTGAATTGATGTCAGCTTGATATCAGCACCTGTACTTGGGCTGATAGCCCCACTATCCGGATTCTGGTGGGCTACCACCACAGTCTCTGGATGCCCCCTTGAAGAGGTTTTATCCGGAGCTTCTATACCTAAAAGTAACCTGTTCTCTTCAATACAATTTAAATAAAAAAAACTTTTCAATTATTTATGACTTTTGTTTTTTTTTTTTTTAAAGATTTTAAAATGTGACATTTCCACTTAATATGCATAAAATAAAAAATTTCCTTTCATTACCATTTATGGACAAATTTATGGACATTTGTACCTTTTACGGAAATTTGTATTTACTAATTTATAATTATTTATATTTCTGTATTAATAAATATTTTTCTATTTTTAATTTTTATATGTCTATCTTTTTCTTTATTTAAGTTTTTATTTCTATTTCTCTTATTTTTCTATATTTTAATATTTCAATATTTTTTCATTTTTCTCAACTTATTTTTATATTTCAATATTTTTTTTTACTTTTCTGTATTTTTTTTATTTTTCTATATTTAGGTTTTTATTTCTATACTTTTTATATTTCAATATTTTCTTTTTCTATTCTGATTTTTATATTTTCATTTTTTTTATTTATCTATAGTTATATTTCTGTATTTTTTTTTATATTTCTATAAGTGACGTCCTTCCAAGAAAGGCATCTAAGTAAAAAACATCAAAAATTTTTAGGTTATGTTTATAATTTTCAGAGTAAAAATACAGAAAGAGAATCAATTACTATTAGAAATTATTGATTTTCAAGTTTTCATCACATCCAAAATATTCAATAGAATCATATTTCAAATTCAAATAACTAAAATCAAACTTCAAATTAAGGTAAAAATAAAATAAATATAACCTGAAAGTGTTACCTCTCTTGGGAGAGCGTGACATTTTCATTTCTGTATTTTTTTTACTTTCTATATTTACACTTATATTTTTCGATATTTACCTTTAAATATTTATTCACATTTATTTATATTTTATTGTTTTTTATTTATTTATTAATATATCTACTCTACTTGTTCAAAAACTTGAAAAACCTTCGATTCTTTCGTTTCTTTTGAATTCATTGAAAAAATTTGTCATATAAAAATCAATTAAAAATTATTGATTATTATTTACTATTAAGTTTTTGTTGTCTCTGGAAAAAGAGAAATTATTGGGAAATAATTTGAAAACATTTAACACCATGGTTAGCTGGTTCTTGCAGCATTAAGGCACTTCATGTCACTACAAGTCTACAAATCTATGCAATTCATTTTGTGATCGTGCCACAAGGCTAATTTCGTGAGAATATTTTCTAATAAATAGAAAAAAAAATGAAAAAAAAATTTTTTTAAATGCATGAAAGTATAATTATAATAAAAATTTACCTCGGCAATTTACTTCATCGGAACTGTCGGAACAATCGGGCCTGTGGTTGCAGACGTACGAGTTGGGAATGCAGGATCCATCGGCGCAGGTGAATTCATTTGGTGAACAACTTGGATAACTTGGAATCTCGTTCGGATTTTCTGTGTTAAAAAAAAAAACACTTTAGAATTTTATTTTTTAATTATTAGTAAACTAATGTAATGCGCATCAGGTCGATAAAAAGAGTCGGCCAGTCACCTAACGTCCCATTTCTTGTCTTTATTTCTTAACGCATGCGCACTGATGCATAAGCAGTCTTCTCTGCGCATGCGTCTTTTGAGAGAGAAAAAGACAAGGGGACGTTAGGAACAGTAAAAAAAACTCCTAATTATTATATTTATTTGTCTAATTATTTAATTTAATCAATAATATAAATTTAAGGAAATAATTCACACAAAAGAAAACTTGTGATACTTTTCGAATTTTACACGCGACGCATTTTGACGAAAGGAATTTGAACAGCAAATAATAATTATAGGTCACCTTTTCGAAAAGAGTGCGTCACGTGAAAATATATATAAATTTTTTTTAAAGAATCTAATTAAAATGCAGAAAATTGTTTGAAAATAATTAAAAAATTCTTACTACAATCTCTCTCGTCACTTCCATCTAAACAATCGGTCCTTCCATCACAGAAAAAGTCAGCTTTGATGCAAATACCATTAGCGCACATTCTTTCATCGCTTTTACATTCTGTAATTATAAAAATTAAATGTGAGACTTTTCAATATTTTTATGTAGCGTTAAAAAAAATCCAATGTACAGATATACAGAATTAAGTGCACGCTTTTTAAAAAAAATATTCCTAATTCAAATAAAAGAAAACTGAAACAAAAATTCGTAGCGAAAACCAAAAAAAAAGAGAGAAAAAAGGGAAAAATATGTGAATATTAAAAATGTGAATTAGAGAAAATTTTTGCTAGAAAGGAAATAAATTTTGCAATGAAAAATTCGAAAAAGCAAATTGAAACAGATAGTATCAGAAGAAAATTTAGAAAGAATATAAAAAACAAAAGTACAGAAAGAAAATTTTAAAGAAAATCGAAAAAGAATATTTTAAAATAGAGAATTTGGATAAAAATCGAAAAGGAAAATTTGAAAGGAAAACAAAAAGAAAATTTAAATAAAAAATATAAAAAGAAAATTCAAAGACAGAAAATTTATAAGAAAAACGAAAAAGAGAATTAAAAAAGAAAATTTTTAACGGAAAATTGAAAAAGAAAATTTGAACAGAAAATATAAAAAGAAAATTCAAAAACAGAAAATTAGAAAAAAATTAAAAAGGAAAATTTTAAAATAGAAAATGTAGAAGAAAATCGAAAAAGAAACTTTGAAAGGAAACCAAAAAGAAAATTTAAACAGAAAGTCGAAAAAGAAAATTTAAATAAAAAGTATTAAAAAAAAAAATTCAAAAACAGAAAACTTAGAAGAAATTAAGAAAATTTAAACAAAAAGAAAATTCAAATAGAAAATATAAAACGAAAATTTAAAATGAAAAAACGAGAAAATTTATAAGAAAAAAGAAAATTTAAAAAGAAAATTGTAAAAGAAAATTAAAGAGCAAAAAATATTTACAAAACACGTGATATTTTCTATAACGAAATTCGTGCACATTTTTGCATTTTCCGTTAATTCTTCCAACAGTAAAACAATCATTTTCGAATAACTTTTGTGCAACTATTTTCACACAAAAATAATTCCAACCCAATATAAAGTGTTACTAACAATAATTTTTGTTATAAATATTAATATCCTATATACAAATAATAAATAATATACAATATATCATATATATGTGAAAATATTTATATATATATATATATACAGTCAGGCAACCTGTGCTGAAAAAAGACAGAAAAAGGGGTTATAATAAATAATCAAACCATTTCAAAGTGCATTCGAGATTATGGAAAAAAAACATTCGGTAAATATTTTTTTTAAGTGAAGAGACCAACTCATGGAAATATACATTCTAGGGAAAAAATTCACAAGATATATAGAGACAGAGTATAACCGCACAAAGAATGTGAATATTGTATAATAGTTATAATGCATTTCTAACATTATCAGTGCTTGAGGAGAGGGGGAAAAGAAAAGTATTTTTTTTTCTCCCAAAAAACCATCCGATAGTGACGTAATTAACTCAATAAATTATATATAGAAAATCACAATTCTATTTTCAAACGTGCTTAGGCATTCATTATGAGTGAATTATTTTTTTGCACTAGAAACCATTACAAAAAAAAATTTTAATAATATTCAGACTTTTAAACAGTTAAACCAGTAAAAAATTAATATTAAACTGTAAATATTAAAATAGAAATATTAGAAAATTAGTATTTATTTGAATGTTTTTAATTAACTAATTTATTACGATTAATATTAAAATTAATATTGCGATTAATATTAAAATTAATATTAATAGTATATTACGATACTAGGCCAGAAAGTTGGATTTCCTGGCCGGCGTGATATATAAGGCCGAGGCGAAGCCGAGGCTTTATATATCACGCTCGCTAGGTTATCCAAATTTCTGGCCGTGTGTCGTATACAATTTTTCTGTATCCCCAGCCGAAAGTACGTTAAATAATTATTGTTTGAATAATAAAATAGCTGAATAAGTTGCCCGCCCGACTTTTGCAAAGTCGAGGCGAAGCCGAGACTTAGCTGGTCGGGGCGGGCATGAAAAAAAATTATAAGTAAAAAATAATTGGAAGTAAAATTTAAAAAATAGTAAACAAGAAATTTTCTTTTACAAATAAATATTTAATAATATACAAAATATAATAATAATAAATAAAAGAAAATAAGAAATTTCATGCATTATTTTGATGACTGTCAGTTGTTTTCAAAACGTGAGCTCTGTAAGTAACGTGTTTGTGTGGTTGCTATGCTAACATGTACGTGTGTTGAAATTCTTGTAACCAATCAGAGCGCTCGTTGGGTCTGTCGAGCCAGCCACAAAAGTCGCTATTCCCGGAGCCAAATCAGACCGGGAAGACAGTACTTTCGGCAAAGGGATACAGAAAAATTATTTTAATATCAAAATATAAATATTAAAAATAAATATAAGTTCATAACGAAAAATTATCTAATAAAAATATTTTATATTCAAAATTTAAATTTAAAATTTTATTCTCTATTAAAAATTAGAACCTGTAGAGACAATTGGAAAGAACTGTTAAAAAGCGCACCTCCAGAAAAATGTTTTATTTAAACCAAATATAATTTATTTGGGTCAAATAAAACTTTATTTGTCATAGAGTTTATTAAATTATATATATTTGTTTCAAATAGGAATTTTATTCGAGACAAACAAAATTTTTATTTGAACTAAACTTAAAATTTATTTGAACCAATTAGAATTTATTTGAAACAAATACAATTTTTATTTTTGAACCAAATAAAATTCGATTCAACTGAATAAAATTAATTTGAAGTAAATAAAATTAATTTAAACCAAATAAAATTAATTCGAAACAAATAAAATTCATTAGAATAATTAAAAATTTATTTTTAACTAAACACAATTTTTATTTGAACCGAATAAAATTTATTTGAATCGATTAAAATTTATCTGAACTAAACCAAAATTTTATTTGAACTAAATAAAATTGATTTTACAATTAAATAAAATATAATAATAATTTAGAAGACTCTCAGTCAAATATTTTTGATTTCCGGGTGCATTGACACGAAAAGGAAAAGATATATTAAAATAATTTTATTAATAGTTACAAATTACAAATTCCTATAAATCCATTCACAGGGAAAATTGTGAGGCTTTAAAATAAGACGCCTCGCTCTTATTTTAATACTATATTTGAATATAACATTTATAAGATATATCTAAAAATAAAAATTTAAATATAAAATTACAATTTTAATTAAATACAGTTTTAAAATATATGTTCTCAATAATTACAATTAACATAATTATATTATTCAAAAAATACTTATAATCATATAATTATATTATTCAGTGAATAAATAATTTATAATCATACAATTATATTATCAAATAAATAATTATAATAATGATAAATAATACAGAAATATAATTTCAAAATTTCAAAATTTCAAAATGATATCTAAACTTATACAAAAAATTCATATAAACATAAATTAGAAATAAAAACAAGTGTGTTAGTTGTTAATATGCGAAATATTTTTGTAAATTGATAATAAAAGTAGGGTGCGTGTCATTCAGAGATAGAGAGCATTCTTTGAAGATGAGAATAACTAATTAGGATGTACAATAAAAAAAAATATATAAATATATACAGTGCGACAGAAGAATAAACCATTTTTGTTGAAGGACAAAAATACCCACTTGATATCATGCTTGTGGAAAATATTTCTCAAAATTAAATCAAATTTTATTTTAAATATAAAATAAGTTCATGCCACGAAAATATACGTCAATTATAAAATCACTCCTTATACTGAAAAAAAATTTCTATTGATATATACGACAACTAATTTAATTATAGTTATCTCCTCATACTTTTCTATTAAAATATTCATTCTACTTTTGGTTTTTTGTTCCAATTTTAATTCATTTTCTTCATTATTTATGCCTACATGTAAGATAGACAATCATGGAAAATTCATAAATAAAATATATTAAAAGCAAAAAATATATATTATACTTTTTTACGATTAAAGAGAAATATTAATATTAGTATTAATAACTAAAATAATTATTACTATTTTTAATACTGTTATTAATTATTAATATTAATTATTAATAATAATAATTAATATTTTTCTCCTCTACTTCATTTTCTACTCTGCATTACAAATGAAGCTAATATTTGATATTATTATATATAATAAATTTAACAGAAAATATAAATTTTAATTTTGTGAAATTTAATTTAAAAATATATTAAATTCTCGCAATTTGAAATTATATGTGCGAAAATATTTTCCCAAAAAAAAGGGGAAAAAAATGAAAAATTAATTAAGGTGGAAATAAATACGTTTACTACGTATACATAAAATATAATAAGTAAATATAATAAGTTATTAGTGAATAAAATTTAATAAACCGTGCCTTTCTTTCTTCATTGTTAAATTAAATAATAATAATAAAATAATGCTTATTAAACAACAGTTTATATTATATGTGTGATGGTTGCAGGTGGGTCAAGCAAAAGTAATTAAAAAAGTTTAAAAACTTTTTTTTTAGCTTTATAATTACCGCAACCGATTTCGTCCGATTCGTCCACACATTGAAGCATCCCATCGCATCTCTCGCTTTCCAGAATACACTCGTTGTTCATACATTTCCATTCCCCAGGAACGCAGAGTCCTTTACGCAGACATACACACAAAAAAAGCTAACAACAAGCTTCGAGAAAACACCAATCAGCGTTTAATAATGTATATTAGAAGCATATATAATATTATATTATATATATAAATATATATTGATTTTCATGCATGTTTTGGAAATTTTTTTTTTTTTTATATTAAGTATTTAATATTTTTAATTATTTTTTGAATCTGTTTTTTTTTAAATTTTAACTCTTTGTATTATATATGGTTTTTGTTATTTTAAATGTGACACGCTGTGAACAAAGGTATTTTAGAAACTACAAAAAAATTTTTATGTTTTTTGTCTACTATTTTCGTTCAACAAAATTCCCGGTTTTTTCCCGACTTTGTCCTAATTTTTACCGGTTATTTTTTCTCATCAAACTTAAATTTATTTGATTTCTAACATAAATAAATCTACAAATGGCTTTAAAAATTTTTATTAGAGTTTTTATGAATAATTAAATTCTTTTACCGAGTGACTTTAAATTTTTTGAAAATAATGTTTTTTTTATTAATTTTAATTAAAACTTTGGAAAATAATTGAATTATTTTCCAAAACAAAGAATGTTATTATTGATGAAAATAATTAAATGTTTGCGTAGAATTTTATTAAAATTTTTGAAAATAATTAAATTGTTTTTTAGAATTTTACGAAAATTTATGAAAATAATTGAATTCTTGTGAAGAATTTTTTTGAAAAAAATATTCAACAGAATTTAGTAAATCTGCAAAATTTTACTATTTATGGAAATAATTGAATTCTTAAGAAGAATTTGTTTCTAGAAATAATGGAATTCTTTCGACGAATTTTAATAAAATTTTTAAGAATAATTAATTACATTTGTCGGGGAATTCAATTAAAAGTTTTATTAAAAATAATTGAAATTGTGCAATGAGTTTTACTATTTATGAAAATAATTGAATATATTGCGAAGAATTTTTAAAAATATCTTCAAAAATTTGTATTAGAGTTTTTAGGAATAATTTAATTCTTTTGCAGAGTGTCTTTAAATTTTTTGAAAATAATGTTTTTTTTATTAATTTTAATCAAAAATTTTGAAAATGTTTGAATTATTTTCCAAACAAAAGAATTTTTTCAATTTTTTAAAATAATCTTGTCTGTTCATAATTAAGTTGAAAATTGAATTTCTGCAAAGAATTTTTCTTTTTATAAATGTAATTGAATCCTTCAAAAGAATGTTATTATTTATGAAAATAATTAAATGTTTGTGTAGAATTTTATTAAAATTTTTGAAAATAATTGAATTGTGGAAAACAATTTAATTTTTTATAAAGATAATTGAAATTTTGAGAAGGATTTAAAAAAAATTTTATATATAATTGAATTTCTGAGAAGAATTTTATTACTTTGGAAAATTATTGAATTGTTTTTTAGAATTTTATGAAAATTTATGAAAATAATTGAATTCTTGAGAAGAATTTTTTTTACAGATTCTAAAAATAATTGAATTCTTTCGACAAATTTTAATAAAATTTTTAAGAATAATTACATTTTTCGAGGAATTCTATTAAAATTGTATTAAAAATAATTGAATTTATGCAAATTTTACTATTTATAAAAGTAATTGAATTCTTCGAAAGAATGTTATTATTTATGAAAATAATGAAATGTTTGTGTAGAATTTTATTAAAATTCTTGAAAATAATTGAATTTCTGAGAAGAATTTTATTACTTTTGAAAAATAATTGAATTGTTTTTTAAAATTTTATGAAAATTTATGAAAATAATTGAATTCTTGTAAAGAATTTTTTTTTTTAAATAATATTCAAAAGAATTTAGTAAATCTGAAAAATTTTGCTATTTGTGGAAATAATTGAATTCTTGAGAAGAATTTGTTTCTAGAAATAATTGAATTCTTTCGATGAATTTTAATAAAATTTTTAAGAATAATTACATTTGTCGGGGAATTCGATTAAAATGTTATTAAAAATAAAATTTATTTTTTTTTTAAGTTTATTTTTTTATGTAAAATCAAAAATAATTATTTAATTCAAATTGCATTGAGAATTATAGTTTTGCTTTATTTATTTTTAGTTGAAAAGAAAAAATAAAATTTTTTTTCTGTTAAAGTACCTACATTTATTCAGAACGTGTCACGCGATTTTATAAAATTGATATTATATACCTACAGTCATTAAAATGTGGTGTTTAAAAATTTCTACATTAAAAATGGAAAATTATAAACAAATCAACAACATTTAAATGATAACATTAAAAATAAAATTCACAATAATTGAAAGCAAAACGTTACTGTTGTAATTCAATATTCGTCTGACGCGCACTACCTGTAGCTACTTAAGGTTCGTCGCGTCTGACTAAAATCTCTTGTACTACTTAAAAAGAATCCAACAATGAATGAATCACTAAAGAAATTGTGTACAATGAACTCGACAATGAAATAGTAATGATAATAATAGTAATAATAATTTTATTAATAATTAAAATTTTATTAATGATAAATAACATAATAATAATAATAATAATAATAATAATAATAAAAATAAGTAATAAAAATAATCACTACTATAATAACAAAAATTATTAGCACTATTATTTTTATTATTATGATTGTAATCATTATTATTCTTACTATTATATTATTATAATTTTTATTACTATTATTAATAGTAAAATTATAATATTAATATTATTAATAATTTAAATAATTATTGTAATTATTACAGTATAAAAAGTAATTACCTGATTCAAGAAACCGATTACTTGTCTATTATCAAATAAATATTTACTCGAATCAAATAATTTTTATTTAAATCAATTAAATCGTATTTGCATCAAACACTGAAATTATTGGTTCAAATATACAATTTATTTGTTAATTTTAATAGAAAATTAACAAATTTAATCAAAGTTTTTACTAAACGAAAAATTGAATTATTTTTGCCAATAACATTTTAAATTGAAAACAATATATTGAAGAACAAAATGGTGGTTTAATTTCTCGAATTGAGAATCATTAATTACAATTAAGAAAAATGAATTTAAATTTCGTTTTCACTTTAATTTGCTATTTTTATCTGTTAAGTTTTTTAAGTTTATCTTTATATAATTATTATTATTATTATTATCATTACTATTATTACTAATTATTACTATTATTTTCATTATTATTTTAATATTATAATTAATTATTATTCAAATTATTTATTATCATTATTTAATATTATAGTTATTTATTATCACAATTATTTATTGAAAAATTAATTAAAAAACTATTAATATTTACAATTATTTATTTTTATTGTTTCCATTAATTATCGTTTATTTGCATAAACATTTTTTTTCTTCATAGTTTTTTGTTGTTCTTGTCATTATTCTGGCATGGAAAGCACCGAAAGCAAAAAATTTACTTGCAAAATTTCTAATGAAATGTCTTTTACAACTTAATTGTCGTAAATGTTGAAAATGATTCTAAAGTCGTGTTTAGAAAAAAAAAATGCGTATTTCTTGAAAATGAAGAAAGCCTCGCGCTTGATTTGACCCAATTAAATTTCTCCGGAGTGCAGAAGCACTTGACTAATTTTTATATTATATCTTTTTGTAGCCTAAAAGCTTTGCTTTCTAAGAACTTGTTACAAAAAAATTGAATATTCACATTTTCTATATATATATATATTTAAAATACTATTTTCACGTTTTTAAATTTTCATTTTTATTATATTTATCCTGGTATATTTATATTGATACTTTACAATAGAAAGAAGAAAGAAGTCAAGATAAAATTAGAGTTAAATAATAAAGATAATCTTTTAATATTAAAACGTATTTCAGAAAACGTGACCTATTTAATTTTTTTTGTAACTATATTTACATCACTGCAAAATTGTATAGAATTCTTTGTTTGATACGTTTATTAAAAGAAGCGTATTTCTTTTTGTAGTGATAAAAATTAATAACTGAGTTTAGAAACATTATTTCTTAAAAATTCCAAAGAAGATTATAAAAATCACCATTTTTTGAAACAAAATTATTTATAGTTACAAATAATAAATTATAACTTAAAAAATGTATTCACAAGTTAATACAATTTACTTAAAAATTAATAACTTGTAAGTAGAAATAGTTTTGTTTATAGCAAAATGTGATTTTGGAAAAATTCCCAAGAATTAAGAAGAAAAATGAAAATATAAAGAAAGTGGAGAAAAGGAAAATGGCAAATTGTGAATGAAGCTCTTACCACAATCGCGTTCGTCACTTTGATCTCGACAATCAATAACATTGTCACATTTTTGATGAAGGGAAATACAATGGCCATCGTCGCAACGCATTTCAGTCCTTGGATCACAATTCCTTGTCTGCACAATATTCCAGGATGGTCTCGAATGGTCTATTTGCACATTTAGGGAAATTTTTGGATAAAAAGCACACGAAAGCACATTTATTCTATTCACAAAATACAATAACCAGAGAGAAATGTTTATTTTTCTTCTATAAAAACTAGAGAAAATTATTTGTAAATATTTTTATTTCTTTTACTAATTTTTTTTTTACTAGTTTTTTATTTTACATATTATTTTGTCAAATATGTATCATTTTATACTAACTACGTCCCTGCTATGTCAATCGTACGCATGCGCTAACACACTTTCTTTACACACACACTTTTTACCACCACAGTTCCTTTGTACTCTCTCCAGAGTTAATCTCGAGTCATTCGTTACCAATAAAAAGGTCTTATTGTAACCTGGTTATATTCCTTACTAGAACCATAGCCTCTCGGTCTAATAGGTTATGGGCCCAGATTTCATCGCGTATAGTTCGGAAGTGAAATAACCTTTGTAAAAAAATTCGAGAAAGAAACGAAGTACTTTTCGAGGGGAAGCGTGGTCTCTGAAAATTTCGCAAAATGAGTTCTACGTACTCGACGCGTATTGAAGCTCTCGGAAAGCATAACTACGATACGTGGAAACTTCAAGTTCGAGCATTACTAATAAAGAATGACGCCTGGGAGTACGTAAACGGCGACAAACCTAAACCGGTAGCCGTGGTTGGCGACGCGGCATCGCAAGCGGCAGCGGCCGCATGGGTAACGGCGGACAGTAAAGCGCAATCGGATCTAATTCTCGCAATAGAACCATCCGAATTAAAACAGGTGAAAACATGCGAAACCGCACATGAAATATGGCAGAAGCTGCAAAGGATATATCAGTCAACAGGACCGGCCAGGAAGGCCACCCTGCTGAAACAGCTGATGTTGCATAAAATGGCGGAGCATGACGATGTTCGAGAACACATCCGCGGCTTTTTCGATGCAGTGGACAAGTTGCAGGAGATGGAAGTGGCCATCAACCAGGATTTACTCACCATTATGCTGCTGTACAGTCTCCCCTCCACCTACGAAAACTTTCGATGCGCCATCGAAACGCGGGATAATTTGCCGGAACCTGAAACCCTGAAAATAAAAATCATCGAAGAGAGTGACGCCAGGAAGTCTGCTCAACGTGAAAATTCATCGGAAGCCATGTTGGCTAGCAGCGCGAATCGTGGTCATCACAAGAAACTTGGATGGAAGGGGAAGAAATCAAACGCCGAAAAAGGGGAAGAAAAATTCTTCCCTTTCAAATGCCATAAGTGCAGGAAAGTCGGGCATAAGGCCAACGAGTGTAACGCGAAATACGACAAGAGAGGAGAAAAAGCGAGTAAAGCGGAAGAAATGGGTTTTTTAATCACGAGTTCGGAATCAGCGCTGAAAACCGAAGACAGCCGAGCGGGAACGAAGTGGTGCCTCGACAGCGGCTGTACGTCGCACATGTGCCACGATAAAGACAAGTTTACAAATAGTGAAAAGTGCGAAAGTGAAAAATTAAATTTGGCAAACAGTGCAACTACTAATGTGGAAGCAAGAGGAACGGTAAAAATTTCAGTTATCGAGAATAATGAAACAAAACCTCTGAAATTGGATAAAACCCTGTACGTGCCGGATTTAAGAACACCCCTGATTTCCGTCGGGAAAATCACCGATAACGGATACGACGTAACTTTCACACGAAACTCGGCGGTAATTCGTGACGCGAACGGCATCGTGAAACTATCCGCGAATAGAATTAACGGACTATATTATATTCAGGAAACGTCGGAACTCGCGAGTGTTGCCTCGGAAAGTGATAACTCAAAAAAATTAGAATTGTGGCATCGAAGACTAGGTCACTTGAACGAAAAGGACCTAAAAAGTTTGTTGAGAAATCAAGGAATACAGTTCAGTGAAAGTGAAAAACTCGAAATATGTGAAACTTGTGTAACGGGAAAATTCGCGCAAAGGCCTTTTCCAAAAAAATCATCGCGCAAAACGGAAATACTCGATATAGTGCACACGGACTTGTGCGGGCCGATGCGGACACAATCTCTCGGGCATGCAAGGTATTTCGTGACCTTCATCGACGACGCTACTCGTATGTGTGAAGTGAAATTCCTAAAAAGTAAAGACGAACTCGCGAACGCTTTTAAAAGTTACCAAGCTGTGGTGGAAAATCAGACCGGAAAGAAAATAAAATGCTTGCAGTCGGACAACGGTACGGAATTCCGAAATAAGGACTTGGATCGACACCTGGAAAAATGCGGTATTACAAGAAGGTTCACAATACCTCACACCCCACAACAGAACGGCATAGCCGAAAGGAAGAATCGAACCTTAGTGGAGATGGCGCGATGTCTCCTAATAGATTCTAACCTTCCCCCGGTGTTCTGGGCAGAGGCGATAGCGACTTCCAATTACGTAAGGAATAGATGTCCCTCCACAAGCATAGACGGTCAGATACCATTCGAAAAATGGACCGGAACTCCTCCAAACCTCCATCACCTAAAAACCTTCGGATGTCATGGATTCGCTTTGGACAAGTCACCGGGAAAAGGAAAATTTCAACCACGAGCGCAAAAGTGTATATTCTTAGGATATTCTACAGAATCAAAAGGATATCGAGTCTGGTTGCCGGATAAAAGAAAAGTCGAAATAACAAGAGACATCGAACTCACGAACACTTTTCTTCCGAAACAAAAATTCGAAGAATTTCTCCCCGAGGAAACGTCGAACGAAAAAGGTAAACATACGAAAAAGGAAAACTGGATTGAAATTGAACACACCTTGACAGATCGAAGAAACAACCACCAAATTCGAAATCACGAGGTCGAGAGCTCAGAAGAAGAAGAATTTTTTGGATTCGATCAATCACAAGATGAAGACGACGAAGATGACACCCTCGAGAACGAAAACAACATCGAGGCTAGAGAAATGGTCGAAAACGCCATCCAGAATAACAATATCGCACAACAGGAAATACGACTAGCTGGAAGACCGCAGATTATAAGAACCGGAGCACGTGGAAGGCCAAGGAAAAATTACAGATCACGCAACGTTGAAGAAGCAGCTGAGCAACACCCGGAACACTCGAACATCGCAGAGGAAATTTCGATCAAGGAGGCTCTAAACGGAGACGATGCAGATCTTTGGAAACGCGCCATGCAGGAAGAATTTGAAGCATTGATCAAAAACCAGACATGGACCATCGTCGAACGCCCTGAAGGTTGTAACGTAATCGGATGTAGAACTGTACTCAGGAACAAATTCAATGCCGAGGGAACATTGGAAAAAAGGAAAGCACGCGTCGTCGCGCGAGGATTCTCACAACGACCCGGAGTAGACTTTCATCAAACTTTTTCACCAGTGGTAAGACTAAGTTCAGTCAGATTGTTAATGGCACTAGCTGTCGAAAACGATTTAATTATTCACCAATTGGACGTGGCGACGGCCTTCCTCAACGGCGACATCGAAGAAAACATCTTTATGGAGATCCCGGAATTCTTTGAAGAGATGTTACCTGAAATAGTCACAAAAGAAAAATTTAAATCAAAACAATCAAACTCAGATGTGACAGCTTCGGAAATGCTGAGAAAAATTCGTCGAGGAAATCAAGTTTGCTTACTCAAGAAATCACTTTACGGATTGAAACAGGCGGGCAGACAATGGTACAAAAAGCTCGACACGGAATTACGAAACCTTGAAATGAAACCATTGAATGCCGACCCGTGTATCTACACCAAGAAACGAGAGAAGCAGATTCTGATAGCGGCAATCTACGTCGACGACATATTGCTTTTATCGAGTAGTATTGATTTTCTGTCAGACTTCAAACAATCGTTTAAACAGAAATTCGTTGTGAAGGATCTAGGAAACGTCAAAAACTGCCTAGGAATGGAATTCAATCGAGGAAGCGACTTCTTGGAAATATGTCAAAGCGGATACATCGAAACAATCTTGAACAAATTCGGAATGGAGGAATCGAAACCAGCTGCTACTCCGACGAATGCCGGAATTAAATTAAAGAAACTCGATCAATCGGAAGCTGAAGAAGAAGAAAATAATCACCCCTTCAGGGAACTCATTGGCACTCTGATGTACCTGGCCGTGGGATCAAGACCCGACATCGCCTATGCAGTGAACTACTTGAGCCAGTTCAACAACGCGAACGGAAAAGAACACTGGATTGCAGCAAAGAGAATTCTGCGTTATCTCCGAGGAACATCAAGGCTCGCTCTGAGATATCAAAAGTGTTCAAGACATCTGGAAGGCTTCGTAGACTCCGACTGGGGCGGATGCCCAGAAGATCGAAGATCCTACACAGGATACGTTTTTGTTTTGGCAGGAGGGGCAGTGACCTGGGAGTCCAAAAAACAACGTACCGTGGCCTTATCGACCACGCAAGCGGAGTACATGGGGCTCACGGAGGCTTCGAAGGAGGCCATTCACCTGCTGGGACTGCTAGAAGAAATCGGACTAGGAAATCAAAAAAAGGTCCAAATGTATAACGACAATCAAAGTGCGCAGAAACTTGCCAGAAATCCGGTGTTCCACTCAAGAAGTAAGCACATAGAAATTCGGTACCACTTCATCAGGGAGGCCCTGGAAAAAGGCAAGGTTTCCATCGACTACATACCGACGAATGATTTGATGGCTGATGTCTTTACTAAAGGACTAAGTGGAACAAAGCATCTCAAGTGTATATCTCAGTTCGGTATGAGATCACGTGACATCAAAAGAAGTGTTTAGTTCAGTGCTTTTTATTTTTGTTTAAATGGGGGGAAATTATTTCAAAATAATAATACAAAGACAAAACACGGACTTGTTTGAGGGGAAGTGTCAAATATGTATCATTTTATACTAACTACGTCCCTGCTATGTCAATCGTACGCATGCGCTAACACACTTTCTTTACACACACACTTTTTACCACCACAGTTCCTTTGTACTCTCTCCAGAGTTAATCTCGAGTCATTCGTTACCAATAAAAAGGTCTTATTGTAACCTGGTTATATTCCTTACTAGAACCATAGCCTCTCGGTCTAATATATTTTATTTACTTTACTGATTATTTTTCATTTCGTAAATAATTCAGAACATTTTTAAATCAACAAATAAAAAAATATGCGAGAATATTAAATCATTAAATTTATATATTATAATTAATTTTCAGTAAATATACTTTTCTGTTGCAATGTTTGTTTTTTACATTTATCTCTGGTAATGTATAAAAATAATAAATATAACCACACCATATGAAACGAAAAGCACGAAATTAAATTCCAAAATAAAAATAATAAATATTTTTAAATTATTAGAGAAAAAATTGGGGAAAATTTCTGTTGCTACTCATTATGATTTTTTAATCGAAATGAGTGAACTAATGTTAAATTCATTTGTAGCCCAATTTTTTCTGTAATATTTTCAGAAAATACGTAAAATTATAGCATAAATTAAAATTTACATAAAATAAAAAAAGGACACATTAAACAAATGGTAATGAAAGGAAAAGCTTATTTAAACACTGAGAAAACTGTTTCTTTTTTACCCAAAAATATTTTGTTTAAATCTTCGAATATCTTTGCTGCAGAGTCAAAAATAGTTGAGTTTAATTATGAAATATATTTTTTGCCAAAGTCAATATTAACTGCAAAAAAAAAAACAGCAAAAATTATTTTAAAATGTTATTAATATTAACTATTCATTTAAAATTCTACTGAAGTTCTAATAAATAAATAATAAATAAATATTAAATAAAAAATAAATTAAAATCAATAAAATAATCTATTCGTTTTCTTTTTTATAATTTTATCCAATAATAATAATTATTATTTAAAATTTATTTATTACTGTAATTAATAATATTATTTATTTTATGTTTTCTCAGTGTAAAAATAGAAAAAAAAGCAATGAAACACAAAAATAGCGTACTCGTTGTAGACACGGGTTCTTTAGGCGTTAATGAAGGACAATCCTCGTCACTTTTATCTGGACAATCCGGACGGCCATCACATCTGTAGATGCCTTCGATGCATTTCCCCCCAGTGGCACATTTGAATTGAGTTGGAGTACAATCTCGATCTATTTTTGGCAGAAATTAACAAAAAAATGGACATTCGTAAAAGCAAAAGCAACAATGACAAAACAATTTTTTTTATATATATATAGACATTTTGTTACCAAAAAAATGTATTCAATATTATTTTTATTTGAAAATATTTGAAATATTTGAAAATATTAATATTCCCAGAGGAAAATTTTATTTAAAACCAAATATTCTTTGAGTTAAATAAAAGTATATTTGTCTCAAAGCCTATAGTGAACTATTTATTTGCTTTGAATAAAAAATTTATTCGGGATGAATAAAATTTATTTGCACCAAATAAAATCCATTTTTTAAACCAAATAAAATTTTACTTGAACCAAATAAAATTTTTCTTTTTCTTAATAATATTTTTCTTTAACCAAATAAAACTTTACTGGAACCAAATAAAACTTTATTGAAACCAAATAAAATTTTTCTTGAACCAAATAGAATTTTATTCGGACCAAATAAAATTTATTTGCACCAAATAAAATTTTACTAGAACCAAATAAAATTTATTTGCAAGTACTTAGTAAAATTCTTTTTGAATTAAATAAAACTTTACTGGAACCAAATAAAATTTCACTGTTAGCAAATAAAATTTATTTGCACTAAATAAAATTTTACTAGAACCAAATTAAATTTGACTAGAACCAAATATAATTTATTTGCACTGGAACCAAATTATTATTTACTGGAACCAAATAAAATTTTTTTACACCAAATAAAATTTTACTAGAACCAAATTAAATTTATTCGCACGTACTCAATAAAATTTTTCTTGAATCAAATAAAACTCTACATGGAACCAAATAAAATTTTTCTTAATCTAATAAAACTTGACTGGAAGCAAATAAAATTTATTTTCACCAAATATAATTCATTTGAACCAAATAGAATTTTCCTTGAACCAAATAAAATTGTACTTGAACCAAATGAAATTTTATCAGAACCAAATAAAATTTATTTGAAGCAATTAAAAAGTTAAATTGCACAAAAAAAGCTTTACCTGGATCAGCGACAAGTTTCATTAAAATAGCGAAAGTCTTAATTGAAGCAACTATAAATTTCGCTAATTTAGTAAAATTTGTAATAGTTCCAATTAAAATCCCCCCCCCCCTATGGCTTTTAATCAAATATCATTTTTTACCGAGTCTAATAAAAATAAAAAATTGAAACATTTTTCATGGCAACTGAAAATCAACACACAAAAAATTTGCAAAAGCAAGTGGGATCATAATATATTGATATTTCGATTAATTTATAAGAAAAAAGTTTATAGAATTAAAATTTTTTCACTCAATTTTTCCCTGCATATATATTTTTATCTGAATTCTTTGTTTTGACAGTATATATAGTCAATTAAAATGTTTCTATTTCTATTAATAAAATACAGGAAGATTTATCATACTCTGAGAATAAAGATTCTATTTTCAAAAAGATAGCCAGATGATTCTATTTACTTCTGGTGAAATATCAAAGGAATGCAACGACTCAAGTTGATCATATGCTTCAATCAATTAGAACTCTCGAGTGACGTGCAACTTGAAATATTCTCCATTGAATAATCACGATACTGCACCAAAGTTTAAATAAATGATTGACGTGATCTCGTAAAATGAAGTGACGTAATTTTTTGAAACGCAACATGCTCTCTTACTCATTAATTTTTCTCTTTTTTTTGTGATTAATTATTAAAAGTATATGGTGAGAAGTTCCAGTTACATGTCACTCGCATTTAATTAGCCTTTCAATAATAGATATGACAAATGAATGTAGGTTGCATTCACTTTCATCAAGTGATGATGATGATGATGATGATGATGTTTTCTTCATTAGATATAAACTAACTAGTCTATTTTATAATCATACGCGGTCAGATTTCAAATGTTAATAAAAAAAATAAAAAAATAAAAATGTATATTCATCATTTTTTAAAACTATTTCAATTTTAATCATTTAAACTATTAAAACTATTTTTGTACATTTTATTCGAACAACTGTTTTTAAAAAAAAAAAAATTGATAATTAATATTAGCTAATTTTTATTGTTATTAATATTAACTAATTAGTCTACTAATTAATATAAACTAATTAGTTAACTAAGTAATTAACTAGTTACTTAAATAATTTATATTAACTAATTAATATTAACTAATTAATTAATAAATTTATTAATATTAATTAATTAGTTAACTAATTAATAGTAACTAATTCATTAACTAATTAATATTAACTAGTTAATTAACTAATTAATATTACATAATTCATTAACTAATTAATATTAACTATATCGTTAACTAATTAATATGGATTAATTAGTTAACTAAAAAATATTAACTAACTAATAAACATATTCATATTAACTAATTAGTTAACTAATTAATATTAAGTAATATTAATATTAATTAATATTAACTTCTTCGCAAACTAATTAACAATAATATTAACTAACATATTTATTTAAATATTAAATAATTATTTGCTTTAATATTAATTAACCGTTAACTAAATACAATATAGTAACAATTAGTTACTTTTTATATAAGAGAAAAAACAAAATATTTTTTAAGCTTTTTACAATGAGATTAAAAAATATATTAAATTTATCTTTCGAATTATTATTACCTATATAAATATTTTAAAAGAAGCTTTTCCTACGTTACAAGCTGACTACATTAAAAATTAGTATATTTACTAATTATGTTAGAGCACACAATATATTATGTATATTACAAATTTAATTCTATACTGGCTACTAATATTTAAATATTGATTATTAACACAATTACACTATTATTTTAATTAAATTAATTTACAGTTATTCTTATTTGAGAGGGAAAAAAATTATATTTTTCAAGGAGAAAAAATGGTGAGTAAATTTTTCTCATTTTCAATTACAAAAAATGTTTTACTGAAAAGGACAAGAATAAAAAATATATATATTTCTAAATTAAAATTTGTTTTACTAAAATTCTATTAAATTAAGAAAATCATTTTTTTCCCGGGGAAAAGCGCAGCTATTACATGAATGCGAGCGAAGCAAGGTTTTGGAAAATTCGTCACCAGAGAAAAAATGTATAATATTCAATAGATGAGTTTTGTCGTCTTTTTTTGCAAAATTGTAAATTTCATTTAGTTTTTAATTTCACAAAAAATTGTTTTAAACAAAAATGAAAGAAAAAAAATCTTGACGAAATATATTTCGTCAAGATTTTTTTATACTTATTTACCTGTATATTTATTTATAACTATAGTTATAAATAAATATACAGGTAAATAAGTAAATAAATTGTTAAACAAATAAATAAATAAATAAATAAATAAATAAAAATAAAGTAACTAAATAAACAAAAAAATAATAAAGTAACTAAATAAATAAATAAATTAGTAAACAAATAATATACAATAAAAAATAATAGATTACTAAATAAGGAAACGAACAAATAAGTAATCAAAGAATTAAATAAACAAATTAATAAAAAATTAAATAATCAAATTACTAAACAACTAAATAAACAAATAAATGTATGATTTGTATTACAAAGGCTTTTTTGACTTTAATTCTAATTCTAAATAAATAAAATGTATAAACAAATTAGTAAATATGTAAAGAAACGAATAAATAAATGAACAAATGCAAAAGTAAATGAATTATTAAACAAATAAAAAATAAAAAAAAGTAAATAAACGAATAAAGAATAAAAAAATTGTTTTAAACAAAAATGAAAGAAAAAAAATCTTGACGAAATATATTTCGTCAAGATTTTTTTATACTTATTTACCTGTATATTTATTTATAACTATAGTTATAAATAAATATACAGGTAAATAAGTAAATAAATTGTTAAACAAATAAATAAATAAATAAATAAATAAATAAAAATAAAGTAACTAAATAAACAAAAAAATAATAAAGTAACTAAATAAATAAATAAATTAGTAAACAAATAATATACAATAAAAAATAATAGATTACTAAATAAGGAAACGAACAAATAAGTAATCAAAGAATTAAATAAACAAATTAATAAAAAATTAAATAATCAAATTACTAAACAACTAAATAAACAAATAAATGTATGATTTGTATTACAAAGGCTTTTTTGACTTTAATTCTAATTCTAAATAAATAAAATGTATAAACAAATTAGTAAATATGTAAAGAAACGAATAAATAAATGAACAAATGCAAAAGTAAATGAATTATTAAACAAATAAAAAATAAAAAAAAGTAAATATACGAATAAAGAATAAAAAAACCAAATAAACAAATTAATAAACAATTAAATATTCAAATAACTAACTAAATAAATAAACTAATAAATATGTAAAATAATTATTAAACAACTAAATAGATTAATAAATAACTAAACCAAAAAAGTTAATAAGAAAATAAATAAATGAACAAAAAAATAAACAAGTAAATAAGTTATTAAACAAATTAATAGATAACTAAATAAACAATTAAATAATTTAATAAATAATTAAATAATCAAAAAATATCTAAATAAAAAAAAAATTAATAAATTATTAAGCAAATTAATTAAACAAATAAAGAAATAAATAGTTAAATAAATAATTAAATAAATAATCAAAGAAATATTCAAAAAAATAATCAAAGAAATAATCAAAAAAATAATCAAAGAAAAATAATTAAACAAAAAATAAGTTACTAAATTACTAGTCAAATAAGTAAACAAACATTAAATCAATAAACAAAACAAAAACAAATAAATAAATAATATTGTTAAACAATCCAATTAATTGTGAAATTAAAATAATTGAAATTTGTCCCTTGGAAAAAAAGGGGGGAAATTAACCATTTTTCTCTAATTTAAAACAACACAATGCATAAAAAGTTGAAAAAAATGAAGAACAGCGAATTTTCTCTGGTGTCTAAAGTGGTTTTAAGGAAAGGATTATGTACCACAATGAAGCTCATCTTCTGCCTTGGGGCAGTCGTCGTATCCGTCGCAAACCGAGGTTACTGGTATACAAGAGCCGTCCTCGCAGGTGAAGTCCATTGAAGGGCACGGAGCCAAACCTACAGGGCCCGGCAATGAAATAGATTCCCTTTCTTTTTTTTTTCTTTTTTTTCATCAAACATGGCGCCTAGCGTGTCATTAGGTAAAACGATTTCGATTAAGTCTCATCAAATACTTGACCCGTATTCACACCTTGTTTGCGTAGGCGATCAATGTCTAATTTATACTCTCCTTTAATCCACCGTTCATGTGTTGTAAATCTACCTTTTTTTTAATTTTTAAATAAATGCACAAGGTGAGTATTTTATTTGTTTTCTCTATTTTTTATCTTCTTTGTTTTCTGAATCTTTTGTATTTTTAGTATTTTCTCTGTATTTTTTTATATTGTCAGTATTTTCTGTATTTTTTTATTTTCAATATTTTCTGTATTTTTTTATTTTCAATATTTTCTGTATTTTTTATTATCAGTATTTTCTATATTTTCAGAATTTTCTGTATTTACCGTATATTCTGTATCTTTTTATTTAATGTTTTTTGCTTCTTTTTTTATTGGAGTATTTTTTGTATTTTGAGTATTTTTTTAATAAATACAGAAATATTTCTTTATTTTCCGTATTTTTTAAAAAAAATACTCAAAATACAAAAAATACTCCAATAAATACTGTAATAAATACTTGTATTTTCTTATTTCGAATATTTTCTGTATATTTTTATTTTCAGTAGTTTCTGTATTTTTCTATTTCGAGATATAAATACGTATTTAAAAAGAATACAAAAATTAAAGGAAATATAAAAATACAGAAGTATTATTTAAAATAATACAAAAAAAGAACTTTACAAAAAAATGCGAAAAAGTATTTTTGAAGAATATGTAGAAAGTAAAAAATACAGAAAATAAAAAAATACAGATGCAATTTAAAAAATATAAAAGTATTTTTTAAAATACTACAAAATTACTTTTTAAAAAAATAGAGAAAATAAAAAAATACAGAAATTAAAAAAAAATACAGAACCTAACAAATACTGAAGTAATTTTTAAAAAAGTACAAAGTATATTTTTCAAAAATGCAGAAAATAAAAAATACAAAAGTAATTTTTATAAATAATAGTACAAAAGTACTTTTCAAAAAAATGCGAAAAAGTATTTATGAAGAAAATGTAGAAACTAAAAAATACAGACAATAAAAAATACAGAAGCAATTAAAAAAAATACAAAAGTATTTTTCAAAAAAATACAAAAGTAATTTTTTAAAATACTGCAAAATTACTTTTTAAAAGAATAGAGAAAATAAAAAAGTACAGAAATTAAAAAAAAATACAGAAAAAGAAAAATGCAGAATCTAAAAAATACTGAAGTAATTTTTAAAAAAGTACAAAATATTTTTTAAAAAAATGCAAAAAAATACAGAAGTTTTTTTTTATTTTCTTCCATTGTTTAATTTTTTTTTTCACATTATTTCAAAAAATAAAAATTTTCTGCAAATTTTGCCCCAAGTAACAAGCCAACGACAAAATAAAAAAAATTTTATTTCATTTGTATGAAAATTAAACGAAATTCGTTTTACCCTAGACGTGTAAAGGACGCTGGTTTGAAAACACTAAAAAAAATTTATGAACGTATATAGAAAAAACATTGAAAGCAGTTTTAAGAGCAGCAAGTATGTAGATTGATGATTGGAGATATTATTACTTGATACATCAAAAGCACCTGTAACTCTTGAACCGCAATAAAGTTTCTTTTAAAATACATATGTACATAGAACTTTAATAAGCTTTCTAACACTTAAAGCTTATACTTTTGTTATTCACAAAGAGAGTTTTACTGGTATATATTTGTATTCATCTGTGAAATTATGTACAGGAAAATGTTTTTTTTGGGGGGGGAGTGAAAAACGTGTGGGGGAAAGAAAGCACAATTTTACAAATTGTGATTTTTGGAATTACTGATATAAATAGGAATTAATTATACTACTTATACTATAATGCAATACACTAACTTATGTACACTAATTTTTTTTTTGAAATCAACTATAAAACTAGTAACAATTTTTTTTCAATACACTGGAAAAAAAATTTATTTTATTCAAGTGATTGATTATTTGTCTATTATTATTTCCCATAAATATTTACTTGAATCAAATAATTTTTTTCTGAATCAAATAACTTTTTTCTGAATCAAATAATTTTTTTCTGAATCAAATAATTTTTTTCTGAATCAAATAATTTTTATTTTAATCAATTAAATGGTATTTGCTCCAAATACTGAAATTTTGTTCAAATAATTATTAATTCAAATTCATTTGATTTGAATAAAAATTATTTGATTCAAGTGAATATTTATTTAATAGCTGATAAGTAATTTGTTTTTTTAAATTAAATAAATTTTTTTTCAGTGTAGTACACTCAGAAAAATGTTTTACTTGAAAGAAATATAATTTATTTGAGTCAAGTAAAAGTAAATTTGTCACAGAGATTACTGAATTATTTGTTTTAAATTCAAATTCTATTTGGGCTGAATAAAAATTTAAATATAAAGTAAAATAAATAAAAAAATATTTATAGGATAATAAAATGAGTTTAATAAACAGAAATGTGCTTAAATAATGAAAATTGTATTTAGCACAAATAAAAATCAATTTTTTTTGAGCTAAATAGAATTTTTATTCGTACTAATACAAAATTTTTATTGGAACCGAATAAAATTTTTACTTGAATCAAATAAAATTTACTTGAATCAAATAAAATTTACTTGAACCAAATAAAATTATTACTTGATTCAAATAAAATTTTACTTGAACCAAATAAAATTATTAATTGAAGTAAATAAAATTATTACTTGAAGCAAATAAAATTTCATTGACACAAACAAAATTTTTACTTAAACCAAATAAAATTTAATTGGATCAAATAAAATATATTTGAAACAAATAAAATTTACTTGAACCAAATAAAATTTATTGTACCAAATAAAAATTTATTTGAAATAAAGAAAAATAAAAATTGCTCGACCGAAATAAAATTTATTTCAAAGAAATAAAATTTACGTGAACCAAATAATTAAGTAGACTCTGAATCAAAAAATTTTTTTTTCTGACTGCAGTTATTAATTTCTTTTATAACAACATCATTAACAATTGTTTATTTTTTTCCCAAAAATATTGTAAATTATGTTTCGTTATTAATTATTCAAATTAAATTAAAGTTTTAAATAAAATAAAAATTATACTAATTAACAATTGTTAATCTTTTTCGTAACAATATTTTTTTCAATGCACGTCCAGAAAGTGAAGTTTACTTTCGAGAATATATATTTTTAATCCCATTCACATGCATATTTACATGTGTGTATTCCAACCACTTTCAGAAAACGGAGACGACACACAATTTCAAGCGTTTACAGGTAAATTATTTACAGTACCACCAACTTTCTTTTTTTTTTTGTCATGTTGAATCCACCAATGCGAAAAGACTCTTGTTTTCTCGATTTTTTTTTTATTTCCAAATTTAATTCCTGTATAGCTAGTACAAAACGTACTTTCTGGTACATGAATTTTTGACGCAGGATATGTAAAGGGAAATATTTTATTGAAATCAAATTTATGATTCAATTAAATTTTTAATAAATTACGAACTTTTAAACTTCTATGTAGTTTAACTTCAGACCTCGGATCAAGTTTTAAGAACAAAAAAAAGAAAAATATCGAAAATGTCGTTTATTTTATTCATTTCATTTTAATGCTGCCATTTATTATTTTCGTTTACATTTTAATAGAAATTCAAATTCAATTGTGAAGTAAATAATTTAAAAATGCTCGAAAAATATTATCAAGAAGCAAAATTTTTTATTAAAAGATGCTCTAAATATTTTTCTTCTTAAAAAAATATTTGGAGCATTTTTTAATTTGCAAATTATTCATTACAAGTACAACCAAAATATACCCAAAGAAAATCCTGCATCAAAAATTCAAAAGTATAAAAAATTATATCGAAATATTTACCCACTGGAAAAGCCGTTTTTTTGTACAGCATATATATAATTATTGTCTGGACGAATACACATTTGTCTAATAAATAATTAGTGTTCTCATCTACCTGGTCTACAATTTCGCGAATCCTCATCACTCCCATCGATGCAATCAATATATCCATTGCAAATTTTTTCCTTTGTGATGCATCTCCCATCACAATAGAATTCCCACTCTCCACAAGGATTTCGACTCTCGTAGATTGTTGACTCAAGAATTTTGTTAGTACCAGTCTTAATCATCTTTCGATTTTTACTAGTATCATTTTTATTGAAGCAATTCTCCTCATCACTTCCATCGCTGCAATGCTTCCTCGAGTCGCATATTAATGCATTCGGTATACAAATCCCACCACAATAATGCTCATTATCGAGACATTGATTTCCGTTAATTGTATCATAGTCCTCGGCATTTATTTCGTTATCATCATCTTCGTCGTCTTCTTTATAGTCTTCGTCGTCGAAATCGTCATCTGTATCATCATCTTCATCATCATTTTCATTATTATCATCACCATTAACATAACCATCTTCTTCGTGATTTTTTTCGTCCTTGTCATCAACTATTTTATTTTTTCTATTGTTCCCAAAATTTTGATCCTTATCTTTACCATAGCCGTACTTGACTCCATTTCTTCTATTATTTCCAGAATTTTGATTTTGGTTATTATCAAAGTTGTCTATTTTATTTCTTCTATTGTTTCTAGAATTTTGAACCTTATCTTCATTTTCGTCGTGATCCATTTTATTTCTTCTATTATTCCTCGAATTTGGATCCGAATTTTGATCCAAATTATCGTCCTCAACTCTTCTACTATTCCCAAAATTTCGACTCCTATTATCTCCCTCCTCCTTTATCGAAATAGACTTGTCATTTTTTTTCAATCTCTCCGACAGTGGGACCTTCTTCTCATTAGATTGTAAAATTCGATTCCAAAATTTACCCGTTCGTATACCATCACCAATCATTTCTTTCATTTTTTTATTCTTCTTGTTTCTCGCCTCCTTTGAATCGAAATTCTCATCGGAGACAAA